TTACACCTCTTGACCTCTCTTCACCCACGTGTATATATGGGTACTAACGACACACTACTGCCACAGCCGCCTACTTTCCCAGAGTTGGCCACCTACTTCCAAAACATTTTGCAAAGCCTTGCATCCCATCTAGGGGGAGTAGCAGTACTCCTTAGGAATGCTTCATCCAGCCAAAAGAAACTGGGATAAGCTCTGGCCATCAGGGCCTTTATGCACCTTTACCTTTTCTTACCTTGCCAATTTTAGCTCTGCTTTAAATCTACTTGCTGGCAGGACTGTTTGCTTGAAACAACGTTACTACTAACTTCAAGAAAAGAGATATAAGAGATGATGAAAGATACAAAAAATAATTTTAAACCATTTCATGACAGCATAAATAATTAATTGTATCCTCAAAAGTGAAAGATAAAGATCTTCGGTTCCTATATTTCCTTCCAGTCCACTTCATCAGACAACACTACACTTTCCACAAATTCAGTTTTCATAGGAATCCGCTCATACAAAAGCAACCACTCCCTGTAAGGAATCCACTTTCATACAAGTAGTAGTACTGACTGAGTAAGCATATTGAGTATCCTGGATTTCCTAAAATTGGATGGTGAGTTCCTCCGATTGTCAGGTTGACACCACAGCTAAAAGGGCAGGCATCAGGGATGCATTTGTAGTTGAACACTACAAAATAATATGAGTTTCTGGTTTCCATACTTACTGGTTTATTGGTTGACCGGTTCTATGATCTCTGATCTCTTGGGTTGTGTAGATTAAGTGACACCGGCTTCTGCCAAAACAGTTCATCGGCCACATAACACCACTACACTTTCCACAAGTTCAGCTTTCATTGGAATCCTGCCATGCTCAAGCATCCAGCCACCATAAGGAATCCAATTTCATACAAGTAATATCTTCCACAAGTTTCCAGTCATATTTCTGGAATGTATGGGGCATGCATCAGGGATGCAGTGGTGGATCCATGATCACAACAAGTGTGGAGAAAAAGTCAGTATGAGTGGCGACTGAATGGATGTGTAGAGTATCCTAGATTTCCTGGTTTTGGATGGTAAGTTCCTTCGATTTGCAGGTTAACACCACAGCCAAATTGGCAGGCAACAGGAATGTTTTTGTAGTTGAACACTACAAATAGGGAACAACAGTTAGTATGAGTTTCTGGTTTCCATACTTACTGGTTTCTTGGTTGACCGGTTCTATGATCTCTGACCTCTTGTGTTGTGTAGATTGAGTGACACCGGCTTCTGCCGAAACAGTTCATCAGCCACATAACACCACTACACCTTCCACAAGTTCAGCTTTCATTGAAATCCGGCCATGCTCAAGCATCCAGCCACCATAAGGAATCCAATTTCATACAAGTTGTATCTTCCACAAGTTTCCAGTCATATATCTGGAATGTATGGGGCATGCATCAGGGATGCAGTTGTAGATCCACGATCACAACAAGTGTTGAGAAAAAGTCAGTATGAGAACTGACTGAATGGATGTGTGGAGTATCCTAGATTTCCTGGTTTTGGATGGTAAGCTCGGACCTTTGACTTGCCGGTTAACACCACAGCAAAACTGGCAGGCAACAGGAATGTTTTTGTAGTTGAACACTACAAATAGGGAAGAACAGTTAGTATGAGTTTCTGGTTTCCATACTAACTGGTTCATTGGTTGACCGGTTCTTAAGATCTCTGATCTCTTGTGTTGTGTAGATTAAGTGACACCAGCTTCTGCCGAAACAGTTCATCGGCCACATAACACCACTACACCTTCCACACGTTCAGCTTCCATTGAAATCCGGCCATGCTCAAGCATCCAGCCACCGTAAGGAATCCAATTTCATACAAGTAGTACATGTATCTTCCACTGCTTTCCAGTCATATATCTGGAATGTATGGGGCAGGGATCAGGGACGCAGTTTTGGATCCATAATCACAACAAGTGTAGAGGAACAGTCAGTAAGAGTATGACTGAGTAGGCATGTTCAGTATCCTAGGTTTCCTGGAGTTGGATGATTGGATTGCAGGTTGACAATGTAGCAAAAAGGGCAGGCATCACCGATGCTTTTGTAGTTTAACACTACAAATAGGGAAGATCAGTTAGTATGAGCTGAACCTCCTAGCCTAAGGAGCATAAGCTCCCATTGTCAAAGCACTAAGGGTCACAAGGGCACACAAGTCTCCCTGCCATGTCAAGGCAGAGCACCAGGGGAGGAAAGAGCGTAATCGTTAAATGCTTTACAGCCTTCCATGCTGATTTTGGAGTACAATTAGAGAATCCACAGGGCTGTCATTACGAGGCAGGGGCCGTATATTTCCCCTGGCTACTATGAATGTGGCCCCCAACTACTTTTATAGAAAAATGGACCAAAAGAAACCCCCTAGCTGTCTTATTCCCTACCTACTTGTTGTATTTACCCAGCAACTTGAAATCTTAACGACATCCCTGATCCAAGATCATTGAGATAAGAACACATGGCAGGATTCTGGATACCCGTGTAGTAAAACTTTCATCTTCAAAACATGCTCCTGAAGTTCCACAGTTGTTCAATTTTTCAATTCATGGTTAACAGACCTTATTGAACAGCACTTACTACCATGGAGAAAAACAAGCACACAGCTCAAAACATGATTCTGCAGCAGTCAAATTTATGTTTAACAGACTGAAGCACACGAACAAGAAAGAATACAGCTTCTCAAACTCATTAATAATTCATTAAGAAAATACAAAGGAAATTAATGTTTAATGAGTGTTTGGAAATCGGATGAAACACTGCTTAGTATTTGCATCCTTAATTTCTCCTTCAAAAATGATTTTGTTTGAGAAGAAATATCAAACATTCGACACAGTGTTTCATCACCAGATGAAACACCTCGAAGTTCGTCAAAAATACTCCGCTGTGCGTCGTATTTTCAACTCTCTTCTCGGTGTTTCATCTAGTGATGAAACACTGCATCTCATGTTTGATATATTACATGAAATCTTAGTCGGCAGGAACAGAAATTTTTAAAGACCAATGTATAGAAAATTTAAAAAACTGGTTCTAGCGCATTTCTCGCCCTCAATTTTTTTCAGTAGAATCGTTACGAGTGAAGCTTTAGTGTATAATTCACAGTTTTTTGAACGGCCGTTTCAAGGGAATTATTCGACATTAGGGAGCATTCAAAATTTATCTAGAGGGTGGGCTATGATGATTTCCTTATTTTTTCCTTTCATTTTTTTGAAGACCCCCCCAATCATCTCAGGGTTTTTTTCTGAGCCCCCCATCAAGAGATGTTGATTTATCAAAGGAAAATATCATAGCCCCCCCCCCCACCCCTTTCCCAGATATCGAGACATCCAGATATAAAACTGTTTTTGAATCTCCTGCATGTTTGGATGGAAAACCTTGACCAGTGGACGACTATATGCCAAGGGCGCAAATTAATAATTTCGCAGAAATAGCAAAAGAGATAGCTGAATTTTCTGTAGCTTTTGTGGTTTCAGAGGAGTTGGTACCAAAACCGTGACAACGTCTATTGCTGGTTTGCACGTGACGTCACGGCGGCCATGTTGGTGGTCAAGAACAAAAGCATTTCTCTCCTCTGGGAACTAAACTCTATTTTCATGGAAATTTTTCGAGGAAATATTCTTTTGTTTTGACCCCCAACATGGCCGCCTTGTCACGTGGTTGCAAACCAAGAATTGCATATCGGGCATATCTACATGTACTCAAAGCTCGCAATGTTAGTTAAAGCTCGTATTTAATACAACTACCTGGCCTGTGTTAACAGTAGAATTGGGGCTAGCCTCCCTTTCTCATCGCAGTTACTGAGTTTGCTGACAGGAAAAAGGAAACAGCCAAACAGTTGGTTCACCACACTCTGATTCCGGCGGCTTGTCGGTGTATTAAAATTGATGTTGAAGACAAATTAAATAGTTCCTCGGGGACATCCAAAACATTCATCGTGACATGTTCATTTCACAAACTGATCGGAGTTTCGAATCACTTGGCACGTGGCGCGGCAAGTAAGCTAACCGCGTGATAACGAGGCAGATCGAACCGGAAATGACAACAAAAAGTCAAATTAAATTTTTTGTTGAACGCGGGAACCCAAAACTGAGGATTGTTATGTTCCAAATTTCCATCAACTTATCCATAAAATTTACACAGTGTGGGTGACACTCGCGTTTTCTGGGATAGGGCACATAAGCCAGAGGGCACTCCCACGCAGACATTCTTAGGGGTTCGTCACGCGTCCTTGAACCCATGATTTTGGGCAAAAAGTTACTTTTTTTTTCATAGTTTGGTTTTGTGCAAAATCGGCAAGAAATATTAAATGTTTGTTGATTTTCGAAATGAAAAACAAGACTTGTTACACATTAGAAATATCAATTTTATATAGTCGCCAAAATGGGAATTTTTCCAAAGGCCGGGGGAGTGTAACCCATGATTTTGGTCAAGAATCCTCATTTTTTTCATAGTTGGTCAGTTTTGGCCAGAATCGACCAAGAGAAAATGTTTACTGATGTTCTGAATAAAAAAGAAGACAACATTGCCCATGATGATGACGGTGATGATGATGAGAATCGATTGTGCCCTCGTTTTTCCTCCATCTTGTCTATAGGCTCCAGCCTAATAGGTGCCTCGATCGAGACTGCCCTGGGTACCAGAGGTCTTTCTCGCGTTTCGGCATGTTGGCCGATCGGGTCACGAAAGAGTTGACAGAAACCGGAAACCGCGCTAGAAAAGTCTCACCCAGGGTACATTGAGACAGAGCCCGCACAAAGCCTATGCGAGAAATTCGAGAAAAAAAACTCTGATTAGAATATTCAGCACATAATTCAAATATTTACTTAGCATTTTTTTACCTCAGTTTATTTGTTAGACTCTTGTTAGCAAAGATAACATTATGAACGAAAGATTGTTCTCAGGAAGCCAATAATGGCAAAGCAATGTCACCATGACTCCTTTGTGCCTAAATTGGTAATAAGACAAACAATAATTAACTAATAGTCAACATTCCAAAAATGTCACAACATCAATAACAAACCCGAATTCCGGGTACGGGAAGGTTGATTTTGTTCATCGCAATTGTAATTACATTGTTTCGAAAAAGAAACAATCATCGTCGATTCAAGGAATTATCACATGTCAAAGGATTTTCTTCGATTCATTCAAGGAAGAAGAGGACAAAGTAGTCGTTTCCGATAGGTAAGAGTCTAGTTCAGCATGATGCTTGAATAGGCTGCTAAGCTTGTGATCTTCCGCAAAGTTCTCAGATCTACGATCTGATTGAGTAGCACTTTTTGTGGCCTTGTTTGTATATTATTATAGCATTCTAACTTTTTTGGTGTCTTGTGTGAGCTGGCGTCTAATATATGTCAATTTACTTTTGCCATTTGCAAATTTTTCTTGAGTAAAGAATGTAAATAATGAAGGACAAGAAGACGAAGTGTCAATGTTGTTTGGATTGTTCTGTTTGCCAAATATCTTTGAAGGAAATTTGTAATTAAATAGAAGCGATTTGGTGAAACATATCACGAGACCGATACCTTTTTTGCACTGTTTTCTGGCGTTTGTCTGCGAATCGTTTTGCCTGCTTAGAAAGGCGTATTTCCGGTCTTCGCTTCGTTACTTTCTCTCTCGGGAGCGGGGGAGGGGGTAGGGTTGGATACTCCCTTATATAAGCCATATAGGTACGTGACGCCCCAAAGGGTAGGGTTTTTGCGCCGTTTTGGTCTAAAAACGGGTATAGATTTTGCCCCATTTGGTATGCAATCGGGTATGGTTTTCGAGGGAACTACCGCAGTGTTCCAGGAGCCCATCAAAGGGTTGACTCCAAGGGCTTGTATGGGAGATGGAGGCTCCATTTGATGGGCTCCTGAGTGTTCCAAATGGGTAAGTAAGAAAGAGAAATATGCTAATTCGAAATGGATTTTAATGATGACATAATTTCTTAAAGGCCAGGTCTGTGAATGGGCATGGATTATAGAGACCAGGCCTGAAAACTGGTGTGAAAATGACATCTTTTGGTCTGAAATAGGGTCAGGAGCGGCACATCGATCCCCACCAAGAATTCCTAGGGGTACCTCCCAGGGTCTTAGCACTGTCTAACATCCACATACCGTATTTATTCGAATAAGCGCCCAACCTCGCCCACCTTACCCCACCTCCCTCCCACTCCCACTTAAACTCAAATAAGCGACCACCCCCACCCCACCCCCCCAAAATTGAATAAATAGTAATAAGAGACTTGCCCGAAGACGGAGTTTTCTTCAAAGTATTTTACAGGAACCTTGCTTTGTTACATCTTCGCGTTTTGTCATTACCATTTCTTGTTTTGTTGCAAAATAAACATACTACACTTGCTGAAAATGCTGAAAATTTAATAAGCGCCCAGCCTCGAATAAGCGCCCACTCTTAAGGTCCAAAAATTTAATAAGCGCCCAGGGCGGTTAATCGAATAAATACTGTAAATAGACTGGTCATAAATAGCGTGATACTGGAAAAGGTCATATCCCCACAGTGGGTAAATCCTTAGTCTTAAAAAATTTTTTGTTTGTTAGTTTCTTAGGAAAAAGAAGAAGGTCAAAATGATGGAACCCCCGCCCCAAGGAGAAGTTGAAGACACCCTGAAAAGGATTAACTCGCACCCAGGCGTCCTGGGTCTTCTGGTGATCAACCCACAAGGCATTGCGATCAGGTCTACAATGGATAATGCAACAACCCAACTCTATGCGACCAATTTTCAGCATTTGGCGAGTTTAGGGCGTAGCTGTGTCCGAGATCTCGACCCTTTGAACGACTTGAAGTTTCTTCGAGTACGATCTCGGAAGAATGAGATAATGGTTGCTCCGTCGAAAGACTACACTTTGATTGTTATTCAAAATCCAAACCACAGGGATGTCTGATATGGTCTAAAATCTCAGCAATTTTTCAAACGAGAAGAAAATTTGCGTTGAAAATGCGTTGCTACGCTTCGTGATTCGCTGAAAAAGATTTACGTGACTTTGTCAGCCAAAACAATTATATGGTCATAATTATAGCTAAATACATAGGATTGTTTGCGCATGTCAAGATAAATAATCCTTAATAAGTCGCACCTCAGAAACGAGAAAAGGACTGGAACCAAAATGCATCCCGCTATTGTCTCTGAGATCGTTACGATCCAGTCCCCTTCTCGTCTCTAAAGTAGCGAATAACAATTACGATGATTATAACAACAATAAAAATAATTCTCAGTAACTATATTAATTTATGACAATTTATTTGGAGTACAAGGCAAGGACAAAGCAATCAATTTTTTGAAATGTACACAGCCCCTTTTTAAAACAAGGTTACCGTATGCTTTCACCTTAAGGTTGCTGTTTTTCCCTTTTGTTTTTATTAAAAAGAGGTTAGAAATCGAATATGGCCCATTGGCATGTTGAACCTACTGGAACAACTACAACGACGAAATGGTCAATCGCTACCAATACACTGAGTATTTAAAACAAAATAGCATCTGTACTGTTGAGGGAGATGAAATAACAACACATACTAAGCAGGGCAAGACAATGTTTCTATTCACGTCTTTATTATTTACACATAAAAATATAAGCAACATCCGTTGCCTTTTTGGCAGAATACTTAACAAAATCTGACCACTAATTCTATTCTGTGAAGCACAATGATCGAATAATCGTTAGATATAAGCCGCACTGCGCGAGCTATCAAGGATACGCCCGACGCAAACGAAACGTAAAAAATGTACCCAATATCCAACTTAAGGTACTCATTATGTTCACGAACCTCATTCAGTATTTATAGTCCGAAAATAAGACTACACATTGTAGGAAGATGTGTCTAAAAACAATAAAAAAGAACTAACTTTCACTTTTATTATTAAAGCAAATGCCAAAAAGTACTTTTTCCCGAAACGGGCAGTTCATTCAATCTCACATTCCCCTGTGATTCGTTACATCCGAGAAAATTTCTTACCACACAAAAACAGTTGTATTAGCCGAGGACGTCAAGCAATACTTAACAGCTGCAATATGGATCTACCATCGCCTCATACAGAAAATTAACAACCACTGCAGAATTCACGTAATGAAATACTGGTTGATGTTACTTAGGGCGACAAAGTTCTAGTTGACTCCAGTAATCCTCAGCAGGAAAGTTGGCTTCTAACCGCGCCTTAATGCCATATCACGAAATGCATGATAAGTCATATTACATAAAATCTTAGTTACTTAAATTCATGTCAGACAGGTTGCAAACTAAACTATATCTATATACATGCGAGTCTTTAGTGGTAACCGTTTCAGCTATAACACGGCAAATAGCCACCAAAAAGCTAAAAAATTCTTAGGTCTGACGGGTGTGGCAAGAGGTGGCGAGGGAGGGGCGTGGTCCCTCTTCCTCTCCCTGGATTCGCCACTGCTGTGGAAAGATTTTTATTTCCTCCAAATAGATCCTTTTCACATGACGTCACGGCAGCAATATTGGGGTACAAAACAAAAACACGGCGACCATGTTGGTGTTCCAAAAAACCCTGTGTAGATTACGTCCTTTACGCGTGTGAAAACATTCTTTTGTTGAGAACTTTGCATAGCCGCCGAACACGTAAATGAAAACGATCTATAGAGCCAATTCATTCACGTGGCCATAGCCTCCCACGCAGGCGTTTTTAGGGGAGCTCATTTTTCATGAAGCCTCGGAGTCTCCTTTCGCGTGTCGCCCACGAGTGACTTTTCGTGACTCTCACAAATGGAGAGCTTGCTCGAGGCTTCAGCTTCCTCTCGTCAATCTCCACCAGAAACTTCGCGAGACAAATTATGAATTACGCGAAACTATCTTTTCTTATTGTCCAATAAGTTGTGCACTATTTTGCAAGTAACAATAAATACTATTTGGGATTTGTAACGCCGTAGGAGCGGTTAGTCACCAGGACTGCACTTCATATTTTTGAACAAAGAGTGAAGCAAATGCACTCCTTGCATCTTATAACTAACGTATATTAAGGCTTTAGCTAATCCTACATATTATACTCAACGTATAATAAATACGTACGGGAGGCAAGCAAATTCACTCTTTACACAACAAATGCAGTTCCTACATATTATACGCTACGTATATCCTACATATTATACGCTACGTATATAGGATCGAGCTGGTCCGCAAGGAAGCCGTCCCTCAGATGCATTCGCTGCTTCTCGCCACGAGAATTGATTGGTACAACACCGGGATCAACCACCACCACTACCCCTACAATTAATTGTTGTTCGTTAAGCACGGATGACGTCACAAGAGGAACGACGTCAAGAGCCTCGCTTTCGTCCGCGTCAAGCTCGACGACAACGACTAGAAGGTTGGTCCATGTAAACACCGCGCTGCGGGAGAGATGGGAAAAAAAATGAGAGGTCGATGAATCAAATATGATTGCCAGGAATACATTACAATAGGAATACACACCACTGGTAATATACCCTATTTTGAACACACACATTTCCTTACGACTGCGGAGAACATGGTGCAATGTGTTTTACGTTATGCAAGTTTCGATTTCGTATAAGTCACTATGACATAATCCTTGTGTTGAATCTGCCTTCAGGGTTTCAGTCAGGATATTATAGCAGGGCGTCCCTTAATTCTCATACAGTTATTTTTCAAACCAACACCTTTTTTTCTTTCAATCACATTCTCCTCGGAAACTTAGACTGTGAGCAGTACCACTCTAGTCCGTCGACTCGAAAGGGCGAACAAGCCAAGGAGGGAAAAGCAGATAGGGAAGGGAAAAAGGCCAATACTCACTCGCCTGATTAAACTTTTAAAACCTAATCTCAACAGTCAAAATCTTATTTGTTGTCTCAATACGTTTCCTATAGAAGTAGTGTGGAGAAGTTGTTGAAGTATCAAGTAGATTCATCTTGTGTGATCATTTCCTAAATTCCTGTCACCAAGCTGTTTTAAAAAGCATTGATATCACAAGGAGACGTTTGAAACTGATAACCATGAAGGCCAAATTAAGACAAAAGCAAATTTCGACCAAATTTCCAAATTTCCCAAACAAATAGCACCATTTGTAAGTACAGGCAGAGAGCTTATATTTGAATGGTCACTTCATAGGATTTCGTCCACAGACTCAAAAGTTAGAGTCACCTTTAGCTTATAAAACTCCATCAAGCACTTTGGCAGTGAAATGGTTCAGGGAGTTGACTAGCACGCAACATGTTCGATAGCGCGGCACTCTTGAAGAACCGCTAGCATTCTACCGAAAACTGGGCAGCCAGTGCACACAAACAGGACACCCATATGTCCACCTGGCTCAAACCTTGACAGCTCTCTGCGCTGAAAAAAACACATTTGCAAACTTATTATTTTCTCTATCTTTGACACTAACCTTTCGCATATTGATCTGTGGCATCTTGTGACGGTGTTCTCGATGTCTACAGGGTGATACCGCATGCCTCGTAATACCATGGTCTCCTCTAAAGGTCCGACAACGAATAAAGCATCGTGCCGGGCTGACAATAAAAATTAAAAACACGCTCCGCTTACTGCACCTTTCAACAACAAATTATGACGCACGAAATGCAACGAAAGCTTGAATTTTAGGTCGTCTGAGGATTTATCGGCCAGCGTCATATGTATTTAAATATTTTCTATATATTTTTTTCTTGTTTATTTGCTTTCTTTATGTTACTAAACTAATCTTTTTTGATGAGTATTAATAAAAGGTTGATATTGTTAAAAACCCGGGCTGTCTATTCACTAATAATTAACAAACTAACAACCTTTTCAAGATTATTCATTTTTCTGCTTGGGAATCCAAATTTTTATAAAGCAGTATAAACGATAAAAACTTTTGTAGTTTCTTGGCTTAACGTCAACAGATACAAACACAAAATAATGGTTCGTTTTCGCTCGCTTACCATGTGCTGTTCAGCAAATAAGCCAGTTCTTGTCCCCCCAAATTTTTCTCGGGGAGGAACAACACTGGACCCATGGACGCGACGGAAATCGAGCTCATGGTTCTTTTAACTGATACAGAGATCAGTAGAGCCTCAGGCTACGAACATTTCTAGAACACAGACAGCTCTTTATCACGGACAGTTACTCAGGCATACTTCCCTATTACGGAAACCCTGCGATGAGAACGCTTGACTCTCTCTACCTCCCCCGGCTGTCCGTGTTAGGATGTATTACTCAGTGCCGGATCCAGACTTTGAGGTAAGGGGCGAAGGGAGGGGAGGGTCATCCAGACACTGAGAAAAGGGGGAGGCCCAGTCTCCAAAATTTTCTTCGGCCCATCGGGCCTCAGGTTGTCTAAAAATAAATGGGGAGGGGGGTGGGGGGCACGGGTCCCTCCCCTAGATCCGCCACTGTTACTATCTATTTATATTCCAAGATCACATTACAAAGCAAACTTTGAACGAGTAAACCTACCACCATCCGTTTGCGTAAAATCCGTTCTCTTGATAAATCCAAGACATCCTGTCCTTGCGTACTGTACCCCCATATCTCCCGACGGGCCCGTAGTGAGTCTGGCGTTAAACCGGTCTTCTGTTTGGCTATCTTCGCCTGTCATGAAGTAACCGCTGCCATTGTGCGGGCTATTCACCCAGATCTGCAAACATATAAATTCAATTAAGGGGTACCTGGGCTACATTGTAAAGCCAAACCGAGCGCAAAATTTTCGTCTATCAAACCTAAGGCAGAAATCTACTATAAACAATTCACAGTCTTCCAATTTACTAACGTGACGTACCTCTCCAAGATGTGAGTCTGCGCACATTCCTTTCGTTTCTGGATTGGCGATAACCACTTTGACACCAGGCAGTATCTGATTGGAAAAAAAGTATTAGAATATGATTTAAAAAGGAGTTCATAAACATAATAATAAAAAACTTCTTTTTAGGGGAAAAGGAAAAATATAACATTTTTACCCTGACGTTTAGCGGTCAACTTTGTCTCCCGCTTCGAGCATGGTTAAAAAACAGAGATCTCAATTTGTTAAAGTTACCGTACTGTTTCATTAGCTAATTTAACACAACCATTTGCGTTCGAGGACAAAAGAAGCTCTTTTGTCAGTATAGGGAAGAAGACCTCAAAGGAAACTTCAGAATTATCCAAACAATTATCTGTTTTTTGGAAACTGCCCACCTAACCCTTCCCTAAGCCAACATTTTGCCCCAATTAGAAGTAAGTGTTAATGTTGGCTTAGAGAAAGGGTAGGTGGGCACCACAATTCCTACCTTGCCCGATTCTAAAAGGCACAAGCTGTGCGGACTGCCTCTTTCCACAAGTGTCACTCTACAGAAGGGAAAAAATCAACGTCATCATCATCATCGCTCTCATCATTATCCTTCTACTATGTTATCTATTACTTCTACTGCAACAAAGTCACTTGACCTTTGAATAGGCATCTCAGTGGACCAGTTCTTCCAACGCTTATTTAAATCAGTATACCGTATTTTCTGTCTTTCTATGTGACGATCCGAAGAATAAATGTCATCCTCCTGGACTAAAGTTGCATTTAAAGCATTAAAAATGTTAACGGCACGAACCATCAATATACAGAAAACAATGTTGCCCCAATAAGAAACAGTATGGACGACAGCATGACAATGAAATAACTACCTGTCATTTCGTAAAGCTCTTGTATCCACGTACACACTGGATGCCTCTGGAGTTGACGCACCCTAGAGAAAAATTGCATTATAAAAAAGTAAGTCAGAAAACCAAGTTGATGAAGCAAGTCACAAACAGTTCAGTAAGTAAATTATTTTGAGAACTGGTACCACACGTAACCCTCCACGGAGATGACGGACAAGCCACCTTCCTCTGTGACATGTTATCTGTAACAAAACATTTACGATACTCGAGGTAAGCATTTTCACCTGTGTACAAATGGCCACATTGACTCTGCATCCGAACGATGTGCTAACTGCACGGGGTGAGAGACCCAAGCCAGAGAAAAGTGTGGAGAATGCTGTGGTAAGGTTGATTCTAGGTCTCTCCTCAGCCACAACGACACAGTTTCTAACGCAAGTAAGGTTCACTCCTTTGGACTGAAAGAAAGTAAACAAAAGCACCATTTCAAGCGTTGGCAAAATTTCAGACATCCTTCTTCGAGAGCTCTAGAGATTTGACGCAGGCTAAAGGCCACCTACAATTGCGTGGACGGGTATTATAAACTGGTACTAAACGCCGCACCAGAGGGTTTGATCGAGTTCTTTTCAATTTAAGTATCCATCTAATCATCCAGACTCTTTGGTAGTGACCAACTCGAAAGCCTAAGCTCCTTTGGTCGCTACGCACATTTCACCTCTCATGATTTATTTAATTTGTTGTTTTATTTTTTCTTACTTTTGTAATGTATTGTAATTCTTTGTAGTAATCTCTTGAAATAGTGCAAAAAACAAAGAATCTGAAATCGGAAATCTAAGGTCATCACCTATCTAGCCTGCGTAGCATGGCGGTTTTGGTGGGGCGCGCTAAGAAAATAAGACGGGCGAGGGCAGAGAAACCGCGAGGAGATTGGGGAGGGAGAAAGGTTTCTATTTTTCTCGCGGCTTCGCCGCTCGTGCACCCGGCTCGACAAAACCACCACGCTACGCAGGCTATCTTTGTTTATTCTTTGTTTATTGACAAATAAGTACACAAAGCACAAGTTAACGATAATAAGATGCCAAAGCCAGAGGCTTATATGTCGTAGGTCAGAGAGTTACAATGTGCTGTACCCCAGAGTATCCCCTATCTCATACCTTAAGTACTGGTATTGACTGTCCGAGTCCCTTGGTACATAAGTCCATAACGGGGTACGAACAAAACGTGTCGCGAACTGGAAGAGAAACAAAATAAATGAATCAAAATCCTTGCAGTAACTGCAGTTTTGCACTTTCAGACTTCTATACACATAGAGATAATCAAACACAGTCGAGTAAACAAGATGATTGAGTTGGGCGTAGTGTTAAAAAATAAAGTAACTGTTAAGCTACCAAAGATTTAAAGAAACAATGTCGGAAACGAGAACTTAAAAGATGCAAGAAATTCTCACCTTTATATTGACTAACTACAGATAACCACAGAGCTGGGTTAGTTTCCAAGTCTCCTGGCGGTATAAGGAGTGTGTGGTGACCAGAGTACACTCTGAAATGTAGAAAGCATAAACTTTCATTACTTAAAAAAAAAGGTTACAGAGCTAGCTAGCAACAGTCACACTTGACTAAACAGTTTCCTGGGCTTTGCAGTGCGCAGCCGCGTAAAACAAATTATTTTCGCGCCACTTTCTTGACCAATCGTATCGCCCTTATGAAACCGGCTTCGAGCTCTGATTGGTTAACTGAAATGGCTAAATGTGCCGTAATTGGTCAGACAATGTGCTTTTGCCTTCCTTTTAACCACTCTCGATTGTGACGTGCACGCATTTCCCGCGCTTAACAGAGGCTTCATGTTTCGATTTCTGATTGGTTAACTATTGTGATTGATTGGAGAAACTGTGCCATGCAAGTCTTTTCCCGCGCTTGGCAGGCGGCCTCATGTCTCATTCTCTGATTGGTCCAATGGACGGGATGGCTCATCTGTTAGTTGCCAGAATAGTCGATTTTTCGATAATCGAGTGAACAGTTTTTATTATTACTTTATACATACCCTGTCAAACACCATAGCAAAAACCCTAGTCCACAGTAGGGATCAAGGCAGACGGCAATATCACGGGAAGGATACAGTTCACAGGCAAGCTTCATGGCGCGACATAGAGCAGTCACTGCTGAATGAGACATCTAAAAAGACCAAACATGAGGAGAAAACGTTTACGTGTTAGAATCTTTACATGCACTACAAACCTGCCTAGCGTAATAAGTCACAACGTAGAACACGCTAAAAAGCAGCAGCTTTCTAAGTGAAGAAGACGAAGGTCTTTAAAGGCAAGATTTTTTATTCCACTGAGCAGTACGTCAGCACTTACGTGTGAAATTCAGGACAGGAGTTCTTTGTCAACACTATCAATTTCAACTTGTTTAACTCTTTAAAAACTAACAGTGGCAAAGACAATTCAGAAAAAATTCAAATTCCCTTCTGTATAATCTTAAGAAAATAAACAGCACCATACAGAAGTTCAGGCAAAGAGGTTTGAATTGAATGGTAACACCGAAGGATTTGAGAAACTAACCATAGCCCCGTCTATGAATGAAAGGGTCAAATATTGGAATACTCCTGACGTGAGAGAGATGGTACAATTAAGCCCGTACCTTAACCCCTGACAGCATTCCGGTTGTAGAGACACTAAAATCCAAATACGCGATCATCTCCGCCGTTGGAGCCCTGTACGGGTTAGTAAGCTTCTTTTTAGGGGCATCATCCACTTCTATCACTGTGGGCCACGATTTTATGTCCACAACCCCCAGAGCTTCCTTGGACCGCAGGGCCTTGGCAATATTGTGGGTTGTGAGTACAGCACGTGACTTGCTCACGTCAATAACCATTTTCACGGTGGGGAGGGTGGTACTGATGTTGTTGGCGTGTGGGGGACGGACGGGGACTGGAATAAGACCTGTGAAGAAAGTTTTGGGACGAATTAAAGGAAATCAAATGCAGTTTAGATGGATGAAAAAATGAGATCTTAATTACGAACCCGAAAATAACTTGGTTCAATCATTTTTTATAGTGAAGTTTAATAGCCTACCAGCATAGAGACATGCAAACACTGCCACTATGAAATCCACACCTAAAGCAAAAAATAACAGTTCAGCAGTTAATAGTGTTCATACGTATGATACGTATCTTAGAATAAGGCCATACATTCATTCATCAATTGTCTGTGCCCCACTCCCCCGCCCCGCCCTTTCCATTGACTCCGCTGGATGTAAAGGACGTGAGAGAACACCCTTCCCAGGCTTTTACCATTTTTTTACCACATGCTCCCTACAAGTTGGAGAGGATTGGATAATAAGCTGCTGTGAAACAAAAGTTACGGAGTAAAAATCACGACGGCAACGGCAGCAAAAGGTCACTTATGGGAATATTCCATCAGGCACGACTTGTAAAATAAGGGCAAATTTTCCTGAAATGGCATCCTTAGGAGGCGCACCCACTTTCAAAAAAAAAGCGAGAAATTCGTCGTTGTGAGTTTACGGCCTCTATAACACGTCACATCAGGAAGTTTCACATCATAAACGTTAACTCCGCTCTCCAACTCTACCGACAGGAACACAAAGTGACAAGTGATATCCAATCGGATTTCAAAACAAAGAGATGTAGCGGGCGCCAAGCGCGGGAAAGGGTACGTGATCAAATCATGATTGATTTTGGTATTACATTTGATTGGTTGGGATAATGGCGCGAAATGTTTCAGCCAATCACAACGCGTCAAGTTAATTACTTACCAGGAGTAAAGAGAAGTGCCACATTATCACCGGAGCTGAGGCGTCCTTGTTCAACTGCCATTTGAGCCACCCGTTCCGCTCGCTTGTGTAACTGAGTTGTTGTTAGAAGAGAGGCTACAGCGCCCTAGAAAGGCGATAAAAATTACAGGCATGTTAAGACGGAATCCACAAGGAAATTGAGTAATTTTAATTTTCAGTGGACAAAAACCTTGTACCAGAATAATTTAAAGCATATTGCATTCTCTTTTTACATTTTTCAAGGGCTAAAGATGTAATTAGTCATCTGTAATAACACCAAAGAAAATCTCTTATGGGAGGCCGAGAAAATGAAAGTCAAATTTCACAAAATTACATCTTACACATGAAATTTTCAGAATTTTAGCTGTGTTTCCACAATTCTTGTGAAATTTGACATTGATTTTCTCGGGTTCCCATGAGAAATAGTCTTTGGTCTTATTACAGATGACTAAAATTAAAATTACTCTATTTCCTGGTCGATTCCGTCTTGAGTTGACAACGAACTCAGCCATGACCGAAGCTCTGCTGTCTAGAACGTAAATTCACCTTAAATTTCAGGCCGTCACCCTCCCAAGCCCTGCCATCAACACGTTGAATTACAAGACACACGAAGGCAGAATCTACAAGTGTAAGTTACCTTAGAGTTGAGCAACGTGAACAGGGTATGATCAGGCATGGCTTGCGCTCTCCACTTGAGAATTTCAGCCAAAAATTGGTACTGAAGAAAAAACAGTTGAAGTTAATTTATTTATTATTATTTATTAATAGTAATAACAAAAGTTTTAAACGTCAATTTCGGTTAAGTTTCTTGGAAAATCGCGAACAAGAGACGGAAGAAAACAAATTGCGCCATCATTAGTCATTTGAGGTTGCTAGGAGACTGGGTCGGTGTTGTGTTGAACTGTATTGTGAGAATGTTTAAGGAACGACTTTTGACCCAGTTTCCCACGTAGCCTCGTAAAAGCCAATCAAATAAGCTACAGCGTCTTCCAAAACAGTCCCACTGTGCAATGCGACACAACACCGACCCAGTCTATCGAACAACCTAAGAATTGCCAATTATGTCATTTCCATTGTCAATACTCTCATAAACCAAAACCCTCGGCCAATGAATCCACGAAAAATCGCTGTTACTGCATAACAAAATTTTCAAGCGTTAGGTATGTCTTGATACAAAACTTATTCTACAGATGGTTTACCTTCTTCGCCATATCACTGTCCTCTTCAATGTCTGCGATCTCTCTCCCAGATGCACCACCTATCCTTGTCCCCATCACAATGTTACCAACCATTGTAGCTGCAGGACCAGGCTCTAGAAAAAAGAATCAAGCGGTGTTAATAGTGAACTTAAGTAACAGGTCGGGAGAGGAAAGAAGACGACAAAGCTTGTGTGACAAGCGTGACAATAATTTTGTTTGAAATAGCTTTTCGCCAAACTTCACTTCCCTTTGAACAGATATTTCTGTCACGTTAGTCACACACAAGCGTCACGCACAAGCGTTTTGCCGTCCTCTTCCTTCTTCCTGCTGTCCTGTTGCATAAACTCATCAATAATTCATGTAGAGTTTAGAAAATGACTTCCATGCTTTTCACGTTCTGATTGGTTGACAACCTTTTGTTTACTACACCAATAAAAAAAGGAAAAAAGAAAGTTTCCATTACAAGTAATGTTATAAACGCAAAATACCACTTTCTCATTTATCTCGAAAACGTAGTTAAATCTACTCTGAATATTGCGAGAACTCAATCTTAATCTTAATAGTGGACGCGGCTTTTTCTTACTATACCAGGGTGTTTTTGCCTTGGTTGGGGCAAGTTTGTCACGTAACTATGGGGAACACATCAAAATTAAGGCCAGAAAATTCTGACCATTGCTTGAACCACTCACAAGCCAGCCTTTGCATTTCTTTCAATAGTGGACACATAGTTTTCTTACCAGGGTGTTTTTGTCTTGGTTGAGGTAGGTTTGTCACACAAGTATGCGGACACATCAAAATATTAGCTGGATGCAGTGAGCCATCCATGAATTTCTGTCTTGTCTCGTGAATGTGAACACCACCGCTACTGTTCTACAAGAACAACAATTAACTTTAATCAACAACTTGTAGTACGCACCACAAGGCTTGAAATCCAGGTCAAGTCAGGGACAGTGAAAGCATAATTCTGTCAGTGTTGCAGTACTTAAACCACGCTCATCTAGAAAGCTTACTAGCTCTTAGTTTTGATTGATCAATGGCAGAATTATCATTCTAAAATGTTTACTATGGGGGTACCAAATGATTCTAGCGCAATTCATATTTATTCTAACATCCATGATAAGCAGATATGACGATTTCCGAGGGTTTCCGAAGATATTCTCAAGACTTTTCGAGAATTGCAGTTAATCTAGCCTAAGAAAAAAGCCGACATTTCGCGACGCTACCACTGGTTTCCCCGCGAAATGACGTCTGAGCGAGCGAGCGCAGAAATTCCTTATTAATGGCGTATCACTACCCAGATCTGGGGTAGTGCTTCTGATTGGTTGAAGAAAATTTCCCACGCGGCACGACCAATCAGAAGCACCTACCCACAGATCCATGTAGTGATACGTCACCAGTATGGAATTTCTGCGCTCGTTTCTCAGACGTCATTGGCGGGAAAACTAGTGGTGGTGTCGCCAAATGTCGGCTGTTTTCTCAGGCTACAGTTGATCTAAATTTGACTTGAATCCTAACAGAGATGATAACACTGGGATTAGACGACACCACGGAAAATTTGGATTGCTTTTGTTTTCAGCTAAATTTAGCACAATTAAACATGGCCTTTCATCAGTACTGACTAGCAAGTCTGTACAGTGACGTTTTGATCAATTTTCAACAACTTACCTTTGGTAAACCACCAGGTGCGACTAAACATAAGCAATAAATACCAACCTGCAGAGAAAAAAGGTTAAAAAAGCATTACTTCCTTTCTTACAAAGTGTTAAGTCCATCAGGATGCATCAGCAAAACGGATCAAGAAAAATCCAAGACTTACATTGTGAATACTATCAACAGCAGGCAATACGTGACTCATCCATTGGAAACTCTAATGTCAGAGGAGAAAAATTGTTGAAGTTAGCACTGTCGTACCTCTGATACTAAGATTAGAGAGCTTTAGATTCTGAGACGAGTACGAGCTACGAGTACGAGATTTTGTCAATACTTAGTAGTGCGCGCGTGTGAACCAGCGTCATTTTGGGATTTCTTCATAAAAAAAAAACAACGCTCTCACCTCCTCCTCAGTGCACTGTGGTCGCTGCTCAGCAACAACAACAATTCTGTCGTCTTTAAGAACCGTAATGGAAAAGATGGCAATCCTACGAGAAGGAAAACATGCACATTTTGAACTTTGTCCTATCGCAAAATCATCAGTTTAAATTTAAAAGGGATAACCCAAATGGTTTTGATGATTTTTAAGAAAAAATGGAGTTACAACAAATCCTCTATTCTGAAGGGGCTTATTTACTGACAGCCTGTTTGAGGGGGGTGGGGGCTTATTTAATTTAGTGAAGACGATGGTATCATTTCTCCGCAAAAACTAGACCTTTCAGTGGAAAAGCTCAGGGGTATGATGCAGCCGAAAATGAGAAAAAAAAAACGAGCTTCCAGCTGGTGAATAAATCATACCAGATCGTGGATCAGTCCACGTGAAGTGTTACAGACTATCATTTAAGAATAAAGGGGAAGGGGAGGGGAGGGGAGGGGAGGGCTTAATAGGGGATTATGGTACTAGCTAGCTAGCCTGGCTTCTTCTGTATACAAATTTAATTGGATCAAACGGAAAAAAGGGGGGAGGGGCTTCATACAGAGGGGGAGAAAGGGGGCTTAATGGAGGATTTAGGGTACACTGATTCCCGGTTTATATCTAACCTGCCTCTGTAGACAAATTTAATTGGATCAACAGCTAGAATAGTAGCCTTTAGATCATCACAATTGTGTCTTCTACCACTGACTTTTATTATTCCATCTGCTGTGCCACAGACAAACACCAGTCCACCCTGGGAAACAAACAAGGCAAGAGTGTTAAGGGTAAGTTCAAACATATATATATATATACTTTCACGCTTACAAAGGTGTTCTGTCCACTCCTACATTTAAATGACGTAAGCTAACACCATAAACTGAAATGGAATCCAAACTGTAAAATTAATTGTAAATTTAGATGTTCAATGTAGTAGTTTCATACACACTAGGCCCCTAAGTTTAGCTGGTTGTTGAGCATTACGGATCCTTTTAGTGTACTTGAGTTATCCGAGAACAACTACAGACCTTGATTTGGGTAGAAAGAAATTTGTCTGCCTAGATAGGCAATTTATGGATATAGCTAGAATGTGAATGACACCCAACTGCCTATTTGTATGTTTTACTTATGTTTTGGTTGTATGTGTAAACAAGCCTAAAGGCCTTAGCACTTCCTTTATTAATGTAGCTAAGTGCTACAGAAGAAAACAAAAAAATGCAATGAAATATACTTACGGGTCCTAAGAATCCTAGTAAACCAGTTCTGACATAATCACTAGGAGGATATTGTTCACAAGGAGCTCCATCGTCTAAAGTTGGTTGAACCTAAGGATTAAAAGAGAACAAAATAAGCTGAGCTAGTTGAAGGGGGCTAGGTCAAAATACATTAATTTTATCTTGTCAATGTAGCTCTGGCCTTTAATTTCAATATCAAGATACAAATTCTTCTTTCTTTTCCCATACACTTCTTATAGAAGAAGTGCAAAGAATTTGTTAAAATACTATGAGAATTAAACCTGTGTGATCATCACCTTAACCCTTCAAGTCCCAATAGTGACCAACATCAATTTTCTCCCAATGATATCTGTACATTGTCAAGAGACTAGGTTATGAGAATTAATAAAATGATCACCTAAGAGAAAATACTTTGATCTTTTGTCTAGCCTGAGTATCAGGTGTTTCTGGGGGAAAAGGGGAAAGATGGAAGCGAAAAACTTCCTTTCTGTTCTCCCCCTCCCCCCTCCCCCATGGGAAGGCCTGATACTTAGGCTATCTTTTATCAAATTCTCTCAACTCATTCTTTAAGGAAATATATAGAGATCAGTTTGGAGAATTTGTATGTGGATATTGGGGCTTAAAGGGTCAATACTCATGACCTCCCTGTTTGTTAAGTACTGATATCAAAATAAGAAATTTGTAAATCAAGAACAAAAACCCCTTTTTCAAATATGACACTATAATGGAGTAAGAATCGCTTTTTGGTTGAGTTTCAAGGAGAAAATGATCGTCATTCAACTATTATCCAACAAATAAATACCTTGAATGTTTGATTAGTCTTGCCAGCAAGTCCCCAGTATGCACTCCCTGTGGCACCAGAGGCAATGCACAGTTCACCAACCTCGTCACTTTTACACAAGCAGGGAGGTCCTTCAACTTTAACCACCGCTATTTTGGCTGCAGGAAATTCGAAAGTACAGAAAAGATTGAATTAACTGAGCCTTACAATAATTATTTTGGAAACTTTTGTCAGTAGAAAGTCTTAAAGAGATGAGCAGTAATTTCCATAGTATGATAATAACACTGCCCATCAAGTCAGTGGGTCAAGTCCTAATGTACGATCTTTGAAAGCCTTACATTTTCATGTAAAAGAACAATTTTCATAAATGACACATTCATAGTTGGCTCCAAGGACTGGGAAAATAATAAAAAAAAAATCTGTAATTCACATCCCTGAACCTCAAGATGATTTCTTTGCGTTCACCATGCCCCCTGATACACTGAGACTGGTATATTCTTCAGTAATTTAAAGAATATGCCTTGAGATGGAATTTCAGCAACATTTTAAAACAGGACAGTTGTTTTCTTTATCTATTCCCATAAACTTAAATGTTTTAGCAATCTTTCAAAAGGTGGCTTAAAAAAGACCAGCATATTCCCATCTTCCAAATAGGTTTACATAAAACACATGGATCAGACACTATGACATGAGAACAATCTAACATACCTCCGGGTAGAACTGTCCCACAATCCTGTAGTGTCAGTGACGTCAAGGAGCCTTCCTTGTCAACACGCACAACTCCATGACTCAGACCAGATAATGAAAGCACACCTCGACCGGTAGCAGTTGTTCCTGGTTTACCAGGTCTAAAACAACAAAAAAAACCAACAACCTTTATATTTGTACTCTCTAAGAAATTACAACAATGAATATATTGAAAATAAAATTTGAGTACTGGCTATCTGAAATAACCATGGAGGCTAGCGGAGCCAGGCAGGTCTAAAATGCTTTTTAAGATGGAGGCAGAAGCAGGTCTATAAATTTTCTCTTGATGATGTATGGATATTGTTAGGAGGAAGATGATGTTGATCTAAAAACACAGATGCAAATGGTGTCTCAAACACAGATGCAAAAGTTGCAAATGACAAAATGACAATCATCTGATAACTCAGCCTGAAAGTAAAAGGTTTTTCAAGATCAATCTCTGTACCTTCTTAGTGCAACTGTCATTGTTTCTGTTGAACTTGCACAGGGACAAAGAGCCTCAGGCTTGAGGCCTTTGGCCTCAAAAGCGTTAAGAAAGGAATCACAAGCTGACAACGACCCTAAACGAAAAAACAGCAATGACAACTATAACATGAGCAGAGAAAAAAGGAAAAAAAGTAGTTAACACGTTTTGAATGTCCTTCTTGTTTCAATTGTCTAGCATTAAAGTCGACTACTTCAGAGCTGGACATTATCTGTATCACAGAGAGGTTGGATAAACACAAAAATCTTGAGATGACACTGAAATACAATGATTTTAGAACTGACAAAAATCACCAATGGTTCACCAGGTTGTTGGCGGTCAGTCAGCTCACAGGTGGCTTTGTTGGTCAACCACTGTTGACTGTCTGACACACCATGTAGTCTGTTGCAGGCAGCTGCTCTTCACAATATTACTGGACAGTACATGTATAGTATGTGCAGTAGTAATAGTCAAGTAGCCACTCACATGGATTAGCTCTGTCAGCCAGTAGCAACATCCTAATAGTGGTGAGATTGATATCTTTGAGATCTTTGCTGGCATGCAGTGACCAGTGCAGGTCTCTGGAACTCACCAATGCACAGGTAGCTGAAAAGAATTTTTAACACATAACAGTTTACAAAGTAATAATTAGGGCAAAACAAAAGATAGGAAATGAAACAGCTTTGACTCAAACAAAGAGGGAAGAAAATTAAGAAAGAGATAGAGGAGGATGTAGACTAGGAAGAAGGAAAGAATAAAAAGATTAAGGAAAAACATACAAACAGTAGAAATGTACTTTAACCAAATATGTTGTCATGCAGTCAGATAAATTTTTTTTCTTTGCAATCTCAACTTTTCATGCCAAAGCAATCTTGTGCCAAACATCGATGCCTTATTGCAATAAAATTTTGGCACATGTATTTCAACTTTATTTATTCTTTGTCAAAAAATTACTCATTACAAATAGAGTGATAGCAGTTTTCTTACCTCTGTGTTTTGTTACCATCTGAAGCCACATGGCCGGGGAATTCTTCAAAACTGCCGGTGGTACATAAATTACATGCATGCCATTCATTACATTCTGTAACAGGACAAAAAAGGAGAAAAAATTAACTGGTACTTATAGCCTACATTTTTTATCACTTCCCCCAGAAAAACCATTCTAACAACACATTACCCCAGATTCTTTTGACAGACTACATTTGTTGACCACAACTTTAGTACTGTCATAGTCACCAGAATGCGAATTGAATGTTATTTATTAACATTTCTCTATACCATCAGTGTCCTGTGTATCTTATTTCTGCTGCTTTGACCACTAGAAAAGATCACTGAAATTACATTTTAGTGTCACTGCACTTACTGTTAAAACTGAATGCCACAATCCAACTTCTCTTTTTGGATCAAGAACACTTATCATTAATTCACCTGAAGGAGACAAAAAAGAAGAAAACAAACGGTTCAACTCCTTAAGCCCTAAATGTGATCAGCATGAAATTTCTCCTTATAATATCCATGCTTCAGAAAACAGAGTGGTCATGAGAATTGAGTACATGATCAGGGAAAATGAGTCTAATTGATATTTCAACAAATTCTCCCCACTACTTCTATTGAAAAAGTATAGGGACAGTAAATGAGAATCTCAATTTTGATATTAGGGTTTGTGTTTACCTTCAGTGTAAGAACATGCTTGACTTAGGACTTGGGTGTGGAGGTTCATACTCATCCGTGTAACAGTCACTCCCATCACTGCACCATCTTTACCTACAGTAGACTGAGATAAAAATATTACATTTACTTTACAATCATAAACTCACATGGAATTAGTGTCACCGTAAGGCAAAAAAGGAAAAAATTGACTTGTCTCAGTCTTAATTCCAAAAATTGTTCTGTAGATCAGGGTTTCTTTACCAGGGCTGTCACTTACACCACTACGCTTTAAGGTTCAATGTACTGTAAGGGAACCAGTCATTGATCCAGCCCCCTTCTGCTTTGATACATTGGCAGGTAAAGACCCAATGGGAAATGGGAAAAGTAGCCAAGGCTTTCATTTTTCTTTTGGCAACATACAGTGTACAGGTTAATGACTCATGCTTAGTCAATAATTCGTGTTATTGTAATGACACCAAGATACAGTGTATCAAACCTCAATGTATGCAGGTGAGCTTCTGTCCAGATTTGAAGGTGGTTGCCAATCTTTTGGATGCCTGTTGAGATTTGCAGTGACAAACCATTGTAACTTGGGCCAACCTTGAGGATGTAAGAAAATTAAAATTTGCAAATGTTAGTCATCAAGAAGAAATAATTCTCACATACAACTGGAACCCATGCTGAGCAAACCAAGCAGCCTGATCTTACTATCAAAACCACAAATCACAGAAAGAGCTAATAAATGGCTGACAAGAAACTGAGACTACAGTGGATACAAGAACAAGCAGAACTCACAACTTAAAATCCTAAAACAACCCAAAAAACATGTGAACTCATATCACACACTCGAACCCATACTCCCAGCCATGCGTGAGAAAAACACTTGTTGTATAATGACCATTATTATTATAGATAGAAAAAAAAATGAAGATTAGAATGGTACCATGGTACTCTTGACTTAACACACTTTAAAGTCACAGTATCATAAATTGCTGATCTCATGTTTAATATTTGTAACATATGCACCAACACTAAGTACCACAGCCTTCAAAAAAGAGAACGTCCATGTTTAACAATCATATTATGTGACCTCTACAGATCAGTCTAAAGTAAAATGAAATTAATAATACTTCACCTTTAAATGTACAGACGTGCCCTGTTTCATCCTTGGGCAAACTTTTTAAACATGCATCTGACGTGAGTGCCCAGGACACCCCACAGCTACCAAGTAGAAAGCCGATCTGCTGACAACCAGGGTACTAACAACAACAACAACGACAACAAAAACATCTTAGTTGCTTGTATGCCAGCCTGTAAGCAAGCTCGTGGGGGTAGAGTAGGGCAGGGTAAGGGAGGGGAGGGGAGAGGAGGGTAGGGAAGGAAAAACACATCTCTTACCAAAATGAGTTGCTGATATAAAGACAAGTTGTCTTGACGCCCCATATAAGACAGTTATCAACTGCACAACAAGGACAAAAGAATCAGAAGGTTTTTTGTCTTTCAGGAGTGATAACCTTCCAATAATTGCATCCATTAGAGCACTTCCTTGTTATTGTTCGGCACTGAAAACCCTTAATGTATAAAATATCGAAAGCAACTATTAACTAAATCAGTTCAGTATTTCTAGACTTACATCTTTGCTTGAGGGTGGTTCAATAGGAACAGGAATGACTCCAGCAATAAGACATCCATAAAAACTTGTCATAAAATTGATAGGATCATCAACTTGATATACTAGTGCAACCTGTAGACAAAATAAGGCATCAATTAATGGCGACCTCTAAAATGTCTTTAAGATGCCAGTACTGATACTATCACAAGCAATTTATGTTCAGGTCTACATGCACACTGGTTTAGTCGTCTTATAATCACAGTTTTGCACCTACTATAATTCACCTTACAACTTCTTATGCAGAAGGGATGTAGTTTTAACCTTTAAGCCCTAAGAGCAGGGTTGTCACTAAGATTTCAAGTAGCCGGGTAAACACAACAAGTAGACGGGGAATCAAACGGCTAGAGATTTCTTTTGGTTCTATTTTTGTTCTATTTTCCAATAAAAGTAGCTGGGGGCCACTCTCTTAGTAGCCGGAGAAAATCCCCGGCCCCCGGCTCTTAATGACAACCCTGCCTAAGAGTGATCAGAATCAATATTCTCCTTGTAATATCAATGCTTTATAAAACAGATTGGTGATGAGAATTATGGACATGATCACACAATATGAATTTGCTTGATATTTTATCAACTTCTCCCCACTGCTTCTGTAGGAAATGAATAGGGACAACTAATGAGTATTCAAATTTTGATCTTAGAGTTTAAAGGGTAATGACTCACTCTGTCTCCAGTCATAATAGAGGTCCCTTCTTTGTGACTTCCGACCTTGTTTAGTAAAGCATATGCTAGCTTCATTGACCTAGAAAGAAGTTTACCTGTAAATGGGAATGAATAAAAAAAAGTCATGCTTTTTGCTGAAGTAGCTTCTAGGGATCAGCTGCTTATTACTTTACTTCCACCCTTGGGTTACAGTAAAATCTCAAATTCTGTATAAGGCTCATTTGCTGGGTATCCTTTATTTCATAGTTTTGGAGCTTTACACTTCATACATGTATTATACATGTATAACTTCTGACAGAGCAGCCAACTGTAAACTACACTGTATTGTACTGTAACATACATGTACTGTACAGCACCCAGTTGTCAACACTCAAATGTAGACAAAGTCAGTGACCCAGCAAAAGTTGCAAATAAAGGATCATTTCATTATATTTTAATTTTCATTGACCATGTGTATGGTTACCTCCTTGGCCCCAGGGCTAAGTATAATTATGTCTGAGTGAAAAAATCATAAAGCAAATGACTACTCACCATAAGTGAGAGTAACATTTGATTTCCCATGATTGTCTACAACAGAAAAGCAGGAACCCTTGGGAGACTTAGTGGCAAATCTGCTAAGTGATTCCTCTAAATTTGCTGGGAGTTCCTCTGGAACCTGTAAACATAAAGACAAAATAGACTGTATTTTAAGGACCTTCTCCATTGTTTTAGATTTATTAGCCAGTCATATCATAGCAACAATATTATACTTTCGCATACAGTGTAATAAATGCGTAGCCTGAGGCAGCTAGTGAGAGTGGTAAAAACCTAACTACCACTAGAGATTGACTCTATAACAAAGAAGAATTGATTATGTTAACGGCGAAATTTGTAATGATTAATAAGCATAGCACAGTACAGTGTGGAACCATTATTTTAAAGGTGATAATTATTATGAACAATGAGCTGTAGTTTTGTAATACCCTCCTCCAAGCTTTCTCCCAAGACATGTATTGGTACAAACAATTCAGTATTCAATACGGTTCCGTCTATCAGGGCTGTCATGGAGGACCAGGGGCCAGGGTTCCCCCCACCCCACCCCACCCCCGCTACTGTGGACATGATCCCCAGCTACTTTCATAGGAAACAAAACGAAAATTGAACCGAAAGAAATTCCTGCATGTAGCTCTTCAATTCCTCACCTCCTAATTGCACACACAGCTGTACCCAGCAACTTGAAATCTTAGTGACGGCCCCCTGGTCTAACTTTTCCATGTCTCCCATGAACATAGACAAATTAATTTTTTTAAAAAGTAAATAAATTATCATGATAAATGTATCACCTGCAAGTTCTCTCCAGCCACAGGTCTCAACGTCTGTCCTTCAGGTCGTGGAGCATTTGGATCAGGCTTGGTTGCTTTATTAAAATTAAATGTATTATTAGATGTAAGTCAGGTCATGATGAAGTGAATTTAGAAATGTTATTTGGCCAACAACACAATCATGTTCATGCAGACCTGACAGTATTATCTAACATAATAATCGTATTCCTATTCCACTTCCATACCACTACTGATCAATGCATTAGGACATTTCAGATGAAAAAGTACAAAAAACAAATTTCCCTCCATAGATAAGCCCCTCAAAAGGGCTTTGAAAAATATCAGCCCCATGTATATTTTTCAGACCATTGACTCATTCCCATTCTGATAACTACTGATCAATCATCATTTCAGAAGAAAAAGTACAAAAAACTGTTCAAGTGCACTTTTCTTTTATATCTTTGCAGAAATGAACAATGCAGGGGGGATCAAGGGTTTGCAAGCGCGACACGACAGGGTTATTATACAGACTGGAAAGAAAAGAACAGTGACTTGTATTGAACTAATATTAAAAGCACCTGGATAACCTTGAATTCTTCCTGCTCTCTAACTAATCATTTAACGCAACTTTTTGAAAACAATCTTGACCTTACCTTAAGTGTGTTAAGTAGCTGTTGAATTTTAGTTGACACTCGACTGCTTGACACTACAAAATAAAGTCCATGATATTAAAAAGGTCCCACTTCTGCATGCATGCACAGTCACTGATAACTAGAATTGCCTCCTTAAGTGGGAAGGCTTCACTTTGTTTATAAATAAGGCCAAAAGCAGCTGACCTTTGCTAGTTGTTAACCCTCCCTAGCACACACATTTAAGACTGTGCAATTATTGTACAGGTACATATTTAAAGGACTATGGATGTTTACAGCTGCAAGGGTTTTCAAGATGTAACTGCCACCGGGTTAAAGCTTCTAACAAAAAGTGAAATTCAACTATCCACAATGTTAATCAGAATTTACTGTGAATTTAATCCTTTCAATGAGAGGATTAACTTCGATAAGTCACAAAACCATTCATCAGCCTCTTTTCTTCCATGTCATCCTTTAACACATTTATCAGAAACATGTCTGAATCTTCAAGAGATTTCTGGGAGAATTATTTATCGTTCGGAGAATTTTCAATGACTTTACAATGCAACTACTCGAACGAGGGCACTTGGAATCCAATAACAAAATGGTTTTTGTTGGTCCTGTTGCAAAGAAACTTGAACATCTTTTGTTTTCAAAAACCACTGCGATTGGTTATTCCAACTGCCACAGTTTGAGTAGTTGCTCTGTAATTACATGTCCACTTTACCTGACAACTGTCCATCATCATTCTCTATTGTCCGTACTGATGACAGATGCATCACTCGACTTCCTTTGGAGTCAGTTGATGCAAATGCTTGTCTTGTTAGGTCCGGGGGAGGGGTGACAGGGGCAAAACTACCAGAGCTGTGTCTATGAAAAGCCATACTGTCCGGGGGAGGAGCAGGGAACTCATCTGAGTCTGCACGAGGTATGGAGTTACGAGAACTAATCGAGCCAGGGGGAGTGTAGTCACTTGGAGGAATGTTTCCAATGGAATCTTGTGAGGATGCAGACCCTACTAACATTTTAGAACATAAAATTATTTATTATAGTAATCTTTACTACAGTAGACAGGGAGAGAGTAATATCATAACTTTACAATATGTACTAGTTGTGGTCGCCATACCACATTTTATTCATGGTGACAAAAATCAAGAATGGTGGCCATTTTCTGTCGCAAAAATTTTTTCTTTGTTTTCAGGCAAGGAACTTGATTCCTTTTGACATTAAAACCATTTGACATTGTCCATAAATTAGAATCTCAACCACACTTAAAATTAATCTGTCACAAAGAATTGTGATAAATTTTAATTTTAATTTAATTTTATTTGCAAAAAGATTTTGCCCAGCTGGCATCTTAGATTTAGGATCGGATTTATCAAAGTGTTTTCATTATCTTCAAGCTACCAAGCTACATTCTACATGTAATTTGGACAAATACCTCTTTGAATTTGTGATTGAGTGCCATTTTCTGCAGGCTTCCGTTTTATCATGGATGGTCTTTTAAAAGGTGCAGGTAATTCAGGCTCAGCTTGCACTGTGAACCTTTTGGCTAAGGCAGCCTGAAGAGCCTCTGATCTTTGAACTAAACAAAGCACATACAAACAGTGAGTCATTCAATATTAACTTGTTGGCTGTGAAAAAATTCTGACTTCAGGGCCCCAAAAAAGTCCCCTCTGGTAGTCCAGGACAAGTAGATTCTCTTGCTGGGCAAGTAACCTTTAACCCTTTAAACCCTAAGATCCAAATTTGAATTCTCATTTGTTGCCCCTATTCATTTCCTGCAGAAGTAGTGGGGAGAAGTTGATAAGATATCAACCAAATTCATCTTGTGTGATCATGTCTGCAAATCTCATAACCAATCTGTTTTACAAAGCATTGATATTACAATGAGAAATTTGATGCTGATCACGCTTAGGGCTTAAAGGGTTATAGCTAATTTGTACAATCGGCAAGGATCCAGGCAATTCATCCCCTAACTCAATTATTAACTAAGATGAGCAAGAAGTTGTCCCGGACAAGCAAAGTGTGAGAGCTGTTTCCCCTAAGGATAAGCAGGAATTTCAGTTTTTTTTTACTTTCCCCACTGTTTTCAAGACTGTGCTCTAAAAAAAAAATGAAGGGAGCCCGGTGCTCTGAACCTGTGAAATCCAGGGTGCCCAGCATAGGATTTGTATGCAAAAATCAAGATTTTCTAGTTGCTGAAAAACAAAAGTTAAGCACCACAGGTCACCAGTCACTGCTAGAGCACAGCCTTAGTTTTTGACCCATCATTATACTAGGAATGCACCACAAGAACCAAATTAAAGTTTAAGCAGCAATACAATGTTGGCCATTTTCTTGGTTCAAATTAGGTGCATATCACCACTGTATGCCTGTTTCAATAATATGACTTGGATCCAATACACAGACACATCACAAACTAACTAGCTGTTTCAGGATGTCATTTAAATCAGAACTATAAGAGGTCTTCAAGTCTTGATACATGAAATGCCACATCCACCATAAACCTGTGTTGACCAAGTGCTTCGTAATCACTGCCTGCATCTTTTTATTATATCCATGACAAAATCAGTGCCTTAGAACATTTTTTTCAGACAAAAAATTATAAGACAATTCTTTTGTAATTAGGGATAAAATCAAGTATCAGTTTCCTACTTCTAAACAGTCTATTTCAATCAATCCCAAACAGAGCGAGTGTCATTTTCAATAATGCTTTCCAATATCAGAAATTGTAATAAAGCGTGTGTCTAAGCACACAAAATACCAGGACTGTATAACAAAGATGTGAGTATATCACAAAAAATGACCCATACAAGTAAGAAGACTGATCAATGCTGAACACACCACAAAACATAAAAGTGACACTCAGTTTTACAGACATTGCTTCATACAACAAGTTAGACACGTCCATGGAGAATGATGACACTTGTTAATAAGTATAAGCATTAAATTCAATAAATTTACTAACACAAGTTCTTCTCATGAAAATCCTCTATCTGGTCTTGAAGGTCATAACCCTGCTCAAGGGGAAACTGTGCGTCATTTTGTACATTACCCATTATTGCATTTGTAACTTGTTGACTTACCAGCCGCACCGTAGTGGTTATTCATGTTGGGACTGCTTGGTGAAGCAACATTGAACTCTAAAAAAAGAACATCAATATCACATTAATTTACCTTATTACCATAACTACAGAAGAAGATACATTAGACAAATACCACTTCCTTTCACTCTCAATAAAACTAAAAAAAATAACTCAATAAAAATTTAACATTTCACTCTCAAAAAACCTGACTATATGGCTAATAGAAAGGTTCCTTTTTTGAAGCCCTGATTTAGTTACGCACTATTCTGTCAAAGATTAAAACTGTAATTAAATGTGATATATTTCAGCTTATTCTTTAAGACATTGTTAAGGGTGTTATAATAGTGTACATGTAAATTCTTTCAACAAAGTGGTTAAAATTAATTTAAAATCAGAAAATTCACTGCAGTTGGAGCTGACTTTTAGTTTAATGGACACTCTCATTTAGGCAAGAGTTGTTCTTATGGCTATAAAAGCCATTTTGAAAAAAACACCACTAAATTGAACTCTTCACTTACAAAAACCATTAATTTTCACAAGTGTAAGTAGCCAGCTTCAGTTGTGCACACTTAATCTTTCAAATCCCTGAAGCTGTCTACTACATATTTAATTGACTTTCAACTGTTGATGAATATAATACAAGTAATAAGTCCCATTTGAATTATCATGCTAAAAATTAATTTTTGCATCCAGAACTACAAACTGGAGCAGAGTTTTATGACATGTATTTGTAAGACAGACCTTACAAATTCATATGCAACTGTTCTAAGTTAAATGACAACATACATTGTATAACCAGTGCTTTCTCACAGTTGATTTTGTTTTGTTTGTATTTTTCAGTACCATTCTTTGATATAAAATGGAATATGCAAGCAAAAAAAGTTAGAGACAGCTTACACAGCATGTGACATCAACAGCTAACTACGGAATAGTGTAATCATAAAGAAAAAACAATTGAACGTTACAGCTTAACAATGTATGCTTACAAAGGTGAAGAATTCATTTCTAAGCAAAAGAATGGCTGCAAAATCCTAAATACAATGGTTGTAATACCCTGAAATTCATGTACAGTCATGTACATGTATGAGGAAAATTTGTTGCCGTTCAGTCAAGTACAAACTTTTGAACAAAATGTTCATGTACAAGCTTTTGAAGCTAAAATTGTCTGTTGTACAACAACAACAACAACAACAACTCTTACTTGCTCATTCATACAACCTTGTGAATCAGGAATCAAGATTTTTCACTGCCCAACGTTCCTCACACAATGACTACTCCATCTTTACCAATATCAACCTTTACATTAATATTGTTCAAATCATGAATATTGGGTATTGATGTTACTGAAAGCAATACCAAAAGCTGGTAATAAATTCTCCAACAAATGATTGGATGTAACATTCAGAAAGGAAGCTTGCAATATTATGGCATTCATATTTGCATGAAAGAAAAAATTCAGCTCATATTTTAGAAAGTTGCCATCAACTTTAACAGAACACTGTATTTTGAAATGTGACGACGCAAACTTAAAAAGTAGCTTGAACTTAGGAAACTGGACAAAGAAATAATTTTAACAAGTAAGTTGAAGTATTGACTACCCCATGTCCATAAGATATACACTGGATGTGACTATTATACCCACTTTAGCATAAATAGTTATACTACTGTGTTTTAATACATTGTACATGTATACTTTAAGACATTTGAATAGCTAATTATTTCTGACTGTTATTCAAACATGCACAAAGTGATCTTCTGAATGGTGAGATATAAGAAATCTCCAAATGGACCACCTCAGAAATGGAAAAAAAAATATAAATACATGTAATAAAAGAAGAAGAATATTACATGTGCATACCAATGTACAATTGGAAGACAATTTATTCCTGCAAACTGTGCATTGTACGTAACTACATGTACCGTACATTCTGTAGGTACCAGTTCTAATACTTGTAGTTTCTGTATCTTAGCCACAGATAAATAAATCTGAAGCTCATTTACATATAATGTTATACAATAAAATTAGTAATATCACTGCTTGAAAATTGATTCTCTAGAGACGAGACTCTCATCTTGCGAGACAACACACTCATTCCTTCAGAAGGGATGCTTGTCGTTAGAGCAGCATGCAAAGAAAGTTGTGTCTGATAGGCTGCCCAGGGCTGGCGGATTTTGCTATCAGGCTAGTGAATTTTGTTCTTAAGGTACCCAATGGGAAAGTGAAGTTTTTGGGGAAATTCAATTTACATAAGAACTGTAATCAATCATACTGATCCAAAAATGTTTTCGGGACTACTTAACATTGACTTTCTTTGCACCCTGCTCTGGACATGAGACCCTCGACTTGTGGGAAACAAGACAAGGCTGGAAACTACATGCAACGTTTTAGCAGTGCTGTGATCAGTATTTTCCAATCACCTGTGGTTGAGTCTGAAAGCTTGGCCTCTATTGACCAAGCCAATCTACCCTTTTCACTGACTAAAAAACATCTTTCTTATGTATTCACCAGGATTAAAATTAACCATCACATTTCTATCATTGACAGGGCTTCTGATATTTCGCGCTGTCGCGGAGCAGCGAAATTCAGGTATATCCGCAAAATCCCGCGAAATTCACAAAAACATGAAAAATACTGCCAAATTCGGTAGAAATCTTATCAAATACATGTCTGTACAACATATTTGAAACTTATTTCAGCTATAGGGGCTATTTACTTGCCGTAAACTTGCAAATTTATCTTGGAACTTCATGACTGAAACATGCAAACAACATCCCAAAACTACCAGGTGCAGATTTTGTTGCGAAAAACTGGGCACTAGCTGTGATGCTAAAGGCTTTGCCATTGGTTCATTTCTGGAGTGTATTGTTGTTGAAAGACTGCAAATGATGACCTCTGTTAGAAAAACGTTAAACAGTGCAAAACCGATCGATTTCTAATGAAATTTGCCTTGAAAATAACCACAAAATCGGCTGTTTTTTACCGATTGCTTTTGGGTGAAGTTTGCCCCGAAAATTCCCTCGAAATTGGCCAATTTTTCCGCAAATTTGTCCCTAAAAATCTCGCGGAATTTGGATTTTTTCTTCCGCGTCCTATCAGAAGCCCTGCATTGAGCGTAAGCACATATCAACATTCCCAGCAGTATCTAGCAGAATGCCGGATGGTTTGTGACATGAACCTACCATAGTTTAGTGGCCTTAGCTATCACAAGTCTACTATCGCTGAGTGGTAGAGCATCTGGTCTAGCAACCAGAGGGTCATAGGTTCAACTCCTACTGGGAGTACGGTACTCACACTTTTTCTTACAAGGGTTACATGTACATTCTAGTAAATTATCAGATCTGCAGTTGTGGCTCAAAGCAATTTTTATATACAATAGAGGCATAGCCAGCCCATAGACCTGTAGGCCTGGGCCTACAAATTTTTGGATTGATCACTCTGCCGCTTGTAATAAATTATGTGTGGTCAAGGTGCAAAGAAAGTCAGTTTTACAGCCTGCCATTCGGGCAAGCTGTAGCTAGCATGTGTACTAGCCCACAAGTCATTTCAACTAGCCCCAAAACCCTTGTTGATTAGCAGGATTGAATTTCCCCAAAACACAGCACTTGCCCGTCGGACAAGTTAACAACAAAAACCACTAGGCCAAAAGCAAAATCCACTAGCCCCGGGCTATCAGACACGACTTTCTTTGCACGCTGGTTATGGGGGTGAGCTAAAAAGCTTAAGAGCTCAAAGTGTTGGTGAGGTCAGTGCAAACTAGTCATGCGTGCAATTTTCAGGATATGTGGAAATGAAAGTCAGCCAGGCCTACAACTAGTAAAAAAGCTGGCTATGCCCCTGCAAAAGTAGAAATGGATAATAATCCAGTTTCGAATTTGTCGTAGCTGCAGAATAGACGCACTGAAGACTCATTTTTAGAGGGTAAGCTTCGACCTAAAGTAAAATATTCTCAAATAACAGAGAGAAGATGCCTTAATTTGAGTTTAAAATAACAGAAAAAGTTATACAAAGTTTTCTTCTGACTGGAATTTGTGAATATATTTACCTTAGGTCGAAGCCAACCCTGTATAAATGAGTCTTTAGCACTTATATTTAGCAGCCATGACGAAATCAAAACTGGACTATCCACAACACCCATAATGAATAGGTGAAGTTGAAATATACCTAATCAACAGGTTTAACGTGGCTGGACAAACAGCTTCATGGGTGATTACATAACTCCTATGATAAATACTGATTTGGTGTGGAAATGATTGATTCTTGCTCAGTTTTCAGCGGAGCCAGGCAGGGGTGAACAGCCACCATCTCATCCAGAAAATCGCATCTTATTACTAACTACCAGTAAACCAAGCTGTCCCAGCTTGGCTTAGTCCACTGATCAATCATTTTCCCATACCTTAATGCAACTGAGCATGAATACGAATGCTGTTAAATAGATTACTATTTAATACTCATAGCCAATTCAACTTAAATCTAAAGGTCACTAATATCAATTTTTCTATTTTGTACCGTACCATATGATTTATAAGTTTTCTTTACACAGTGCTTCTTACCTCTGGACAAATACGGACCAAGCAGTTTGGCCCTTTTCTTTTCATATCCTTTCTGAGTGATGTCACCTGAAAAACACATTAAGTATCAAAATGAAGGTATGAACATTCTACAGTGTTTTACTAAGTTACTCTGGACTAAAAACCCAAATTCTCCTTTCATTTTGCGAAGACTTGCAGAGCAAATATAATAGGACAATGTAACAGTATATCAACATAATTATTCCCAGCTAGAACATCTCATGCCATCATGGGAATGGGCGACAAGGGTGCCTCACACAAGAGCTATGAGTAAGTCCCCTACTAAAAGTGACTTCACCATCAAAACATCACACGCGACGATGTTTTCCGCCAGCTACCCAGGCTATAAGTTATAGTTGGCTATACTTGGTGGGTCTTTTATTTGTGTTGTTTCATGTACATTCACAAAAAAAGTTTGTGGTCTCTCATTCCATTTCTTAAACAAAATTTAATACTTCAATGCCAGAATTTTGAGTTCAATGTCAAATTGTCAAAAATAGCTATAGGCAAAATGTCCTGCAAACGTTGCAATTTTGAAAATAAAATAGAAGAGATTTTCAATACCATATCATCCATAATTGTTGTGTAACATTTTAGGAACAGACTGGAAAGTTTTTATTAACCTTGAAATTGTCTTTGTGAATAAATTTGTACTAGCCAGTAACATCTGACTAATCATAAGAGGTCACATACCTAGAATATGAAACCCAGGGGATTTGACAATTATTACCCAAAGTAGTTTTATGTGCAAAATAAAAGTTTTGCATCAAAATATACAGCTGTAGATGCATATTTGCATAACTTTAATTGATCATAAAGATGTCAAAGCATCTCATTTCATACACTCCATCAGCTTGCCACAATTTTTAAAGAAAACAACACTGTCTGTTTTTCAGGTTTTTAAGAACACAAATACAAAACAAAACAAATAATAATATATTGGCACTCATGACGTCTGCATGATTACATTGTATTATTTTGGAAGTTCGGTAAACTTGTAAATATAGAATTAAAATTGAAAGGCTGTTATTTGCTCTATTTGCACAAGAAAGGTCGCCAATTCTGTGTAGGGAATGTGTAATTTTGAAGCTTTCGCGTCAGCACCGTACATAAAAGACAGTTTTTTACAACACGATTTTCAATAAGCTTAATATAGAATAACGGAACTCTTAATTTCCATAATTTTGAAATGTCAACATCTCAAGCTGCCAACAAAACGCAATAAAATTCTTCAGGATAAACGAAGCAGCCACTCTATTATATTCCTAGTACAATGTAGATTTATTTATAGACAAATACATTTTACGGTACACAAATAGAAAGCAAAATGAACTACAAACAAGAGAAAGATGTTACCTCAAACAACAGGAGATAGGGTATAGGTTAAAATTAATGTTTTCAGATTCTCAACAAGAAGAGAGTTATCATTAACTTTTTTATCACAGAACAGAGATAACATTTAATACGTATTTAGTTTAGAAAGGATTTCACAAATTAAACTTCGACTGTAACGCCTATCGGTGTAAGAACAAAAAGATCGACATCTTAAACTTGTCATAGACCGACTCTAAACCGATTAATCGTCTTTTATATGTTTTAACTTGTGACTCAAACTTGTGGGCCTTCAATCAAAATGCTCGTCTATTCTCTGAAAAGATCTCTCATGCAGCGATCGCGACGGGAAACATCAGATCTTCTGGAAATTTCAAAACATGACAAGGTACAATGCATTTTGCGAAATAAACTTTCGCAACCAAAACTGACTTTATTTCATCAGCGGATGGGTTTTGCTGTTAAATCGTCCATCATTACCTTGTCGACATTAATACTTTCCCTAAGTCATGCCGACAACGTCCTTCACTGAATCATGATCTTACAGGAACCACAACTCTTTACATATTCATAACACAAAGAATTTTTTAGCCTTGTTTGATCAGAGCCTTGAACTATGATCAGCGACAAGGATCTGCGAGGCATTTCCTTAAGAAAAATTACCTAGGTCAACACCAACAAAATGGCTGTCCTTGTCCCACTTTTAACATATACATTCCATGTAAACAGCTCTTAAAATCCTTGAAATCATCTACTCACAAAATATCCCAGAAATGCATATCCAAATTTCGACAGGTCTCACTTGAACTCGCGCAGTAAACAGGATGAATCAGTCGCAAAGTCACTCACCTTCGGCAAGTTCGGTGTTCAATTCTCGCAGTTTTTCGAGGACGGCAGGCGGTAGGGAAGATTCTGGGGGTTCTGCCATACTTGTCGGTCTTGACCGCGGCAATGGTTCTGTGAAAAAAAGTGGAAAATTCCGGCATTCAGTGGGCGAGGCGAATGTAACTGCACTGTACTGTTTTCGTGCTCACTCTCCCCTCGCAGAGATCGAGAAAGTCACAAATGTCACGTGACACCCTCGTCGTCACTTTCCCAGCGTACAACACGATCACAATTGTCTAAAACTCTACTGTAGTAGAAATCACCCATAAAAGACACTCTTCATGACTTTCTCAAAATTTTCTAGCTGATCGACGTGGCTTATTGAAAATTTCAATTTCAGGCAAGAGAGAATGAGCACGATAATACCCAAACAATATGCGTCTTGCGTGACTGAAAAAGTTTGTCACGCAACGTTGCAGATGGTATTTTTTCCGCGCACAATATTTCTCTTTAGAGATCAGAACAGAAGAAATATCAGTCCTCGAGGCAATGGCTCGGTCAGTGGCTATCAAACAACTTTTTTCTGATGAATCCCTTTTTAACGGAAATTAAAAGAAAAGCCGAAACCAAAATATTCAAAAGTTCAGAAAGTCATTTTTACTTTAGAATTCTATATTTACTTAATCAATTTAATATTTACTAAGTTTTTTGTTTTTAGAAATTGCATTCACTATGTTTGATTTTGAACTGTTCTTTTTCCCGAGAGTTTGAAAATTTCCATCCATGAATGTCATGAATGCTAAAATTTATTCACTGATAGCATTTAGAGACAGGTGCAGATACTAAAGGACAGGTATCTGAAGATAAAAAGAAAATTAGCGTATAGTATTTAAATGTCTCTGAACACACTCACGCTCGCAAAAGAAAAGATATATAAACGATTTTCCTCAGCTTAATGCCATCAAGGGTACATTTCGCGGATTTATAAAGTAAATTCAGCCGTTATATTTTCCAGGTAGCCCCTTGAGGCGAGAGCAGACAGGTATCGAAATAAATATTTAACATCCCAATGTTTTCGCCCATTAAAGCTTTAAAAACATATTCTGCCATTTTTACGGAACTCGCAACCGAGTCTGTTCTACTGAATTTATTATATTGGATATATCCATGAAAGCAGATGTACTTTCTGTTGGAACAAGTCAAAACGGCAAAATATAATCGCAATTTAGACTCGATACCGCATGGCTTCATTTTACTGATAACGGTGAAAAGTCGACGATCCTCTCTTCATGGGGTATCATCTCCCTTGTGATTAACGTAGAGCATATTGATTCCAAAGCGTGACTTACCGTTGAAATGGACAATTCGAGGAAATGACCAGCGTTTGTAATTGGCCATCTTTGAGGCTTCTACAAGCCGACCTTTGCTGTCAATTGCAAAGTTGAAAGTGACAAAGAAAGGCTGATACTCGAATTATTTTCGAATAAACCATTTTGTTATGACGTCATTCACGATAATACGCGAGGACCACGTGGAAATAAATGTTAAAGTGACTCATCAAAATACGGAAAATGTCAGTGATTACCATATAAAAATGGTAATGAAAGCACGTTTTTAGGACAATTTATAATCAAGAAACATGCACGATGTAGACATTAACTAGGATAAAAGCCCGGGACTCAGTAATCTTTTAAATTCTCTTTTGAATTTTTTTGTCTAAGTGAATGTAATCTGCATGTGTTGAGTTCTTAACTGAACGTTTTTAAAGATATCGCGGACAGCGTGACAATGCTTAAAAAGGTAAATGCACTTTTGATTTGAACTAAATGAACAGAATGAAAAGGGCAAATACAAAAACAGCGGTAAAAAAAACCGAGGTTACTCTAAAAGAGAAGCAGTATTAGGAAATGGCCGGCTCTTAATGCAAAGTAAGTGTTAAAAGAGAAAGTACAAACATTTTCATTTTTTGGCAAAAATATTATGTTTGATCTTTAGAGTCGTCGGACCTTGCATAAAAAGTTCTCACACAAGTTGGGGCTTCTGCCGGAGTTTACGAAACACCCCACAACACGTGTTTCTTTTTTGTTGTTGTTGTTGTTTAATTTTATGTGTGTGTGTGTCCCTGACTGTCTAAAACGCTATTCTTTTCCTCAAGGGTCTCACTGCTTTGGCAAAGCACTGCAAACGTTTTTGAACTCTTTTCCCCTGCTTGCCAACTGTTATATCATGTCATGTCATGTAGCCTAATCGCGCAGTGGACGACCGTCTTCGCCTTCATTCTCTGGCACGCCTTGGAAAATTTTGGCGATCATCGTTCCCTTGTCTTGACTCATCTTTGTATTTTAAAAAATATAATTATTCTATGGCGGGCGACAAGGGGAGTCTGCAATCCTAATCTCCAGGTTGCTATTACGCATGCTCCCGCTTCGTTTGGACTTCCACAATGAATGAATGGAATTCCCAGAACGCAATAATCTGATCCCGTTCGTTCGGCCTATCTATTATTCACAGTTTTGACCATCTATCACAACTAACGCAAAGCACAGCGTCGGAGCAAAAGCGTTTTTAACCTTCGACCATTGTCACCCGTACTCCGTAACCTTCGGTTGTTACTAGTTTAGGTGTAAATGGCGGCTATACGAAATATCAGTAAATGAACGGGAGACCCCTCAGGACACTTCTTCAGTTTATGTCACCGGGGGTACAGTGGGGGGAAAGACGGCCGTGTGGTCATCTGAGCTTCATCTGAGCAATGGAAGAGCCTATTCTACAGGGTAGGCACAGCCGAGTGATAATCGGCTCCTGGTAGTCAGTAGTACCTTCTTCCTAAAATATTCTAAAACTGAGTGCTGGCCCAGCGTTTCTTGGCAGTTTTTCATTTACCTATCAAAAATTGTACGCATCTTCAGCCAGTATATGATTTCGAGAGACCCTAAAACCTGACATCGATCAGTTATAAAAGATACGAAACCTGCTACAGCATTCCTCATTAACTGACAGGTTATTATGAATTTTGGCCAATTCTCACTCATGCAACTATCAGAGAATTAATGTACAATGTAGCAGACAATATTTTGACTTTGCCACTTGAGAGTTATCTCGTCTTCCATTACCTATACTGTTTCCCATGAAGCTATTCGTAGAAATCCTGGCCACTATATTTTTACGTGGAAAATCCATGTTCGGACTGTTTCCTTGTACAAAGACAAAAACACCGATGTGGAATCATGCCCCCCCCCAACTCGCACTTGATCTCGTGTTAAATTATCTCCGCTCACAAGCTTCCATAATATGTAACGTCATGTTCTAATACCTTGGGATCATCAATTAATAGCGCCGTGATCCTAAAAGCACAAGTTAGCACAAGTTATGCCCTCTGAAATCGCACTCTTTTATAGCGCTGACCAGCAAGAGGGACGGACGTTTAACGGCACCCGGAAAGATTCTGTTTAGCTTTAGCGTAATCAGTGCTTAAATTAGTATAGTGACTCTCGCTGAACTGAAAGGTATGATGACCGGTATACAGTACGAGGTGAAGGACATTAAGGTATCACCAAAAGTGAGAGCAAAGCAGTCATCAACATTTTTTCAGCTAATTTTCTTTGTTTAAGTGAAAAATTCTGCCTATAATAACCCTTCCAAGTGTTAGATCAATCTCTCCGTATCCATCTATACTCTAACACACTTTTAAACTGTCTAATATGTACTACTATGATAATTTGGAGCAAAACCAAGCAGATAGCTATCAGTGGAGATAAACTAACTCACATAATGTTTTTTTTTCCAAGGAAAAAGGGGTCTAAATAGCAATACTCCCTTAAACCCACGGACACGGTTTGAAAGCTCATACTCCTATTCGGAATCCCGTTCGTCCATGCATTAACTTTATCTCAGTAGCAAGAATTCTTCTCACCGGTGCCATTGGAATTCACAGCCGTCGAGGAACCAGGCAGCAAATATCGCAACATCGTGCTAAAAACCCACGCCATTGCCGACACGGAAATTCTCAGTGCGATGTAACCTACCCAAAGAGCAAATCTCGCAGATTTGTAGACGACAACAAGGGATTTGTAAAGCATTGATATGATGTCTACTGGTTATTTGTGTTGTCTACATCAGTAAAGCCGCTGTATAAGCAGTAATGAGTAGCCACCAGTGATGTTGATTAAAACGAAGCAATCTGATTGGCCAGATTTGAAACAGCGACCAGTCGTTGTTTAAATGCAGCGGATTTTCGTAAAGCTGTAATGTATCCGCCATGTAGGCGAGATTTTCATCGACCAAGGTGTGAGAGCATCGAAAACTTTACTAAGTATAAAAGTATTTAATTACGAGTCATGTGTTTTAACTAATAGCGTTTTATTCTCTGCTGCTCATAAAGATGAGCAAAGGTGACTGTATGCAATGCATCATGGCCTTCCTGCGAGAAGAATTGCTACCTGTGCACATTTTCAGTTCTCCGCTGTCTCAGCGCTAGCGGTTAGTTCCCACAGGAACGTCCGCTGTACTGCAGGGAATACAGATCCCCTTGCTGGGGTATTAACATCATTACAGAAAAACACCAAGAAAGCTAAAAAAATACGTCAGCAAGACCCGGGGCTTCGAAATTAAAGGAGAAAACATTAAACTAATCCCAAGCATAAATCGCTATCCAGTTGACAGTTGAAAGTTGGTTCTTGTGCGGGCACGATGAATAGTATTTTCTATCTTTTAAAAACCCGCTACTTGACGAAAACTAAATTCAGGGGAAATGTATGAAATGCACTCGCAAAACTTCAGTCAAACAGACCAAAATTGAAAGAAATATTGATGCGCATTGTGTTAAATCCGTGTTGTTGATCCGTTAACTAAACACTGTAAGAAGTTAACAATCTGATTGTTCCTGTGTGATACAAAGATCTGCGCAAGATTCCACAGTTAAATTTTCCTCCTCAAAGAAAGGCCTCGAGACGACGATTCCAGCGGCTAAGTCATTCTTGTCTTCAGAGTGACTCGTTCGAAGCTCTTGATAGTAACTGTCTAGTTTTGTTTCTTGGTGTTTGTATCTACGCCCGCGACCGTTTTTATCACGGTTAACAGACGTTGTTTTTGTAGTTTATATTTTTCTCTTAGTTCCAAAACTAAGTCGCACATTTGAGTCTTGAAGTCTTCTACAAGTTCTCTAAATTCAGCCAATAAAAATCTTTGTTTTTCTGAAAAAAAATAATAATAACAAATGTAGTAGATTGTCTAACTTGAAAAAAAAAATTGCAGTTTACAAAAGGCTGTGTCACGTTCCATGACGAACTCCGGTGTGTCTAAAACAAAGTAAGGCGTGTCCTTCTTTGTTTTAAAGGCTTAATATGTGGATATACGTGACCTAAGACACGCTTAGCGCGCCGTGTAAGTGTGTTGTGAACGTGCTTTAACCTTTAACATCAAAATCCTGTGAAGTATCTCATATTGGTCTCATATATTAAAGTTAAAGTAAAGTTATTTATGGTACCAAGAGTAGCTTATATAGCACCCTACCGTTAACCCCCTAAAAATCCTCAATTTCTCACAACAATATTCAAACATCATTAAGAGAAATGTGTACCGTCCATTTAATTACTCGATCATACGACGCGTTTACTGCCTAATAAAGCTTCAATCCAGTTAGCCTTTTTCAGGCCCAAAAATAGTAGTGCAGTCGTGCAGTAAAAATTGATGCAAAAAAACGCGCAAGGGCTGGGGAGAGAGAGGGCTGTGGCCTGTGCCAAGGCCACCACTTTACCAGAAGTAAATTTGAGGAGTATATCGAGTTACCTTGCGAATGAGGTTCAACCTTCCTTTTCTTTCGAATACGATATATAACTTCCCAACAGAGACCCAACATTATTCCGCAACTTAACATTGCCATTGATATCATTATGGTCTTCTTGAACAGTTCACTATTGGCGTCGAATAATCCAGTGGAGCGCTCCACTTCTAACGGTTCCTTAGAGACCTGCAAAACGAGGAAGGTGGGGACAGGGAATGATTTTAGCCAGGAGAAAAAAGAGGGTTAGTGTTGTTTAGGGCTGTGGAGAGGGGTGAATAAGTTGGTCAGGCTGGAAATTGAACTTGAAAAAAAATCAAGTTTCAATCCAAACCACACAAAATGAATCGAGCAACATGTTCCTTATAAAGCATAAAAGGGAAAGGGAGCAGTCCCTCCTTAAGACTCGCCTCCCTGATTGACTTTAGTAATAACAGTAATATTAGTAATAATACGCACCTGTAACTACTCGGCTCATTCCTCTCTTATCCCCCGAGAGAGGAAGATAGAGGGCCCTGGGAACAAGATTGTACTCGGGCTTCGCTTTACTACTCACTTACGTAGATCATCCTACTAAGCTTAATGGAGAAGTACTGCCTTAGTACTTTATAATTATAACCATGCACTTAAGTTCAAATTACCTCTATCGCCTCCACATTATCCGTAACGTGCTGATAAATCCTGGCTATGTTTTCCTGCATATAACTACGAAAACATGTTGCAAGCTTTCTCGAGTCTCCGCCTGTGACCACACCATAAACACTTGAATAGTCATAGATCTTGTAGATCCGGAGAAACGGTTTCTCAAACAGATGCTTATTGCCACCCACCATGTACCCGTCGATAAGGACCCCTTGTATTTCATTGGAAGAAAGAGACTCGTAGATTTCCTCGAAATTGCGATGTATCTGGTCTAGAGAAATGAAAATGTCATCAGGAAAGTGCGATGCAATCAAAGAGTTCCCTAGGTTTGATTTCCGGCCACCTAGGTAAATCTTGGTTCCTTCTCGATCAGCGCCTGGTAATCGAGCCTACGTTTTCGCCTGCTAACCTACGCATGCAAAGGGTAACGAGGAAAGATTTTAATCTGAGTTTGCCGGTAAAAGTCACAGACTTTTTTGGGCGCATTTTAAAAAAAAGTCTCCAGGGACTATTACTAGGGACAGCGGAAAAATTAGCAAATAGGCTGACTGGCGCGTTTCTAGTAACAATCCCAGAAACAATAGCGGAACGCATCTCGGCTCCAGTTGTCCTCTCGTTTCTAAAGTGGCTAATTAGATAGGCAGGCAAATTGTTGAGTTTAAAAGAAAGAATAATAACATTACAATAAAGTTCACTGGACGTGCGTGGCCTATATAACATGTATAGTAGCTTTATATGGGAAGCCTAAAATTATCTTCCCTGGTTAAGCGTCCATGTATCAAGCTTTATGTACCTTTGTCAAACTTAGCATTCTTTCTCAAACCTAAGTTATACTCGGCAGAACCATGGATAGCAGCGATCTGAAATGAACAATCATTAATTCAATCTTAATTCTTTATGGAACAAAGTACAGTCGAACCCCGCTTTACGGACAACCACTTAATACAGACACCTAGTTAATATGGACAGTTTTCTTTGTCCCTGGGGAAAAAACCCTCACATTTTCTCTTAGTCCGCCAGCGGTCGTTCTTTTTTCACTCAATTCAACCCGCTAAATACGGGCACGGGGCACCCGTACGCAACCTTCTTTCCAGGTTCTCTCTGCTATCCGTAGGAGCGGGTAGGAGAGAACCCGGGGAACGAGGTTGTTTAGTATAGACACTCTCTATGACCCCCTCAGTGTTCGTATTAACGGGGTGTGACCGTAACACGTATTTAATTACTTTTCGCCCCGAAACAACAACTTTTGATGGAAAATAAGCATTTTTATTGACAATTAGAGTTAATCCAAGACAGGCTCTTGTCTAAGATTGATAAAACGTTTTCAGTGCAAAATAGCCAATTTGATTTTTCGTTTCAGTAGCACTTTAAGTTGCTCTATTCAATGTTTTTGGGTGCACTTTTCAGGCAGAACGTGGCCAACGTGGCCACCCTTTAAATTTGTCTCCAGTTTCGAGCAAGAACCTTTTCACATTGGTTACTCTTATAAAATCGTTTGAACGCCGTAGTAGTAGTAAATTTTTTACGAACAATAAACGCTATGTTCGCACTACAAGGCTTACCTAGCTATCTTCATACTATATCTGATATGTCATTCTCCACTTTAGAGATCGGCGCGGCGCAGCTTCGCGTCCGTTACAGAAATCGCGCCGATATCAAGGTTCTTATGCGAACATTAGAAGTTCTTATGTGAACATTAGTATCCCCAGCCAGTATGGTTTTCGCGCCGGCGCAAACGATACCGGTATAGTATAAAGATACCCACAGTCAGGAGCCGATTACTAATCGATTACTATTCGGCTCCTGCCTAAGTCGTTCGGTAAAGAGTTCTCATGAATCTTTTCAGTGAAGGGTATAAATGTTCTCTAAGCCCATCATACGAAGGTATCATGATACGGAAATTTACCTTGGCGCCGTAAAGTTTGTAATCAATTCCAACTGTTTGGTAAGTGAGGGAGACTGCGATTGAACCGACCAATATACCAAGAATAACAACCCCCGTCAACGTCCAAACAATGGCTACAAGCCGAGCAATGGTTGATAAAGGAAGTCTATCACCATACCTGCGATGCAAAATGTCAGAATAGCTCGCGTTGGAAATTAATTTAAATTAGGCGTAATGGTAAAAACTCAATCTAAGCTATTTTAATATTCGCGCACCTTCTTGAAGTAGGAAAAAATGATGAAAAGTTAAGACTTCAAACAACCGCAATTTGTAGTCTGTCCCCTTCCATTTTTGTTTGTGAAATCTGTAATCCTGGGCTTTGGAATCCGGAATAGAGCTCAAGGTATCCGGAATCCAAGTTATGACAAAGAACCTAGATTCCGGAATCCACGGCGTGGAATCCACAATCCAAGACTGTGTTGGATTGCCTTATATGGAGCGATTCGATTGGTTACTCAAACCAACTAGAAATGCCTTGGTAATGGTGTTATTCATATATTGAAGCATATTTTTGTTTCTAAAGAATTCATTTTCTGCTCCGTCATAAATTAATCAAAGCATGTAAAGAAGAATTTCAGTAGTTTATTCATTTTCCTGAGTGTTTTCTTTACTTAAAAATTTAGGCCCTAATTCAGTCCTTATCACTAAACTTATCACAAGTAATATACAGCTGACTTCCTGGAATCAAAGAAATCCCAAGATTCATTGATCATCGCACTCACCCCACGGTTGTCATGGAAACGAACGCCCACCAAAATCCCTCCCATAATCCGGGTAGAAAGGAGCGTGGGAAATGTTCGTCATTTCCGGTCTGGTCCTGAAACGAAAGATGATTTAGATATAAGATATAACAACGTCCCCCACACCCCAGGTATTTCCCTTACCCTGTCCCCTTATAAGTCAAATAAATCTTACTACTATCCAAATATCACTGGATACCCTAAGAACTTCCCCACACCCTAGGAACTTCCCCTTCCCTGCCCCCCTTATACGTTAAGACAATTTTATCTTACCACTATACAAATAACGTATCCAGCTGTAGGCAAGGAAGATGCTAAATAACGCAAGAGGCCGGGAGGATCTGATGCCCTAGGAACTTTCCCGAGACATTAACCCTAGGTACTTCCCTACCCTGCTCCCTCATACGTTGAGACAAATGTATCTTACCACCATCCAAATAACGTATCCAGCTACGTAGGCAAGGAAGATGCTGAACAAGGCAAGAGGCCAGCTTGCAAATACAGAATTCACGAGAGACATAGACATATTGGCACCGTAATTTGTGTTGATGACGTAAGCTATACCAGGAGATTCCACGATTCCCAAGTAGCCAAACTCGTGTCTGAACTTGTCTTGTAGTTTGTAACCATACACAGGAAAGCTGAGGTCGTTTGAGTGAAGGATATTCCTGTGCAAAGAATTGAGGGTAACAAAAGAGATTAGAAACTAGCCAATGGGCCTGTGGTTTAGCTGCAGTTATGTCATATAAGGATCGGTAGGAAAAACGGTGTAAAAAATATCACGCAGAGGCCAAAAACCACTCATATTGATTTTTACCTCAAGACTAACTAAATTCTAAAATATAAGACCTTAGAAAGCAAGGGAAGACCGTGTCAATAAGCGTGATCACAAGTTATACGTATGCAACTCGTCAGCAAAAGGGAGGAAAAGAGATACAATTTAAGATCGTGTGCAATGGAAATCATGCTTCAAACGCCCAGAACTTTAACTAAAAGGACATTGGGTGACCGTGCTTTTTTAGGTTAATAAATACTGGAAGTATTACCATCACAAATACGAAAAACAATTTTTTAGGTTTAAAAATAAGACTCATTTTTTTAGATTAGCTTTTTATTAGGATTTTTTAGGATTATGTATATATTATATTTTTATAGATCCATTGTTTTTTATATAATATTTTTAGTTATTTTGGATAACTTGTAAATGTCGATAATTTGCTTCCATGTAATGCGCAATTGATCATAATTACATGTATTTTGCGCAATATAAATATTAAATTATTATTATTATTATTATTATTATTATGCACACACACCTACGGAAAACGTCTTCAGATTTTTTAAGGGATGCCTCGCCCATGCCGTTGAGCTCGTAGTCGATGTAAGACTCCCCGTGTGTCTTGCAATACTGACAGCAAGTTACTGCCATTTCATTAACGAATGGTGACACCAGACCACCTGGGACATTATCTGTTTGGTTGCCATTCGGCTTGGTAACGTAAGGGGCGAGTAACATCCAGTTTGCTGTAAGGCGCTTCACACATCGACATGTCTCTATGAAAATAATTATTAGAAAAATAGCTTGTCAAGGGGACCATGATCAGAGAGATGATTTATCAGTCAGTGACGCAGGTGGTTCGGAAGAAAAAATGCAAGTACCGTAATGATTCGATTTAGCGCCCAGGGCGCTTATTCGAGATAGGGCGCTTAATCGGGACAAGGCGCTTATTTCTTTTTTGAGAAACAACTGAACGTTCAAGACAAACCTATAACATTTATTTAAAAACGAACAGCGATCAATTTAAAATGAGAGATTATATGAACAGGCGGGTTACCCCATCTAAGCGGGTTACCTCAACTACCTGGGGTCCCCGTTCTCCGACCCCTCCCCTTAACCCACCATTGATAACCTGCGATTGTTAATACTGGCCAGACACTGATTACCTGCTGTAATGACTTCACTTGGACCATCTCCCTTTACTGTCAGCCCGGTCAATTCAATACGGTACACAGCAAAGCTCTCTAGTCCGGTCAGTACGGTAGATACACTTTCTGCGGGTACAATCACTTCCCTGGGGTTCTCTTCGTAGGGCAATTGGCCCATTTCTATAGCTTGATATCGTATTCTATAACCGGTAAGTATTCCGTTCAGTAGGTATGAAGGGATGCGGGTCCACCTCAGGGGAATTGAATAGGTTGTCCAAGTACTGTCAGCTTGTACGTTGAGCGGGGGTACATCTGGAACTGCAAATATTTACTAGTTTTAAGAATAAAGTTAGGAATTTCAACGCAAAGTAAACATTCACTGCTTGAACAGAGCTTCGTTATTTTTAGAATACATACAGAATTAGGGCCCTTCTATAACTGTAGCGGATAGACCATGTTCAAGAGCCCAAAGGGTTATGAAATTTGGGTGAAGGGGTTAGTTTCAAAGAAACTCTGTCACTGGGCTGGCGGTGAATTATCACCGGTGTAAAATTAGTTTTTTAAGAGATTTAATTTGGGCCGTCAGCCAAGTTGAAGGAGAGAAATCTCACCCAGGTTAACTGCTAATGAAGAAACTTAAACGCGAGAACCAAGTAGTCTCGAATCCACATTGTTCGGGCGTTTGTCATCACAGATAATATTAAATCACCATAGGGAAAATAAATCTAAAATTAAGTAATATTAAAGATTACAGAGTGCGTTCGACCACTCTCGATTTCAGGTTCTCTCTCTCTGTCGTGATGATGACATTCGCGAGTGTAAAATTTGCAGAGTGTCCCTCGACCTGTTCACCTCTTCTCCAATACAACAAGAAAGAAACTGGCCCGAGTGAACTATCGCAAAGACTTATAGGATTGTTGCCGGGGACGAGCCGCTGAAGTCAGCTATTGGCCTATTAACAGTCCCAGAAGTCTTTACGAACGTTAACTCGGCACAGTTCCTTCTCGCTTCTAATGTGGCATAATGCAATTGCATTCTTCTACGTCGAACGCAGAGACTGCACATTTTAATGGGCTGACATTAACTTGTCGCCGATGAATGATCCGAGTTGAACGGGTCCTAGAGAAAAATACATTTTAATGAGTCTCCAAGGAAGCAGACATACCATCTTGATCCGTCTTAAGTTCTTTACTTGTAACAACTCCGTCTCCTTTTATTGTGTAAGCTAACACCGTGACATTGTATAAAGTATATTTTCTTAATCCATCAATTCGGAGCCATCGCTGTCCGGGAGGGAGGTTTTCAGTAACACTGGAGCCATTTTTCACCTCTATGTAGAAAACTTTGTATCCTCTTATAATGCCATTTTTGTAAGCATCGGGCACCTCATTCCAGCTTACATAAAGTGATGTGGAATGTGGTGAAAAGACCTGCATGTCGGCGGGAGGTCGATCGGGTCCTAGTGGTAAAAGAAAGTAAAATTATTACTACGCATGTCAGCAGGGGGTCGATCGGGTCCTTAGTGGTATAAGCTGGTATAAAAGAAAATCAAATCATTACCGCGCATGTCGGCTGGAGGTCGATTAGGTCCTTAGTAAGGCCCTGCCAGGGTAAATTCCGACAAGCGACATGGCCCAAAAGTAGCGACAGCGCGTAAAATGAAATCGCGACAAGAGACAATCTCCCTCGGCCAAATTGCGACAGTGACGGCAAAGCCGACAATCAGCGACAAGCATTTATAAACACCGACACGAAGACGTTTTAAAATTCAGACGGGCGACATCGGAGCCCTCCCCCCCCACCCCACCCTGGCAGGGCCTCCTTAGTGGTGGGAGGTCCATCGGGTCCTTAGTGGTAAAAAGAAGGTGTGATATCTGAGTGATAACCTACAAGAATTTTGGCTTGCTATTCTTTGGATTTTACTGACTGCATTCCCGAGGCTGAGGCAATTCTACGGGTCTCGCTTTTCACAAACGGGATAAACTTCCTTGTGGTTCAGATGATGGCAAGTAGAAAATGGCAAACAGAAAAAAGACCTTTGAACAGTGCCTTCATGCAAAGTACACTAGCAAATAAATTAAAAGAGAAACGTTTTGCAAAATACAAAAGTTTTCAGTTGCACGCTGTCACTTACTATCTTCATCAGTGGAGACGTTTACTTTAACACTGCTTACACCATCTTTATTTGTCCTCGCCACTATATACACAGAATAATTTGTAAACTTGTATAGACCCACTAAGTCAACTTCAAGTGTCGATGAATCCACCGTGACATTCCTGAGCGACTTGATAAAGTAAGTTTTCTGTTCAATGAAATAAACGCGGTATTCCCTGAGGATCCCTCTTAAGCCTTCTGTGTTTATCGGCTGCCACGTGACATGAAGACTGGTGGAACTGGTGTTGTACGTGGTGACATTCGTCGGTGCAACGCGTGGAGCTGGCATAATGATACAACTTTGGATTAGCGAACAAAATGGCAGGGAAGAACAGTTTTTTTAAAGCTATATCCCAAACAAATGGATTAAACCACTAAGATCGAGCTAGGCATCGGGTAGGGTTAATCCTAGACTGTAAACCTTCAGACTTTCTCACCAATCTACCGTTTCGGTCAGACCATCGCCACAGCCTGACCTCCAGGAAAGTCTTGAGATGGGCAGAACCTCAAGAGGCTCCAACACAGAGATACCCCTTGTAAACCATACAACGTTTTTTTTTTGTGGCCACAAGATTTTACAGCGATTGCGTTTTTGACGCAATGAATTTACAATAATTTGACTGCAGACGGTAGTCGGTGCTAGTTGTACAGGAGTGTCGGAGAGACTGGGACTCTGAAAGAAACTAGAGTCAGCATGCACGAGGCACAACTTACCTACAGTAATTGCAAGTGATGTCAAATGCAGTGTAGCTAGCAAAAATCCAAAACGTCTACTTATTCTACCAAGTTTTAAGGGAGGCAACTACAATCCTGGCCAAAACGTTTGGCGAACCTTGTCTATCTTTCACGTATTGGAAATGCAAATCAAGCTAATCTCCCCTCCCCCCCCCCCACCCCGCCACAGAACAGAGTTGGGTGTTTGAAGTCAAACACCTTTTTACATATCCTACACTGGGGAGGGTGAAAAACCTTCCATGGTAAGGCAGTGCTTATGAGTTTGTATCGGCGGTTAGCTGCAGATTCCGTCCATAAAAATGAGAAAAATTACAGGGAAGAGTCCCAAAACCTTTTGGCCATGATTGCAGTCTTTAACTGGCTATTTTAAAAGACACAACGTACCTTCTTCATCTGTAATTCCTATTAGAGGTGCACTCCAAGGACCATTTCCTTTCACTGTAAAGGCACAAACCTCTAAACTATAATTTGTCCAAATGTCCAGTCCGCCTAAAGTGAAACTTAATGTTGAAGAGCCATGAACGCTTACGTTTCTCATGAATTCCCCTGTGATGTTACTTAGGGCGACCCTGTAACCCAGTATGACACCATTTCTGTCCTCTTCAATGACAGGAAACCATTTTACTGTCAAGGCTGTAGTGTTGGCAGGAAGTGAGGTCACATTTAAGGGGGCGCTGTCCGGAACTGAATAAAAAGAACGAAGAGTGAATGGCTTTGAGGTTACTCTTGTCACAGTTACGTTTTTAACGAGGCATTTCTTATTAAATTTCAGTAGACACGCTCTCTGAGAAGTAAAACATAAATTCCTTTTTCCTTGCCCTGGGATTTCAACTAACAAGTTATTCCTTTAGTTTCCTTCTTTGTTTTACTCAGTGTTTTACTGTACTTTGACTGACCAACCGGTCAGTAGCTTTTGCCGCGGATGGAACTAAACTTCTAGCTACGTTCGTCTGCCAAACAGCACCGAAATCCTTGCACTGAGTACCCACATGTGTGCCAAAATTTGAGTACTCATCGTGATTGGCCCATTTGCCAATAAGGTTGAAGTGAAATTCAAAACGCATTTCCAGTAATTCGTTGAGTCCGTCGGAGGCCTAAAACAAGGATATGAGCGCTGCGTCGCAGACGTTACTAACCGGGGTTAGAGTACGTTTGAGGCGCAGGCTAACCTGTCAGTGAAACGTCAGGTCTTACTTTGTGAGGTTTGGTTCAATATGATGTCACGTGGGTATTACCCATGTGCGAGCCTAATCTACACCTAAGATTCAAGCAGTGGAAAGCTGTTGATAATCATTAATCAAGGGACTCCAATGGGCGATGCCTTTCCATAGGGTTTTTTCAGGGTAGGCTAGGATCCAAACTATTCTTTACTGGTCTATTCCAGTCCTCGTAATGAGTAGCCTGAGAAAACAGGCGATATTTCGCGACGCCTTCCTTGGTTTCCATGCGAAATGACGTCTGAGAAACGACCGACTCAGATTTGGGTGGTGCTTCTGATTGGTCGTGCAGCTCGTGAAATGTGCTTAAACCAATCAGAAGCACTACTTACATCAAGGTAGTGACGCGTCATCATGATCAGTATGGAATTTCTGCGCTTGTTTCTCTGACGTCATTTCGCGGAGAAACCGTTGGTGGCGTCGCGCAGTGTCGGCTGTTTTCTCAGGCTACGTAATGAGAGAACGAAAACATTATTACCAATCTCATCCGTGAAGCAGAAAACAGGGTCTGAAACATTCCCATCCCCAATTATCGTGAATCCAACGATCCTCAACTCGTACTCTGTATAAACCTCAAGGCTAGTAATTTCTGCATCAAGATACGTTGAATTTACTGTTATATTTTGAAAGGCATCCATCGGACTGTTTTTCTTCTTGTAGAGGACACGATAACCCAGTAGTATTCCATTCACGTGATCGTTAGGGATTGGTTGCCATGTGACATTAATGCTTGTAGAACTGGTGTTGAAGGCGGTGATATTTCTTGGCGAGTTACTTGGGACTGAAAAAGAAGAAATGATGAGAAAGGTACTCATGACCTTTATAATTATTTTCTGTGAAATAACTTATATACAATATTGTGCTTCTCTGTTCCACATTATAAGATAATATCATGTTACAGTATGTGCCGGGCTCGAAAAAAACATGATTTTTTTACGATATCGACACTATCGCCCGATGAAGACCTGCAGTATGTGGTCGAAGTATCGCGATCAATGTCTAAGTGACTATTGTACGCGTGGGACAAACGATAATACCAAAACCTTTCGAACGTCAACTAATTACACCTAAGAGCCAATTTTTAATAAAATCTAAGATGACTAAAGTACTGCAGTCTACATAGCGTGATAAAATAGTTATTCCATACATACCATCCTGCCCAGTGGTCAGATTGACCTCATGGCTCGGTACTCCGTAGTCGACGGTGAAAGCAATCACTTGAATGGTGTACTCTGTATACTTTTTCAATCCGCTAAGCTCAAAGCTTGGCGAAGAGGAATCGCTAAGAGCTCTTTTGGTGCGACCACTGGTGACTGGTATCGTGACATTTTCACGTGTGGTGTCAGGAAAAAGTGTAATCCAGTAATTGACGACGTAGGCACGTAGTATACCATTTATGTGCTGTGCGTCAACTGGTTTCCATGCCAATGTCAGAGATGATGAGCTAGGGGCCTGCCCTGTTAAATTTGAGGGCGGACGGCTGGGAGCTGAAACGAAACTAATAGTCCTAAGGTTCATCGTTTAAGAGTCGGTAAACTGTAAGTTCTATAAACATGATCACAAGTAATCAACTTTTAAAATAAATCTATCGCAAGAGTCCAAGAAGGCTCAAATTAAAAATGACAACACTATAACCGGCATGATTAATCATCACGGTTGACAATGTCAACTTTCTGCTCAGCGTATTGTTTTTGCTTTACCCCTCAAAACGGAGAGAGGTATATTTTAAGAGCTTCTTAAAATCACTATCCCGTGAGGCGAGCTGTGAGGCTTGAGTAGTGGCCTCCGTGGCGTATTCCCAAGAGCGTCGCTATCAAACGACAAAACGAAGAAAAACGTTGTTGTTTTGCTCATTAGAGACCGTTAATTGTATGACGTGGACGACTACGTATATACAAGGGGTGCGCGCGCGTGAACCGGCTTCATTTTGGCGGGAAAACGTGATGGCCATCGTCATTCTGCTACGGGTCTACTGGTCTACGGGTCCTCGTCCTCGAATCTAAAGATCTCTATGATCATGTGGAGCTGAAAACCTTACCAGCTTCTTTAGTCTTGATGGGAATAACTTCACTAGCGTTTCCTTCACCCTTGCTGTTGAATGGTACAATGCGAGCTTCATAGTCCGTGTAGGGAAATAGATCTTCTATGCGTGCCTCATCTAGCGACTCCACTGTAAGGTTACGACTCACGTTTCTGAGTTTGTCAAACAGGAAAATGTGGTATCCCAGAATGAGACCATTAGCGACGTTATTGGTTAGCTGTTCCCAAGCGAGTGTTACACTTGTGGCGGATGTAGCCGCTGGGGTGATGTTTTGTGGGCTCCCTTCAGGTGCTATGACAAAATTTAAAAGGAAAGGTTATGTGCAATTAACCGTCTCTAGGATTCAATCAGTCGCCGCTGGGATCATACCTGCACTAAATGTCTTTTCGTTTTAGCAGCGTTCCCGCCTTCTAGACAGCCATGACTAGGCGAACTCCTCACTAAGCGGAAATTAATTTAGTCACCGAAGACAAGGATCAACATTTAAGGGAGCCATCCGAAAACACAGAGTTAACTGTAGTTTTTGTATTCAACCACTTACACTATTATATGAGAAATTTCTGCAATCTGATTGGCTTAGAGCAGTGGTATTTCAGCTTCATTTGAAATACCTACATGTGAAAATTATAAACCTTTCGTGGGTAGTGGTATAAACAAATAATAACATGATTTGTACGAGATATTTGGCATAAATACCACTTGTGATATTTCAAAATCACTCGAGGTATTTATGCCAAACATCACTACAAATCATGCCATTACCTATACAAACATTGATCTAATATACCTGTTCGCAATAGTTATCAGTATTGTGGAGATACTGTCAACATAATCGTGGCTTGGGGACAAAAACAGGAACGTCCGCCCGTACCCTACTCTAGGTGTACCTCAGAATTGAATTGGAGAAAGGGTATCTGTTGTAAGGCAGGTGTCTGGGGTAAGAGGAGGGTGCAGGGGTACCCTGCCCCTGTATAAAGATACTCACCGTCTTCGTCAGTCAAAACAGTTATCTTTTCAGTGAAATTTCCAATCCCTGTGTGCACTACACTCGCCACGGTGATTTCGTAAGGCGTGAACATGTTTAGATGAGTTTCATGCGAGTACAAGTCATTACTGCCCTCACAAGCTGCTTTCATTCTCTGTAATACCACTGGCACTTCAGTTGGATCATTCACGGATTTAAGGATGATTTTGTAGGCAATTACATCTTCATATCTTTCATTTGGAAGCACGTGAACCCATGTGATGTTTAGACTAGTGGAGCTAGTGTTGTAGGCTTGAACATTTGTTGGCGGACCTGGCACTGTAACAGTAGCTATGTTGTTAGGGTTTCAATATACTAATGCAAAAGTAATAAAACTTATAAGAAAGTCCCACTTTCCCGGTTTCTTAAGCACGAAGCATCTGGGTACCAGCCAAGCACAGGCGTACCAATGACATTAGATAGAGTACCAAAGTCCTCTATGGCTAGTGTAATTATTATCAAATTTCAACCCTGTTCTCCTTACAGCCTTCAGTAGCTCAGTAGTTAAAGCGTCCGATCTCAAACTCGAGGGTAGTGAGTTTAAGATGCTCACCATTTTCACAAACCATCCGGGTGGAAATCTTGTGCATAAACAGAAAACTAGAAAAATTGACGTTCTGGGAGAATGAACAGCTACAAAGTATGTCCAAATCAGCTGAACAGACTAAACAGAACTGACCAGGTCTTACTTATAGCTCAGGTTTTTTCTAAGCTTTCTGATGTTTGATTTCTCTTTTTTCCAAACAGTAATAAATTACGATCCCAAAAACCATGATTATGTCTGTAAGCAACTTACCACCCCTGAAAGTTTTTGCTTCTACTTGGGTACTGGGTCCATATCCTTTGACAGTAAATCCAGCCACACGAATGCTGTACCAAATGCCATAATCAAGATCATTTATTTCACACCATGATATTTGGGAGCAAGACGCGTTCCTCCAGTTGTTAGGTTCATTTTCCTTTTTGTAAGAAACTTTGTAACCAACAATTCCGTGCCTTCCGTCTTTGGGAACTGGGCCCCAAAGAACAAGAATACTGGTTGAGCCAGTGCTATAAGCGGTCACGTTTGTCGGTGGAAGACTTGGAACTATTCAAGAAAAAAATAAATAGATTCACGAGTAAAGTGTTTATTCGGCGATTACTTATAGTAGATTTCTCCTAAGTAACTTCTGCTCCCAGAAACCCGAATTGACACAGAGCTACCATGATTTAAGAAGAACAAAGGTTAACTAATTCTCACCATCTTGGTCTGTCCTAGCGAAAACGGGACTGCTAATCGGGCCCATCTTGTCTCTCTCTGTAAAACCCAGTATTTGAATGCTGTACTGTGTATACTTGCGAAGACCAGTCAGGATTGTCTGGTTAACGCTTTCATTCTCCAAGGTGACATTCGCTGTAGTGTCATTACCATCCTCGACAGCAAAGTACAGCACAATGTATCCCTTTATCTTTCCAACAACTTGTTCCGCAGGGATTTTGTTCCAAGAGACACGAAGACTTGTTGAGCTCGTGTTACATGCAGTGATGGACGTAGGAACCGTGGTAGGGGCTTAAAAGCAATTACAAGATATCAGTCAAATTAAAAGTCCTTCCGTTTGAGGCAGGCCAGAGAGTGATTAAGACTCTTTAGTCATCTTAATTTATAGTGTTATTCATTCGAAATATTTCGCCTTTTCGATTGGCTTTGATTCTCCAGCTAATTCTTCATAACCAGCTCGCTATGAACAAATTTGGAAAATAATTATGGTATACAATTATTGACGTAAGTCACTCAGACGTCAATGATTTTATATTACAAATTCTCCACGAGTGACGTCACCCAAGACAGCGGCGTGCATGAGTACAGAACTTCAAGAACATGGCGAAGAGCTCGCAGCTATGAGAAGAAGAAAAAGAGTCCTCGGTGGATAACACCCTCCTCGATCTTCACAATTCTTCACATCATGCTTAGCCCCATTCAATAATTATTAATCAAAATTACCAAGCGCAGCTGTCCATCTGAAAATAGGAACGCTCATTCTTCCTTCACCTTCCAGAGTAAACGTTCTAGCTGTAATCCTATACTCTGTGTAAGCCGTCAGATTCTGTATCTCGTAAAATGAGACATTCATTCTCGCAGTCACATTATAGTCTATTCCACGTTTAGTATCTCTGTAAAATATCTGAAAACCTTGAAACACGCCATGTCGCAACTCATGTGGTCCAATCCAGGTGACGGTAAGTTCAATTGAGTGTTCTTTAGAGGCGTTTGGAGCCTGGAGGCTAACTGCCATTATGTATACTAAAAAAGAAGAAAAGAAAATACAGGCACTTAAGGCAAAATGTAAAAGAATTCATTTACACTTCTTAAAAACAGTTGTATTTCAATTCGATTTACTAACATAAATCGAAATATTAGGTGCTTAATCACCATAACATTTTTTACTTACTGTAGTTGCACTTTCGTAAGTGTTTGCCATTTTTTAATTTCTTGTATTTTTGGATTTCAAAAACCAGTAAACTTTCACTTTGTTAACGTTTAGTTTGCTTACAATCTTTGCTGTTGGAACGCTTTTCGTATCTCAAAATAATCGATGAACATTTTTTCTTGAGTCGCGCAAATATAACTTAATAGAGTTATAACAGACGAATTGAACTTACTGTCATTCGCTTCAAGATTGTGAACTTGATATGAGCTTGTTTCCAGCCCGTTTATAACAGGTTCGACCGCAGTGTATCCTGCCTCTATAAATTTAACGGTAAACTCGCAGCCAATGAAACCATTTGCTTCCGGCCTAAAAATACCCCAAAAGTTCGTGATGAGTGAAATTTTTAACTGAATATACAGACCAAAAATTCAACAATTTTCTTTACGAAATATTGCTTATGTTGCAATGAATCTTTGCTATCTTATCCGTCTCTCACGGAATAAGCGATTTCAGTATGATGTTAAATGGTTTCCATAGACCTACCAATATTTATGAACAACCACTTCACCGACGCTTCCATTTGCGATGTTTTTAAGCTGCAGAAGAATACAAAGAAAAATCTTATATGAGTAGTATAGTATGAACTGTGTTATTCTTATTCTTATTATTATTATTATTAGTATTATTATTATGATCGAATGGTAGCTCATAAATAAAATGCAACATGAAACTCTTACATTATTTGATAATTTTTCTGTGAAAGACGTGAAAGCATGTGATTCCCTGTCCAGCATGTCTTCTTTCCAGGGGACACCGGTAAAACCAACGCTTACGTGAAGCTGCAAGTTCGAATCACCTGCAAAAAGTTGGATACTAAGCTGTCATAGACAAAGCAAGGACTCCCTGAGGAAGGATATAAGGCAAGTTAAGTTGGTACTACTACAGTGGGGAAGAAGAGATGTTACTATTAAAAAACTTCCACGGAAAGAAAGTTCGTCTCATCTTCAATATAACCAAAGATATAAAACACTCCATAAGAGAACACAATTTTGAATGTCCTTTGAATTTCAGTAAAATTAGAGGCCTACGACAAACGAATTACCTTTATAGTAAATGTAAATATCGCTTATTTCCTCTTGGGTTACAGATCTGTACCAGATAACTATGTCGTCAAAAGCTGCCACAGGAAGTCCTCTACCTGAATCGTCCTCTCCGATGGAAATTCTCGTAAAATTATCCTGGTCAAAATTACCATCGTAACACTCCTTAGAAGTGAACTTCATCACCTCTTCTCCATTTATAAACACTTCTATGCTATTCAGGCTGTCAAAGGTTTTGTACGTCAGTACGTAATGTGTCCATACTTCTTTTGGTGTCGGAAATGTAACGACGCATTTTTTGTTGGTACTAGTGACTTCAAACGCCACCTAGAAGAGATAATAAAACACTGTTACCTATGTCTTTTAACATTTTGGTCAAATTCAAGAAATTTGTGATGTCGTGTTTTCTTGTAATGATCAATACAATTAAAGGGCGCTATATTTGGGATGCGGAACGTCAATGTTATTGGTTGTGGTGCAGTTAGTGTGCTGTGACATCATGTACTATAGTTGCCAAGATGGCAGCGATTTTGAATGTCTTAAAAGAGAGTGTAAAAACTTAGCATTTTTTTTATATGTAAGAATTATGATAAAGAAACGCGATATTAAAGTCGACACTATGTGCCAAATCGGCAGACGATCGTAACCAAAGTTTCTAGCCACATCTACAAAAAAACTACCGAAAAAGTCTGAGCCCTGTGTTTTTATAATTCGGTTTTGTTAAAAAAAAGTCATGAGCGGCCATACCTGAGGACTGTCACTGTTAACTTGGTACATTCTATGACCTGTTCGGTTATTTCCACTGGATGTGAGAAACACTTGTCCCTCGCCTGAATCCTTAATTTTGTACCACAGCCACAGCATCAATGTGAACCCACTGTTACATAAAGAAGCATCGAGAACGCAACTTTTAAGGAGATTTTCGCTCAGTGTGAACGCGCCACATGCTCCATATCCAACATATACTGCCTTGCCTCTTATGCCTCTGATGGTGCTCGAGCCGTTTGCGGCGTGACCCCAGTCAAAACTCATAAGGTTCTTAATATCTTCGTGATTATCCATTGTCCAATGGAATGCGGCAGATTTTTTGATACTGTCAATTGCTGAAAGGCCTAAAAATAAAATAATGGAAAGGTGCAACTGTCAACAAACAACCCAATAAAAGTAGAAGCTCATTAATTGGTTAGAAACTTGTAAAACGTGAAAACTTCGCCAACAAATTTGCTTGGTGTAACATTCCTTGCATTTATAACAGCCCATCTGCTGAATATACCAAGTTCATTGCCACTGGAAAGGACGGACTGCTGTCGGTCGATTGTCCATTTCATGTACTCATGCGTATAGCCTTCAATCCCAGACAAATGTAGTTGGGAAGGTTGCAAAACTTAACAGTAGTCCATTTTAATGTTGGGATATGACAGAACAATTACGCGCACAAACAGTAACGTTTTGCTCAACAGGAGCCTTCCCAACACTTTTGACGATGATTGTAGTTTTTAGCCGAAACATTAACCAATGATTAAAAGTGGACAAAGCTGCCATTAAGGGAAACGCGGGTCAGTAGAATACATGTTAAAAATCAGGTTCACTAATACTGAACTAATACTGTTGTTAATGTGGTTAAACCATTTAAACGGGCATTTCTATTAGACAGGTGGATGGTTCAAAGACATAATGACTTATTCTATCTAACGTTGCAAAATACCTTGTAAAAACCCGTAGAGCTCCACTCTCATTGAAATGTGATTATTCCAAGCAGTTGGAAGAAAACGAATATAACGGGCCCTGATTTCTGGGAGAAGTTCATGGGTAACAACCGTGTCGCCGTCTGTGTTTCCAGCAAATTCCTAAGACCGAAAATAGGGTGTGTCATGTGGGAATTTGCAACCTACCTAGAAGATTAGGTACCCGGGTAGGTTAATTGTGATACACAGAAGCCTGTTATCTCCCTTTATCTCTTAAAATATGGCTAAGATTCACCGCTAAAAGGGGTAATGAAATGGAGCGTTTCGTTTAAGAATGCTTTTTAAAAGGCACATAATTACAAAGAGGTCACTTTGTGTTCCCCACGGTAGGTTTGTGTTTCGTACGTAGGTAAGGTCTGCATTAAAGCCAAGTCGTCGGTCAGGCCGGGCTTATCAATGTGTCCATAGCATGAAGCGACTAGGAGTATTCCTACTCCTCCCCACACAGGATCTTGACGGCACTATCGCAGGGTTACCTCCGGCATTAAATTTGCCGGTACTCATTTATCGGTGAAATAAAACCATTTTCCAAGTGAAGTGTCTTCTCAAATATACAATACAATGACCCTGGCCAGGGATCGAACCCCCAACTCCTCGATCAAGAGTCCAGCGCACAAAATATTAAGCCACTACCCATAGTCCAGCGGGTTGATAGACAAAACTGTTGTCATGTCGTATTCAAGAAGGGTTTAGAATGACATGACGGTATCTTGTTGATATGACCAGAATTTTGCGCCGTTTCCCAGAGGTTAAAGAGCGATAGGGATCTCCCATTACAGATCCACATAGTAGACTTGGCGCGACGACTCAAATCAGCAGACTTTTTCTTAACGGACGCCTCTATTCTATTAATTAAAAGCCTTCTTAACCCTTTCACCAAAAATAGTGGCCAAACAAAATCAAGAAAGTAAACTTTTGTCGAAATAATCCTAAGAAATACTTAGCGCTATGCAAAAGTTCTGCCGGAAAGGTTTCATTTGAATGGTAACACCATAGGATTTCGTCAATAGAGTTAATTAATCCTGCCATAACTTGCTCTAGGATAGGAACGGTTAAGCGAACACCAAGATTTGGTTTAACTCAGTTTTCTAGTCCTTTTCTTTGACACTCTGTTTCGGGGGGACCTCTGTAAGAAGAGCACCTAATATTAGTCCTCATGTTATCCCTCTTGGTGGAAGTTGGCTGAAAGTGTGCTTACTTACGTTGGTTTGCCTTTGTTTTTTGTAGTCCTGAAAATTCACACTGTCGCAACTAAACTGCAGCGAGTACTTTGTGACCCATTGACTCGACTGCTGGGCACTGTCCCTGCCTTGTGTTGCAACTCGCGTTACCATAGCGTAATCACTACCAACATCAACCTGAAGCCACTGGTTAACGTCACTTGTGCGAGCGCTCCAAGATGCTGATAAATGCGGAGCTCCTTTAAAGTGTAACCTGCCTTGAAAGGCCGCATGGTTCCCATCGTATTCTGATGAAGCAGTGATTTGTTCATTGGAAATTTTGTAGTTTAGCATTCCGAGAGCGTCAATACACCCTGAAGGTAGTTGAAAGGTATAATCAATCAAAACAATTCTTGATGGAAAAGCGCCATGAGCAAGTCAGGTTTGGTTTGGGATGAGCTGGGTATGCTTATGCGCATGCTCGGTTTACGGTTTAGGTCGTGGCTTCCACCTGCAGATTACCCGAAATCTCCCGCCGCACGCGATAAAAGCCTCTGGTGCCCAAGAAAGATTGGTCGAAAAAGTGCGCGGGAGTTCTCAACAAATTATATTTTAATGCAATTGAAACATCGGATGGTAAGTCAGGACAGTGTTACTGAGGGTCGTTTCGTTTTGTTTTACTGTAATTCAAATGTTGTATTCTTAATCGACCAATTTAGATTGAAACGTTTCTAAAATTAGTGTGTAACCAAATGGTGACGAGTGAAATTAGGGAATAATTTCACGCGCGTTTTGTCCAAATCCTTATTAGGATTTGGACAAAACGCAAGTGAAAGTATTCCCTAATTTCACTCACGCGCGGTTTGTCCAAATCCTTATTAGGATTTGTACAAAACGCAAGTGAAAGTATTCCCTAATTTCACAAGTATACCATTTGATTACCTATTAAAAATATACACGAAAAAATTACTCAATTCTGATTGGCTGAGAAAGGAGTGCAGCTCATCTGTAACACGAGTGCAAAATGTGTAACACGAGTGCAAACTTGTAACACGAGTGCAAAATACAAATGCTTTCTGATTGGCTGAAAACACAAAAGAAACCAACAAGAACCAATCAGATTAGAGCTGTTTTAACAACAAAAATTCAAGAAAATGGCCATGGTTTTCAGCAGACGACGACGGGATTTGATTTTGTAAGCAAAACAACAATAGAAAAGTTAAAAAAATATTCCAAAAACCCGAACACAGTAAAAAGTACGTCTTTCTGGCTAAATGCATTGAAAATGCGCTGCTATGAGAAAAATACTGTCAACAAAATCGAGGAAAATGAGCCAGAGAAAGAAAAAAACAAGCTACTTATAACAGACTACGCTAAAGTAAAAAAATAAAGAACAAAAATGGTTGCAACCACACGCAAACCATGACAGCTACACTCTTCAGGCATTTAAATGAACAAGGATACAATTCCATGATAACAACAGGGATTTCAAGTCATACACGTTATTTGTTGCTCTCTTTGAGTCTTTTGTGGAGCGAAGACCTCTATTAAAACATCCATGCGATGGTCTGTTTTTTTCTACCTCAGTAGCAAACGAAACCGAAAATTTAAACATCTGGTCCAAACTAAAGCAATGGGCGAAAAATACCACAACTCACATAATGAAAGTATCCGTAGCTGGTGCTAGCCTTAAAGAAAGTGAGAAAAAAGTTTACGAATCATTGTGCAAGAAAAACAACAGTCAGAAAGCTGAAGAAAGCAAAGTTTGTAAGTTCAGAACATATCGTCAGTGTCACAGGCCGCAGAGGTATAAATTTCCTTAACGACCAGGATGAAGCCGACGAAAGAAGAGCTACGATGACTCTTGCAGTGGGCCAAATAAAATGAAAACTCCAGCGCTGAGAAAAAGCAAATATTATATTAATACTGGCAGTTTCCGACGTCACAACAACTGTGGCTCCCCTCACCCATCGATGGCAGCGTCGAAGGAAAACAAATTGCCTCCTTCATTTTCGGTTTTTAAATCTCAAAAATTTGTCCAAGAATCCAGCTATGATGGGGTCTCAGGAACAGACAATGATAAACAGTCATTAAAAGACTTTAGCAAGTGTCTTTCATCTTTGGCTGCTTGAAGCGTTCTTCTGATTTTAAAACGGCAGTATACTTCTTGAAAACGCTTCTTGTAAACGCCGAGCTCTCATAATCGAGGATGAATTTAAAAACACTTACTTTTGCTGATTGTTGTAAACCAAGTTATCTTTAACAGGCTGGTGACCATATAAAAAATCCTTGCACATTTCCAAGTTATTAGCTGAATGATTTTCAAAGCGTTGGTCTGTAGTAGTCTGTTTCAGCCAATCAGTTGAATGAACTAAAAATGCGCGCGCTGTCAAAATGTTTTGTTGTAGTTATGTTTTTCGTGTGTATTATTAATAAGTAATCACATAATTTTTCTCGTGCAATTTGGAATAAATAAGCACTTGTAAATTTTTCAAAGACCACAAAGTGCACTCGCCCTACGGGCTCGTGCACTTTTGTTGGTCTTTGAAAAATTTACTCGTGCTTATTTATTCCAAATTGCACTCGAAATCATGTGATTACCTATACTAATATCACGGGTGACGAATTACGTTAGCTATCTTGGATTTTTGACATGTTTATCCTGGATCGTATCGATCGAGAACTCCTGCACTCTCTCGAACGTTTGGAGCTTAAATTTGGCTTAAGTTCAGAGTTTTTCGACAAAATACCTGTTAGAATCCTTCTTGATGTGCTCTTTCGTGTGTTCAGGTTTTCTAAAGCGTCTTTTTGTGCCCTGGCATCTTCATTCATGACATTTTAAAACTTCGTCGTCATCTTGACACTGAGAGGTACGTTAGGTTGCCATGGCAATTTTGTAATTTCACATGTGAAATTACAAATTAACGCTGAAATTTCGCGCCAAAATTAAGGAGTAATTCGTCACCTATGATATTATAAAGGTTAGTAAAGCATCAGGTCCTAGAAATGCTACTAAAAGCAAAAACAGCTAAAACTCTGTTATTGCCAGCAGTAGCATTTCGCGATGGTAGGACTTACCCTTCTCTGGCTCTTTTTGTTACTTACGAACAAAACAAAACTGGTACAAACAACAAAAACATACAACTTAGTTACCTTCATGGTATCCATACAGCTCCACTCTCATTGAAATGTGTGTATGCCAAGTTACTGCGTGAAAACGGATTAAGCGTGTCCAGACTGGCGATTTAAGGTCATGGTAAACAACCGAGTCCCTATCCGTATTTCCATCAAATTCCTAAAGAGTAAAAAACATAGCCTAGATATATTCTTTTAAGGCAACAATAAGGGAATTACGGCAGATTTTTCAATGACAACACCATGACATGCTGAGACGACGGCGCGCGAAGATCTAAAAACCGACTTGAGCGCGTCGTCGTTACTTAAGCTCCCTACAATCTTTATTTTTTACCTTTATTTGTCCTTGTTCCTTGTAATACTGGAAGTCTTCACCATCCTCACTGAATGAAAGTTTGTACTTTGTCACCCACTGGTCTATTGAGTTTCGTCCTTGAGTGGCGACACCTGTAACCCTTGTGTAACGACCATAGAAATCAACCTGAAGCCACTGATGTTCGTCCAGAGGTAAAGATGACCAGGCACCGCTGTATAGTATATTTACCTTAATAAAACGAAGTAAACACAGATTTACTCGATAAAGCCCCGGCGTTTTATTAATTGTGAGCGTTTCCTATGTGGCGATTTTTCAAAGGCGGTGTGAAATTTCAAAATCACACGACCAGAAACGCCACAGAAGGAACTTTATTTCCTTCTGTGGCGCAGGCTAGGATGAATGGAGCGTTGAATTAACCTATCCCTCTTAACTTCCAGCAAATGACATGAAAACAGCAACAACAACAACAACAACATTTTAAGATCCCAGTTTTATCAGCAATGGTAGACGAAGAACCACAATCTAGCGGAACACCTTAATTTAATTATATTAATCAACTAATTAATTAATATTTTCAATTACATTCATTACCGGCAGTTTCAATCTTGCTCTACTGGCAGCGTGATAATGGTCCCATTCTGAGGAGGCGCTTATTTGCTGGTTAGCAATGGCACCACTTTCCATCCCCAGGGCTCGAATTTGTTGACATTCCAGTGGGCTTACTAGATACACAAGTAGATTTAGTATAGAAGACACCACTGTTTACAAACATTATTTTTGTTATTCAAATTTCTAACCATTGAAACAAACGAATCTTTTGTTTCAAGAACCAGTTAGCTTCTAGTTGGCCTTATTGGCTTCCTTGGTCTCCCATGCCTCTTCTTTATGAATTTAACGTATATATTTAATTTAAATGGCAGAATGATAATAAAATAAATAAATAAACATTTTAAATATCAATAGGTGACGTCAGCTTGAGTATCGCTATATCATAACAGACTTGGCCATTCAATCAGTTAGTGGTTCTCCATAACATGCAGCTCCACTGTCATTGCTCTATTTGTATGTCCATTGTTTTCACAGCCAATGCTGCGAGGCCTCGTAAAGAGCTGCGCGGCACCCCCGTTCAATGACATACGAAACCATACCATACAATGCCACACCCGGCATATGATACCTGACCACACCGCACTGCTAGCTCCACACCGAAAAACAACCGGAGCAGACCAGACCATACTATACCATACCATAGTTCTGTAGTGTCACGCAACTTAGAGGTTTTCTGGTCCAGTTGGTATTTAAGAGTTATCCAAACACGTTCCGGACCTAAACTCATGGACGCCGAAACATTATAACTTGTCTGCTATTTCTTTCGTCTTTTTTCTACACTACTTGCCTTATTGTTTAATCACAGGCCTCACAATGGGAAGTTACTAAAACGGGGAATGGGGAACGGGGAACGGGGAACGGGAAAATAAAAAAATGGGAACGATACAGAGCATATGAAATAAAATTACTGATAGGGCTAGAGTTCGAGTTAGCTTTTGTTCCCATTTGTCATTTTCCAGTTCCGCTCCCATTGTGCTGGTTAGCGATACAAATGCCTTGTAAGAATTTTAGCTACTTAACATAACTCCTTCTAAATACCACGCTTGTACCCTAATCTGCAGGTCACCAATACTGAATAGAAAGAAAACAAAAGACTATCATACTTCGTAGGCACCATTCTTCGTCGCGACGGTTTGAATCGCAAATGCATTGTCCCGTAATTTCATCACAGTATTGTCCTTCAAAACACGAAGGCTCACAGACAGAATCTGAAGAAAGAAAGAGATCAATAAAGCTGATTACTCATGATCACTTAGTTTCCTGTTTGCTTGTGCGGGTAAAACCTCCATAGATTTGTTATGTTTAAGGTCAAGTAATCATCTTGACGAATACGATCCAAGGAGAATGCCGGACTTGCTAAACTGCATTGTTACTGATGTAACAATTTCATTCAACCGTAAATGATGATTATCTGCAGATTACAAAAACCAAAGGATTGCCAAAGATACCTCTCTCCCCACCGAAAAAAAGCTTGAAAATTATAAACGTTAATTCAACCGTCCCTTCTTGTTTACCCTTCCTCTTGGGACCATGCATCTTCCCTTTTTCTCTTTACCTTGCCCTTACAGCAAGTCAAATAATTTATCAAACACGAGCGACGATGTTTTATTACATATATCGAAAATGTGACAAACGTTACTTTTAGGCGTGTAATGTAATGAAACACTTTGAAGAAAATTTTGCAAAACCGAGTCTAAGGGGTAAATGAATCAAATGGGCAAACCCCGCCCCACTCATACGTCTAATTTCCTCGAACGGGAGAAGTATCATCTGACTCCGTGTTTAATGATACAGTTTGTTCTGGAGAATGAAACAACGGAATTGCGAAAATTTTCATGAACTGATTTTTTGAGCTTTTTTAATATATGAAATGAAATGAAGAGTCGTGGATGAGAGGACAACAGACGTGCCCTCTTACAATACATTTTAACATGTGAACAGTAAGCTCGCACGTCAACTTACAAAGGCGCCACTGGCAGCCGCTCTCAGTCCATTTGTGAGCTTACTGTACCCACACAGCCCATGATGTGAACGACGTGATCTGTGAAGGTTGACCACACCACTGGGGTCTACGTCCCCTACTCTTTTCGAAAAGTGGTGTGGGTTCTTTTACGTCCCACAAGAACCAGATAAGTGTAAGTGCTGTGAGACGGGACCTACGGTTTTTCGTCCTTATCCGAGAAGACTAGAAAGTCTAACCGTTTGCAGATGTCATTACAAAGGCAGCACTTTCTTCTCACTTATTTAAAGACCCTGAGTGTTGGCCCGGCCGGGGATCGAACCCGTGACCTCCCGCTCAGCAGACCGGCGCTCTCTCAACTGAGCTAACCAGGCGGCGGTTAGGGAACAAGAAGACAAGGCAAGAAATAGCTCACCCTCAAGAACCAGGACTTCCAAGCCATCTGCTTGAAAATGAGTCTCTCCCGTAAAGAACTTGTCCGGTTCAGAGGCACTAGGAACTTGGTAAACATTTCCAACATCACTCACGATACTTCGATTGTCCAAATTAACTGTCAGATCATTTATCCCGAAGCTGAGCCTGTTATAACTATCTAATGTAACAGCAAGATGTCTATGTAAGGGCTTAATATCCAGACGAGTGGTTGACAAGTTTAGGTAGAAACTGCGTAGACTGAAAAGGAAAGCTTTCATGCTTGACAAACTGTTTATGCTGGAAGCTCCTGCAAACACACAAGAAAAAGGACTGTTAGGGGTATCCAAACTGGATGATTCGGTATCGCTGAAGTTGTCTCAATGTGTTAAGGATGCTAACGAGGAATAACCAAACAGACTCGCGAAGGTTCGATTCCTTTCTAAACGTCGCCTACAGATTGAAAATCAAATTGAGCGGTTCCAATCGAGTGCTAAGCAGGCAACGAATCAGCTAGCTTGAGAAAACAGCCGACATTTCGCGACGCTACCAATGGCTCCCCGCGAAATGACGTCTGGGAAACGAGCGCAGAAATTCCATACTGATGACTTTGATTGAAAATTTGCTTCAGCCAATCAGAAGCACTGCCTAGATCTGGTTAGTAGCACGTCATCAGCACGGAATTTCTGCGCGACGTAACAAAATGTCGGTTGTTTTCTCAGGCTGCAAATCAACATCACCTTGGTTCCACATGAGGTCGGAAAATCCCCCGAAAACGAAAGAGTTCTTCCGCACTAGTGTGAATGATGGTCTCTTGTTGTCACAGCGTTCATGGAAGGCCTTACTACTCCATTCATGTTCTTCAGCACGATAACAAGGGACCAGGCGAAAGGTAGAGAATCCGGCTTGTATTAACCAGTCGTTCAACGTGACTCGATAGTTCTTTATGTGCCCTATCATTCCTGATTTGATAACTGAAGTAAGAGAAATTGTAATAGTATTTGCCAAATGCACCTTTCCATTGTTTTGAACAGGTCATTATTTTCAGTTAATAGAAGAGCACATAAAAAATAATGATCTGTTGTTCAGGCTCAGTGAGCACAATGGTGGCTGCTTCCAAACAATGGATTACGCGCTCGGTCCTCACTTTTACATGACGCACCTTTCCATTGCTTAGAGCACGTCAACATTTTCAGTAAATGGAAGAGTAGGCCAATGACGTGGAAATATAATGACGTACTGTTATACTTCCGTGATCAGAAAGGTGAACTGCCTGCCTCCTCAGTTCTAAAACGATGAAAAGGCGCATTAAATTAGATACCAGCTTCGTACCTTGGCCGACTTAGCAATAATGACCAAGTGCGTAGCGCTCAGACATTATTACTCGTGGGCTTTATTTGACAAGATTAGCAATAATTATTTAGCGCGAGGAAGTATGAACGAACTTAAATTCACTTTCGCTGCCGTCTTAACAAAGTTGCGAAATCTCTACTTACCATTAGCATTTAATTGAGCTTCTTTCGGCATAAAGGAGCAGCTCTCATTAACGCTTAAAATAGCGTCGCTGATGGCAATATCACCGTGCGAACCGCCAACTACTCCCTCCGTAATAACCTTGGAAAGAAAGTGACAAAAACAGTGAATGAACAAAACTACAAAACTGTTTTTTTTAACAAAACGCCTTAACGAACGCCTTATACTAGCGAGGTTTGCCATAACGAAAAATCTTGACTTGGTTTGCAACCACGCGACAAAGCGGCCATGTTGATCGTCAAGATGATACATTTGTTTAAGGGATTTCTTTTATCGTTTGCCTTACGACAGCCCTTTTAGTTGCTGGAAGCGATGATTCGACTGCGTGCAGTTTTCATCAGGCGATAGCGCTATTTACTACCAATTAGTAAATCGACGCTATGGTCAGATGAAGACCTGTAGTACGCGGTTAAAACGTCGCGATCAATAAGTGACTATCATGAGACAAACAATAAAGTAAACCCTTTAAACACATATCACGATGAATAATATCTTTTATGACAAAACATTTGTTTTTCTAGAAATAGAGAAAAGAAAGTTAAATTCCCAGCAGCGAGAAACGATGTTGATCTTGATCATCAACATGGCGCCCGCCATGATGACGTCACTTACAACCCAGGCATAAATTAATAGTTACCTCATATGCATAATTATGGTAAATAGGAATCTCTGCCTTGTTCCAAATATTTCCAATGGAACCAGCAAGCCGCCAAAGGAGAACTTCCTCATTATCTTTGCTACTTCGCAAAAACACATTAAGTCTCCCTGTCGTGTTCCCGTACATATGGTACCAGAAAGAGAAACAATTTCTTGTAGGCACTGTAACACGGCTAAAGAAGCGTGCTTTTTCACCTTTTTCACGTGGAAATGACGACTCGACATAAATGAAGTTATTGATTTCTAAAAGAAGGTTTGTTGGAAAATGGAGAAAAAAGAAAAAAAACTGTCAGTACATATCAGTGTGCTGCTGGTTAGAGTATGATTTTTTCAGTAATCTGTTTTTGGACAAATTTTAAATCGTTTTCGTTCACGTGGTCAACAGCTATGCGAATTTCGTGGAACCAAAGGGCGTTTTTACGTTTAATCCCAATTTGAGGATCTTTTTGGTCGACCAACACTGCTCAACAATGTAGCCGCCGTGACGTCACGTGAAAAGGATCTTTACAATTTTAAAGAGATCTTGTCTTAAACAGGGATATCATTTTTTATTGAAGTATTAAGCCAAGCCAGAGAGTATTATGTCCATTTATATTAGCAGGGTTTTAAACAGAGGTTTTTGGCCTATACAGTTGGGCACCTCTCGCGTGCGCCAAGCGCGAGCACACAGCACCATAGGCAAGAAAGTTTGGTTCTGACAGAATTGTCCATTCGTACGTTCGCCCCTCCATGTAGAAAGAAATCTTCCTGAGCCAACCAGTCTGGTCTCAGAAATTCCCTAATGTAATAAATCTATCTAATGAGTATGTTAGATGTTGACTCACTTCCATGACAAGGTCCCGTATCGTTGGTCTGTGTACAGTTTGTTTGCACATGCCATTTGAAATAACCTGCATCTGTTTTTTCTAGATTCCCGATTCGATAGACACCTACAATTGTCACAGCATCGTTAGATCGACCTTACAGCTATTGTTTTCATTTATTCCTTTATTTATTTATTCGCTCATTTACTCTCTCTACATTCATTCTTCCAGCCTTCCTTACTCCCTCTCTCCCATTCATTCACTTGTTCATTGAATCATTCATTCGGTTTTTCACTTGTTGACTGTTCATCTATCTATCGATCTGCCATTAACAATCCATCCGTTCATTACCTGTAGATACGAATTGCAAGGGATTCATATGAACTTATTTTTTTCCTGCAACTTTATTTATGAACGTCCAAAGCCCACACACTCCGCTTGTTTCCCTCGCACCCATTTATTCCTAGCGCCTGCTACGCAGGCTAGCCTCAAAAAATCTTATTCCAACGCGGACTTGCACAAGGTCGATCTCGTGGCTGTAGGTGGGTTCTGATAATAAAAGTTATTTGCACAACTGCCTAAGTTCTCAATAAAAATCCTTCCCAAACCTAAAAAGAAAGAAAACAAAGCCCAAAACAAACAAATGGCTAACTTACCGAACTGTTCGGCGTCAAAATTGCTCAAAAACGATAACGCAGAACATAACAAGCAAGAATGACCAAAGACAAGTGACAGACGGAGTCGTGAGCGACATTACCTCAGCAATTTAATGGTTACTTTCTAGTTTCATTTGTTCATGAAATGACTAATTCAATGGTAACGGAGTCATCTTTCCTATATTTTAAAAGTTTCTATCCGTGGTAATACTTTATTAATAAATTACCTGCTAAGTTTAGCTTCTCTTTCACTGCTGCCTCGGTCAGAAAGTTATACCAAACCTCGAGGTCCGACATTTGAAGAGTATACTGTTTATATATGAGATTGTACGATGGCGCCTTGCCAATAAGTACTTTGTGATGGTCGTTCTGAACGTTGATAATGTCAAACGTTTCTTGCTTATTTACCAGTTTCCCATTCTCAAAGTATTTTAGTCCCCAGATTGGGTCCCAGGTTATGAAGACGTGACGCCAACCGCGGGGGATAACCGGCTCACGGTTGATGTCCATTTTCCACTTCCTCTTTGTGGTACTCAATTCCAATTGATATGATGTCTTGTTCTGCAAAATGTTCGATTGATAATGCAGGGAAAACCCTTCTCTTGATGGCCTTCCTTCCGATGATATTATGAAGCCAGCATGTTCGCCGTCTTCATCTAAAATAAATGCAACAAAAGGGAATTCCCTACTTCACAAAATCTAGGAAAAATGGGTACTAGTTTTGGGTGAAGTGATTTTTAGGACCGTTTGGGTGGACAAGCGTTAGTTCTGATTGGTCGATGGTATTCAAGGTAACCATTAACCAATCATAAGTCTCGCTCGTGCAACTACACGATCCCAGAAATCGTTGCGTCGTAAGCTTGTGCCTAGTCTTAGTGGACAATTAAGAATGGTCTCAATAGACTGCTCATTCCTCGAATTTTTCATGAGAAGGCGTTTGAGAAAAATCATGAATTTTGCTTAGTTATGTTACTTGAATCTACGGTAAAAAAAAAGAAAAAATACTAAGAAATGTCCCGAATGCGATATTCATTATTCGTGGCTAAAAGATGCGTTCAGAAATGACCAATATTTACTAATCTTCCTTTGTAATTGTTGTTGTTGTTGTTGTCGAACATACGACATTGTTGTTTTTGTCGTATGAAACATGTCATTTTGCTCGCGCACACCTACGTTCTCCTTAAAATAACAAAAGCCTTTATTCTAGCACGCTCGACTTGTCAAATACAGAAGAATTTTCCAGTACTTAAATTCTCACGGAACACATTTAAGTTGAGAAAGGGTAAACGAAATTCATGCTCGTGTGTGTTTACGTCCTCTGTAAGACGCCACATATGTAGACTATATAGCTGGAAAGTTTTTCCTAACAGCGCGCGATCTTATTGGTTACTTCGAGGTCACATGACATCTAACAATGCAACTGTTTCCCGCCAAAATCTCTGAGCATGCAACATGTCAAATTAAACTCTATGACGTTAGAGGGTGACAGGAGAAACAGTTAATTTTGTTTCCTTTGAATCTCAATGTGAGATTCTCGGGAAGCAAAATTAACTGTTTTCCGAGAGACCAGTCATAGAGTGTTTAATAAAGTGTGAGCACTTACCAACTATAAGCGGAATCACTTCCACCCTGAGACAGCAGATGCTGTTACACTCGTGGGGAATAAGTTTCAGATACTTCACTCTAATTGGTGGAAGCATTTCATGTGTAACCCATGTACTGGCATCCCAGTTGCTTGATAGTAGCTGAAATGAAATTGTAATAATTTTATGTAGATTTAGCCAGGGCCAAAACGGTCTCCTTTCCTGTCTTTCTCAAGTATTAAAACGTTCGCTACAAGAAACTAAATTCCTCCTGAAAAAAATGGAACTGAGCCTGCAATCAATAGAAAACCAATAACTGATCAGCAGAACACTTTAAAAACACGTCATCTCAACGAGTGGCACGTCCTAGCCTGCGATACAGTCATGTGACACTGGTCAGTTGGTGCCCTGTTTTGACAGCTGTCAATTGACCATAAAATGTAGGTCCAATCGCAAGTTAAATACCGATTGAATGACTTGGATTCCAAGGTATTAAGAGTGGAAATTCCAATCCGCTTGCGGATGTATGGATAATATTACCACAATCGAATTCCAATTTTTTTTCCTACTGTGCTCCGACTGTTTGAGAATGCTGGTCCAAAATACGTTATTGCAAAACTGACTCGCCAGGAGCTGAACGCAAACTGAAATTAGGTGATTCGCAATTAACAAACATTTAATACCAAAAGAAAGCCAGATTTAAACGTAGAAGCTGGCAGTGGGTAAAATATTTGTTAATGGCTGTGCTGATGCGGCTGGTCGTACTCAAGCTAAACTTATGTTTTAGGCTTTCATCCATGGATGAATTGTATTTAACAAGTAATCTAGTAAAGTAAACTGGCAAAAGGAAAAATGAACAAACAAAACATTAACAGAAGTAACAACAGCATACAAACAAAGCTCACATCAAAACCATTCATGACAAAAATCTTAACCTGTCTCACTCCCCCTTGAGTGTAATTCTCCCATGTAATGCCATCGAGGCTGTGCTCCAAGTAAAACGATGCCACAAAATGCCCACGACTACACCCCATAGTTCTTATTTGCGCGACAAAATAAGCATAATTTAATTCGAGCTGAAGAAATGTAAACGGCCCCTGTCCACACCATGCGGCATGGCACTTTGGGCTCGGGTTGGATTTTGCAAACTCAGCAGGGCTCATACATTCCCACGAAGAGGCTGTGAAGCTGCTGTTCGGAATGATGGAGGAATTGTCGATCCCAAGGTCTGAGGAAAAAAACTCTGCTTTAAGGTTCATGGTTGAAAAATTTGATGAAAGTTTTTATATTAAATGACAACATCCAAATCCTGCTGTTCTATCCAAGATTAAAAATATAAACAGTAATAACAAAACACAAAGACAAAAGCGACTTCACGTTTCTCGATATTTCGGACGGAAAAGCCGTCGCTTTTTCAGGGGATTTAATGAAGAAACAGAAAGTAGTTACAATTGAAGTATTATGGAAGAGTTGCAGTTATAAATTTGATACAAAAAAATTAGAAAATTATATGTCTGGCTGCGTACTAGATTCGAAAGCAGGATCACTTTTAATATTCTGTTACTAAGTACATAATTGTAAGCGGTATTTTGTAGTTAATTACGCTGACTTAAGTGAGTTTTTTTCAGTTTTGATTAATTGTATCTTGTTAAAATGTTGCTGTCTAACTGTTTTATGCCTATGGTGGCCTGTACGGGGAGGCTCCGCCCGAAAGGGTTATCTTTTTGAGGCCTCGAGCTAGTATCAGTGAGAGGGCATGGATTTTACTAGTTTAAGTGGGGTAGGGAAATCTGTCATTTGGGTCTGTGAAAGGGCCTAAAAGGGCTAACAGATGAATTATATGGCGTTATAAAGTCGAGAAAACGTTATTTTTTTTATTGCTTCCTATTTAAAAGACAGTGCATTACAGCAGTTAGAAGGGATGCAAAGTTCTAAACAAGGTATGTGAAAGGGGCGGGGGGTACCATTTGTCAATAGAAGGTACATGAAAGGCGTACCTTTTTCGTGAAAATGGTCTATAAAAGAGTAAGGGGTTGAACCTTAGGGAGGAGTCTCCCTGTGTAAACGGTTGTTGAGTACCCCCCGGGCGTGAATGGAATCTTGCTACCCGAGCAGGCTAGATATCAAGCATGTTAGGGTGTACCTGGATTGGGTCCACAAGATACTATACAACCAAGGGCCCTTTATAGCAAAAATAACATGTTATTATTTTACCTATAAATGCACCAGTACCAATGTCTTTGAAAACGTTGACTCGTAAACAGATATCGTTTTCCCAGGACACGGGACGTAGTCGGATATGTCTGGTAGATGAAATGCTTACCAAGGCTGGTGAATTCCAGTAAAATATCTAAATCAATTGAACCATGCATCAGATAACTCAGAAAAAATTTAAACTTGAAACTCCTACTAAATATTATTAACCAATCAATTGTATAGGGTAAAAACATGTCAAATTAGTGAATTACTACACTGTTTATAATCCCCTGTTTTTCCGTATAACATTGACGTGAGATCTATCGCTAGCTGTAACTTGCCTTCACGGCTTTATTTTGAAATATACGCGTGTAACCTGGAAATGAAATGTGAAAAGAAGGGCACTCCAAGTACCAAAGAAAAAGGATACATGAGAATATAATTGATATACTTCAGCCCGAGGGGCTTTGACCCCTTTGAAAAGCAGTGAAACTCGTAATGACGCTGCCCCTTTATATTGCGCCAGGCATGATTGCTGATTCACTGTCGGTCCCAATTTTTGTAAACCAAATCTCTGCTTGAGCTACTTCAGGAGGGCCTTTGTCAAGTCTCGTTCGTGTTGTTAATATTACCAATCACGCTTTCTTATGCGATATCGAACTTAACGTCAGCGAAGAAATTACTTGTAAACGACAAAATCAAAGTTTCTTGTCCAACAAAAACCCTTCCAGAGCATCATATCAAACTTAACAAACAACAAAAATGAACTTTGAAATTTGTTAGGCTAACAAGTTTTCAAAAACACACAGTCTCAATCCGTTTCAATCTTCTTGAAGTTTCTCCATTCATGCCTCTTTTGGTATTTGTATAGGGAATAGCATGATTTGTAGTGATATTTGGCATAAATACCACGAGTGATATTTCGAAAGTGTTACGTAATTTCACGAGCCGTTAGGCGAGTGAAATTTGAGAAAATTTTGAAATATCAGAAGTGGTATTATGCCAAATATCACATACAAATCTTGCTATTATTTGTTTATACTACTCCCCAAAAAAGTTTGTAATTTTGACATGTAGGTATTTCAAAGTAAGCTGAAATACCACTGCTCTAAGCCAATCAAATTGCAGAAATTTCTCATGTAGTAGTACAAGCTGTGTTATTTATACCTTCTTTTCAAGAGAAAATGAAATAATCAGCATGTCACGAGCATGGGACAAAGAAAACCTCTGAGTCCCCGACAGGATTCGAACCTATGACCTCCCAAACACCAGGCAGGCGCTCTATCATGTTTTCAACGCTTATTTTTGTTTCACTCAGTTTGGTGACAGTTCTTACGGTTAGGATTTTGATAAAATTAATGACCCAGCTCCTTTATCATTCAACTTTAATTACCTGGCCATTATTGTAGGAATCCCACGAGTTTCCATCATTACTATGTTCCACTCTATAGCTGGTCACATAATTTGTGTCACTGTTTAACCTGATCAGTTCTATCTTTTGAACAGGTTGAGGCGTTCCCAAGTCAATTGCCAACCACTCGTTAAAGTTCTCGTAAAAAGCGCACCATCCAGTGGGGCTGCCAGGACGAGCCTCAGCAGGGCCCTTGACACTATCGATAAGGGTTCCTTCTCCAGTTGCGGATATTTTGTTCTGCCCTATCAAGACGTCCTTGTTTGCTGAATAAGCAATAGAAGACTTTCATTGGTTAACCCTGTAATGTAACCCTTCGAGATATGTCCAGGATCGATCTTGTTAGCAAAAATTTGCTAGCAAATTTTTTTCGCAATTGTCGCAAAAGAAATAATTGAGAAAAAATTATGTGAGAAAATTACTTACAAATATCGCAAAAATAACAATTCTAACAAGAATCAAGACAGACAAAAAAAAAGAAGCCAAGGAGGACCCCAAAATGTCCGCAAATATCGTAAAAGTAAGAAGGATTTTTCTTGGTAGCTGAAAACACCCATGACAAATATCGCAAAAAATTACAAATCTAACAAGAATCAAGACTTAGAAAGAGAAGAAGCCAAGAAGGGCCCCGAAATGTCCGCAAATATCGCAAAAGTAACAAGGACTTTCCATGCTACCTAAAAACACCCATAACAAATATCGCAAATATCGCAAAAATAAGAAATGTAACAAAATTTCAGACTTAGAAAGAAAAGAAGCCAAAAAGAGCCCCGAAATGTCCGCTGGACATAAGTGAACGTCTGTTAGATCATTTTGGATTCTTTTGCTGGGTATTATCAGAAATGAATGAGTTTCTTGTACTATAGAATGGCCGTATTCACACTAGAGACGGATTATCCGTCTGAGACGGGTTACAGGGGCGGATCCAGGATTTTTGTTAGGAGGGGGTGCACTCGTCTCTTGCTCTACTGCAACACCAATAAACCACATAGTTTTTTTTTTTGCAGAATACCAGTTGTATTAGAAAACCGCAGGTCATCTCAGGGGGAAGGGGTGCGTACCCCTTGCACCCTCCCCCTAGATCCGCCCCTGGGTTATCCACTGGATAATTCGCGTCAGACAGATATTACGTCTTAATCTGAAAATTGAACGGTCTTAATTTTGGATGGACAATCCGCCTGACCTTATCCATTTGTTTTTCCGTCAATTTTGACGGATTTTGAAGATGGATTATCCGTCTTTGCCTAGTCCCTGTACGGCGTTTTCCCAGTCCCTCGCGGTCAATTCGTTTCGGTGACGTATCCGAGGCCAACGGGCGGGAAACGCCTAGACAAAAACAGAATGCGCATGCGTGCGTTACTTTTTGAAATTCAAAGATGACGTTTATGTTGTGAGCAACAAGCGAGCAAGCAGCAGATTTTGGTTATTAACCACTCTTTGTAGGATCGACTTTTGCCGACCGGCTTTGAAAAGTGATCAGAATGTTATTCATAGTCCTATGAAGATTTATACTGCTCCTTCAATCTCATCATTCCAACTGAGCTATCGGAGTTTGCCGCTCGCGAAATTTCAAAGTCAACAAAATATTGACCCGTTTGTTGAAAACTTAGACCTCAAATCTTGAAAACCATACTTTCAAATAAAAGTCATTAGCTGCGTATCAAAAAGTGCCCAGAAACTGAATCTAAAAGTAAAAATCCTATAAAATTCGCCGACATTCACAGAAGTGATGCGTGTATTATAAATGTGAAAGAAATTAAATTCAACTTGCACGCGTTGTCTCAGGATCGCGTTTTGAGCAGATGTTAATCAATCAAAGAACACACAACAAGTAAAATCGGCTGAGCACATGGCAAAAATTATTCAACACAAATCTCAAATCAGGGCGCTCAAACCGATCTCAAAATGTATAAAACGTTACAGATAAAATGTTCACAAATGCGTAATTTTCTTCACTATAGAGTACAAAATGTACCTGAAAATTCTTCAAAAACTTCGCTGCTTGGTGGCGTTTCAAAACAAGCCAAGCGCTCCGATCGGCCGTGATAAAAATTCCGTGTATTTTAAATTCCTCGAAGGACAATTTTATAAAGCCGGAAAAGCCTTCCTTTGTCAACTTGAAGAAAACTAAAGATTATTTTGAAGATTCCTTTCCCATCTGTGTGTTTTAGCGGTGTATTTTTAACTTTGAAATTCGAAACACTGGTCTCGTTTACCATCGCCATTGAGCTGTCTCACTTCTGTCTTACTTTTGAGGATTTTTGTCTAGGCCTCACATTTTCGCATGGACCACGTGACCCGAAACGCTTTGGCCGCGAGGAAAAATGAGGCCTAGGGACTAGGCAATATCCGTCTCCGACGGATAATCCGTCTCTAGTGTGAAAACGGCCAATACAGTAGAAGGAACGGATATCGACCAATAAAAACACTGTGGATACCTTGGTAATAAAAGACCTCGATGTTATCCGGAATAAATCTATAGCTTCCGGCCAAAAATGTTCTGGCGTCTACTGATCCTGCTTCAAACGAGTCAGTTGGAAGTTTATAGGCATGGCCAAGGTCGCTGAATGAAACTGCTGACACATCAGCATAGTTTCCGATGTGCAAGTCATTTTCTCCAAACACTGGTCCGGACTGCGGATCGTATTTTAGCGCCTTTTCGTATTTTTCTGGTTTTATCTCGAGTTTGACAGGACCAAGGCCAGCTGGATTTACAATACTAAATAGAAAAGCGCTGCTGCTCCAAAGATACCGAGCCTGTGTTCCTCCTGTGGTTTAAAAGAAACGAGAAAGCAATATTAGATGTTACAGGAGCAAACTAAACTAGCGACAAAACAGTTGTTATTGGCTCCATTTTCTGAAGAATAGTACTTTAGCTCTAGATTTGTAATATTTTTTCAGCAACGTTCACCTCCGTGTTCATGGACCGCCTCAAACATTAAATAAAGGTTCACTTTTTTAGGTCTTAAAAAATTTATGAATTATGTCATGAAAGTTTGCACAGATGAATACTTTAATTTTCTTGGTCCGTTAAAAAAAAAAAAAAAAAACTTAAGAAATTTTTGTTTTCAGAACATGTCTTCTTCCAAGCGCCCTGGTGTAAGTGTCCGCACTGTAAAGCCGATGATGTCAAGTTAAAAAGAGGATACTTTAATCCCTACTATACTACTCTCATGTAATTGAACTACACGGTATCTGCCAGGGAGGAGAATATTTCGACAGATGAAAAGAAAAATAAGCAGCCAGCAATAGGAAACATCCCATCCATTGACGGATTCAGGGGAGGGCCCCTTTTATTTTCAGACCAAACGGAGGCTCAAAGGGCCGAAAAAAGATTTTTTTGAGACCGGACCCCCTATCTGAAGGTCTGGTTCCGCCGCTGCATCGTATGAACAGGCACTTGTTTGCGACGGACGAACCCAAAATCATCTTTGACGAGGTTCAAAACCAAGACATTTTGCACCCCTTCGTCCGGAACTAAAAGATTCAACAATCTGGATGAAATGGCTAATTGTTGTCGTCAAAATAGCAAAATTGATTTCAATGCATTCCATAAGACTGGCAACAAGAGCCAGCAAATTTGCAAACAGAACACTGTTGTCCACCACTTTGAGCTTAAGAGTTTTCACTTTTAAGACTGGACCCAAGTTCATGACATGGTTGACTTAAAAAAAATATCCGGTTTCAGTCCTTCACACAAATTCATCAAAACTGTCAGATCCAAAAAATCCACTCTGGAGAGCGATCTCAAAAATGTGCGGTTTCGGTGTTTGGATGGGGGCTTAAACCTATTGCTTTTTTACCCTTCTCTTTGCCATCGTCGTTGCTGAAGTTCCCTTGTGTTAGTTCGACCGCATGTAAGAACCAGGGTTGAACCTCACCTCCCACCTCACCCCCCTGAGAGAATGAGAGAATGCTACATACCTTCAAATTTTTTGTCAGAAAATCCACCGAACATATAGCGTCCAACTTGCAGTATTGTTAGTGTTGGCGCCAAATCATAGAGGTTACAATTCTGACGGTATTTTTCCATTCCAAACCCATGATCGGTTGCTCTGTAGCAAATGTGCCATCGTATGTTTATTGGCATGAAGGGTTTAAGCCAGTTTCTCAGGGAATCTTGATACACGTCGTTCAGACCCAAAATTTCAGAAACGAAATACACTGAAAATCCCAAAAAAATTAGCCAAAATTATTCTTCCGTTGCACGTGACGTCTCCAAAAATCAAGCTAAGAAACTATCGATTCTTCTGAGTTTCTACTTTCACCAGGTATTACAGTACCTAAACACCTTTACATAAAAAAATTTTGGTTCGAAAGGGTTCTTCGTTTCGCGAGAGAGGACGCTTGAATTCCCAGGCTTTTGCGTGACGCGGCATTTAGCTGGCGGCCGGGAAAGCTCTTATATGGGTTAAAAACGTTACCGATTGTGGGAGATTTTGCAATCTAAACATTCCTTGTCTCAGAATAAATATTACTGTAATCTTTATGAGTTCCTCAAGCGAAGAATTCACGCATTAGTAGGAGAACTCAAAAACAGATGTTTCTGTAGGCATCCTGCGGCCATATTGGTGTTCCTGAAAGGGACACCAAAATGGCGTTTCCATACAAAGCTTTATAAATTTAGGTAAACCGTTTTTCCCAATATCTCGCATTTGAAATATTTCACAAACCTGATTCTTGGCAAGGGTTTTTGTATATTTATCTTTTTTTCATTTCCCAGATTCTAGTCCTTCTGCATTGAATGGTTTGCGTTTTTATTTTTCATTGCGTGACAGTGCAAGCCGAGAATAGTGATTAATATATAGACTTAGCCAAAGCAAGTAACAGGTAACTTGTCAGCAACTAACTTCAAAAAAACATTTAACCTCGATGGTCTGCAATACGGTCATTTGATACTGGTCAGCGGATACCCTGAACTGGCAACTGCTAATTGATCACAACGTGGAGGTGCAATATCAGGTTGCAAGCTCCTAATCTAGCCAGAAAGTGTGGAAGAACTTCACTACGGTACAAAATTTCGCAACGGTATTGTAAACGCGAAAGGACCACTCGTTTCGGTGTGAAATCGGTCTACCGGTAGACTGGAACTGGTAGCGCATGCGTAATGTTTGCGATTTTAAATTACATTTTATATTATCGACATGAATTGTACCTTCATATAAACGTAGTATGAAATGACCAAGTCTTCATGTAAACGCGATGCGAAATCAAGAGGTCATCCCGGTATGAAACTAGCGCCTGTGCGAGTTTTCACATCTTAACACACCCTTAAGTAGAAATACGTTATCGCAAAATCCTCGCGAAGTTGTTAAGGATCAGCGGTGTCAATAAAGGGAAACATGCAAAAGGAAAAGGGGTAAAAAAGCTAAAAAGGAAAAATATGTTCAAATTTTTAAAGTATGGCTTTGCCGGGATTCAAACTCGCTCCCCCCGAATTTGCTATAAGTGAAAATGAACCCTTGACCACTGCCCCACGCACACGACGTCAAAACGGGATGGCGTCAACTGCGGACAACCAAGATATCTATAGAAATAGGCGCAACTCGAGTTTCTGCCTCGCTGTGCGATCAACGCGCGACAAATTTATGAACCTTGCTTCGCTCGGAATAAGATTGATAAGGTTGAGGTGTTTAGTTTACCTCTGTAGCTCATCCAAAAGCCAATGGAAAGGCCATTCGCACAAAAGTCCATCTTGCTTAAGCATTCGTCTTGAAAAGATCCCAGGTTAACGAAAGAACTTTTCCCTCTGCTGATGACATTAAGTCTCGTGTCAAAGAATGTTGTGGCGCCTTGTATAGATGCAGTCGTCCTTGAAGTCAATATTTCAGGGAGATCAAGTTGGTTTTTCCGGGTTAGCGGCCAATTATAAGTCGCTGAAAAAAATCATAACAGAAAAATTAACAAAGAAAATTAGAATGTGTGTGTTTATCTGAATGGATTTTTTCACGCTTTTGTTGTACGGCAATTAACAGAAGATGTCATAAAAAGAATCATTCTAGTTTGTAAATCTCTTCACAAAACGTGAAAGTTGGAAAGTGTATACGAATGCCAAGTAACACTTTCTTGGCTTCGGGCGAACAAAATCCTACCAAACTGTAGTCATGATCGTGTCTCACGAAAAGTTGTTTCAGTTATATATTTTATTAAGGAGGCAAAATGGAATTTCTTCAGATGAGTTAGTATAGGTAATCACATGATTTCGAGTGCAATTTGGAATAAATAAGCACGAGTAAATTTTTCAAAGACTAACAAAAGTGCACGAGCCCGTAGGGCGAGTGCACTTTGTGGTCTTTGAAAAATTTACAAGTGCTTATTTAATCCAAATTGCACGAGAAAAATCATGTGATTACTTATTAATAATATACACGAAAAACATAACTACGACAACAAATTTTGACAGCGCGCGCGTTTTTAGTTCATTCAACTGATTGGCTGAAACAGACTACTACCTTTGTCAAATTCAAACTTTTTCAAGACCAACGCTTTCAAAATCATTCAGCTAAGAACTTGGAAATGTGCAAGGATTTTTTTATATGATCACCAGCCTGTTAAAGATAACTTGGTTTACAACAATCAGCAAAAGTAAGTGTTTTTAAATTCATCCTCGATTATGAGAGCTCGGCGTTTACAAGAAGCGTTTTCAAGAAGTATACTGCCGTTTTTAAATCAGGAGAACGCTTCGAGCAGCCAAAGAGGAAAGACACTTCCTAAGGATTTTTAACGACTGTTTATCATTGTCTGTTCCTGAGACCCCATCATAGCTGGATTCATGGACAAATTTTTGAGATTTAAAACCCGAAAATGAAGGAGGCAATTTGTTTTCTTTCGACGCTACCATCGATGGGTGAGTGGAGCCACAGTTGTTGTGATGTCGGAAACTGTCAGTATCAATATAATATTTGCTTTTTCTCAGCGCTGGAGTTTTCATTATTTTATTTGGGCTAATGCAAGATTCATCGTAGCTCTTCTTCGTCGGCTTCATCGTAGTCGTTAAGGAAATTTATACCTCTGTGGCCTGTGACACTGAGGATATGTTCTGAACTTACAATCTTTGCTTTCTTCACCTGACTGCATGTTGTTTTTCTTGCACAATGATTCGTAAACTTTTTTCTCTCTTTCTTTAAGGCTAGTACCAGCTACGGATACTTTTCATTGTGTGAGTTGTGGTATTTTCACCCATTGGTTCAGTTTGGACCAGAAGTTTAAATTTTCAGTTTCGTTTGCTACTGAGGTAGAAAAAAAACAGACCATCACATGGATGTTTTAATAGAGGTCTTCGCTCCACAAAAGACTCAAAGAGAGCAACAAATAACGTACATGACTTGAAACCCCTGTTGTTATCATTGAATAATCCTTGTTCATTTAAATGCCTGAAGAGTGTAGCTGTCATGGTTTGCGTGTGGTTGCAACCGTTTTTGTTCTTTATTTTTTTTACTTTAGCGTAGTCTGTTATGAGTAGCTTTTTTTTAGTTTCTCTGGCTCATTTTCCTCGATTTTGTCGACAGTATTTTTCTCTTAGCAACGCATTTTCAATACATTTAGCGAGAAAGACGTACTTTTTACCATGTTCGGGTTTTTTTGGAATATTTTATTTAACTTTTCTATTGTTGTTTTGCTTACAAAATTTAATCCCGTCGTCGTCTGCTGAAAACCATGGCCATTTTCTTGAATCTGTGTTGTTAAAACAGCTCTAATCTGATTGGTTCTTGTTGGTTTCTTTTGTGTTTTCGGCCAGTCAGAAAGCATTTGTAACTTGCACTCGTGTTACACATTTTGCACTCGTGTTACAGAAGAGCTGCACTCCTTTCTCAGCCAATCAGAATTGAGTAATTTTTTCGTGTATATTATTAGCAAAAAAAGAGCATTTCTTCGCAGCACCAAAGTGGTACCTTGATCATGCTACCTCTTTATTTTTTTCTTTAAAGTGTAATTCAAGAATAAGGTATGTTGTTTTTTAACTATGGTATCACGATACATTTATATCAAATTAAAGTAAATGAATTGATGAAGTGATAAGGGTAAATAAATAAATTAATTAATTAATAAAATAAAATAAATAAATATACCTTCAATTTTGCATCTAACAAATTCAACCCTCTTAACTTCACCATGCAGTCGTATTTGAGCCTCTGGCCAAGCAATCAAGGAACCTAAGCGAATACTACAGCTTGTGTACAGATCATGTATCGTTTCGTCAGTCAGCTTATAATCCCACATATTGAATTCCATAATATCTGCCCTTAGGCTTTCTGCTTCCTCTACCGCCCCGGAGCTGTTCTGTGATTGGCCGAGGACCAGATGGCCTCCTGGGTAAGGAGTGGCACGCGGAGGACCAAAAACGTTGAAGCCAGGTTTGTTGTTTACAAGGAAAGACCAGTTACCCGATATAACGTCCCATTTCAACACCAAATGATGCCATTCGTTACCACTAAAGCTCTGGCTTGAGTCATGGTAACTGTTGGGAGGGACCAATCAAACCATTGAGAAATAAATGAAACCTTTGTCAAAGGTTTGATCCCGCGCAAGAAAGCAAATAACCGAAAGGCTACTTAAGAAACCTTATCTGGATAATTTTCTTCCCTACACTACTGGGTAAAAGCATTCTCACTTTCTTTGCCCTACTTACACGAATGGACAATACCTTGGAAAAATTGTTTTTTACTCTGAGGTTTTTTTCTCCTATTAAATGATGTATGGTGCCAGCAAATAGTTGTACATGTTTAAGGATTCATACTGAATAGTAAGGTCGTTCCATTCAATCTGCAACTGTACGAAATTAGATTTTCCGGAAATTATCTGAGGCAAAACATCTGTTATTTAGTTTGTTTTCTTCTCTAGTATGGGAATGGGAAGCTTGAGAGTGTCACTTTTTAACACGAATTTCATTGCATGCATGGTTTGGGAAGACAATGTTAAGTGAAAAATGTTTTCAGTGAAAAGACAACAGCAGTTGGCCAAACATGGTAGCCTGCTCACAGACCTTCTATTTTCTCTTCAAAGTCCGTCGAGCTCGGGTGATAAAATATAAACCGCAGGGGGATTAATTGACCGCCAGCGCAAGGGGGTAGTGGTGGGGGAAGTTCTTTCTTTTTCTTTCTCCCTCTCCGCGCTTGTTCTCGCGCGCTTGCTTCGCTCGCGAGCTCGCTGATGTTTTTGAAAAGAACGAAAAGAAAAATAAAACAACGTCTGTTTACAGGCTACAGACATGGCAAAGGTGTTCTCTATTAGTGGCCGGAGTAAGTGACTTATTTCTAGCAGTTTACTCACCTTACGTTAGTATCTAAAGTTATTCTGCAATGTCTATCCCCCATCGTAGAAAACTCGAGGTATTTGGCTTGTGGTAAGTTAACCAGCGAAAATATCGCTGACCATCTTTCAGCCATCAGACCCCTCATCCACCATGAAACGGTGAAGGTGTTAAATTCCAAGATGATTGGGACAGAAGCGAATCCCTGAGACAATGTCCCAGAAAAACTTAGGTAGTAATCCCACGGTCGCTCTGTAACATCAGGAAAATCAGTTATTAAAAAGGTTTTTAAGTGGAAAGATAATGATGATAACAAAAACTTATGAGTTTCCTTCTCAGTATTTCAGCTTATTTCGGTAAGCTTCCTGGTTTCAACGGCTTTGAAAGCTTACTCGGCTTTCGGGAGTATTTCCACCGTTTGTCGGCCATTTTTTTAAGCGGGCGCGGGAACGTTAAGTAAAGTTACGTCACGTCGTTTACGAAGTTTGACTGGTCAGTTATCTTTTCTTCTCGTTCCAAATATGGTACTTTCGAAAACAAATAATCATGAGCATCGGACAAAGAAAACATATGAGAGTTACACGTTTCAACCCCTTATGAGTTTCTGGTGATAATCATTAAACAAAATTTCTATTAGAAGTACTAGTTTTCAAACATGGACTGCGCATCACTATTTCAATACGCTTTACTAACCTCTGCGCGTCCGTAACTTCATTGCAGAGTGTTTCAGCTGATAATCCGCACCTCTCCAGTCCTCCCATACTATTCCACATGGAGAAGTGGTATATACACCATTCAGAAAAGCGCGAACGCAGTCCTGTAAATACCACCACCCTCCGCCATAGGTGGAAGCACAATGCAAACTACTGATTCCATCATTATTCCGGTCAATAGTGCTAAACATTTTGCCATTGTGCTCGGAAAGTGCATCTCCAGCTGTACCAGAGTATGTAGAAACTTCAAGCTCGTACTTTTCGCTCTCGGATAAAAGAGCGAAATGGTTGTACAACGCATGCGCTTTCTCGCCTGCATGGTCCTCAAGCTCTACCATAAGTTGCTGCCTCATCGAGGATAGTCGATGCAACTTCTCATTACCTAGCCAGAACTCACTCGACAAGTTGCCAAATCCTTCCTTGTACTGATCCCAGTTTTTGTCTTGGAAGGTAACAGTTCCATTAATGTTCCTTTGAAAGACAACCCAGCCGCCACCACCTGTCTCCTGATCGCAGAAAACTTGAAATTCTCCAGTACCATCGGGGTTAATTTGATAAATACCGGAAGTGTTGAAGCCATGGTACAACAGGTCAAGACAGTCACGCCCTTTTAGTAACGAGTAATGACATTTAACACTGGTAGTGGCAGGTAAATGTACGTAAAAAGCGGCTAGATGTTACTACTCCAAAAGATTTTTCTACTATTTATTGAAAACGATTTTAGAACAAGACTTCTTCTGAATAATATGTTTATTTGTTTCTTAGACAAGTTTCCCCTCTCTCCATCAGTGCTCCGTTTTACGGGTATTTAAAGCGACTTAAAGCTACACGGAAAGGAAAGTAGCCTGCGAACAGCAGACGTATTTCCGGTCGACAACCGGAAATACGTCTGCTGTTCGCAGGCTGAAAGGAAAGAAGATGTACGAAGCATTTGTGGTCACACCTGAGAATCGAACTCGGGACCTCCCGCGCACAGAAGACCGTGTACTAACCAACCGCGCTAATCCTTCCTCCTAAATTCTTGGTCAGCGGATTACAACCGTTGGCGGGATTCCGGATTCCATTAAGGCCACAATTCCTGATTTTCTAAGAAAAATGTTCCCGGATTTTGGACTCCACAACCAAAAAATTTCCCGGATTCCTGAATCTGGATTACCTTACAACAGCGCCAAACAACCTTAACTTTGACCCAGGGCGGGGGTACTTCTTAGTAATAGGCTGATTTAGCAACAGGACAAGAACGTTAGTTGACGACGGGAAAGCGCGCGGAAAGGACTAAACACGACTTCCGGTGCCCAATTTGCCGCTCTGCCATTGGTCAAGCCAGTTGTTTAACTTGCGCGCGCTGTCGTCAACTGACGTTCCCGTTCTGTTGCTAAATCAGCCTAATAGGCTAAGGGGATGTGCAGCTGGATGGGGTCGCATTTTCACAGCTGGGCTGACTATAATGGGGCTGCATTTTCATTAGAGTTACTAAAATGGGATCACACATTTTCGGGAATTAGGGGATCAGAAAATTCAGGTAGGTTGGGATTTAACAATGGAAAGATTTTTACTTCATTAAGGTTAACCAACGTGTCAATTCATTTCAAAATGACCTAGTTAAAAGGCTTTATAAAACAGATCCATAAACAGAAAGTTACTAAGATTACTTTTTCCCAAAAGCGACTAAGATGGAGTCTATCGTTTGGCCACATAATAGACTATAATGGGGTAAGGGTTCTGAGAGACCAGCGGCACATACCAAGCAGAAATTGGCCCCAGTATCCCCCCCCCCACCACCACCACCATCAGGGAACTTGGACTACTTTGCTTGGCTTCTGGGGTTGTTTGACCGCGATGAATTCCAGTACTCACCTATAAAACCTGAGCTTCCCTCCACTCGTGCATCAAAGGTAGCAGAAAAAAGGACCAGATATACCTAATTAAAACAGATTGAAGGAAAAATAGACATTCATTTCATTTGCTGCTTAAATCAAACATTCACATAATTAATGCCACCGATTCAGTTATCTTATGCAGATGTTTCCATCACATTCGTTTGACAATATCTATCGAGTTGAGCTTGAAAGACACCCCCGCCCAGAAACTATTTAATTTTGCTTGTAAGAAAAAATAGTGCGTTCAAGGTGGCGATAGATGGTAAAAAAATTGTTTTGACTCTATTTTTATATTCATTATAATATCTTTTCTCGTACCAATTTATAAATTTTAAAAATCAAGGCAAGATTATACTACCTCAAAAAGTTTAAAACAAAATTTTCTTTTGTTTAATTATATATGGTATTTCATAAAATGCTGTCTATTTAAAGGAAAAGAGAGCGACACAATTTAGTAAAATGAAAAGTAGTGATTACTGAGGAATTCGTGAGGATCTTAAAATGTAAGAGCCAGTTTAAGGCTAAGCTTAGGCTTTTCTAAGGTTTCCATGCTTTTTAGAATACACTAATATCCAGAGAGTTTTATCATTCAAGTTTAGATTCACGGAGTATAATAACATGTATAAATAATAAATTTAAATTCTCATGGCAAAAACGAAACAACAGATGATATTGGTGCAGTAATAAGTTAAAATTAATGTAATTTAGCCTTTTTTTTTGCCAAGACTTTAGTGGACTTAAGACTTAAGGCAAATTGAATGGTTAATAGTTTGTTTATTAGAAAAAATAAAGTGATGGTTGATAAAACATTCGCAAAAGATTATCAAAAATAGTCAATCTACGCTGCGCAGGGCGTTCAATTGTTTTTTTCGAGCTTAGATATAAACAGTTGCTAATAAATTAAAACGGTAACGTTAGGTGAAAATACACAGTTAAAACGGTCTTCCCAAAAAAATTAATCGGTTTACGAATTCAAATGGAACATGGGTTATTAAAGCTACAGAAAACTAGAAAAAAGTTTTTCCCATTTTTTTGTTTTGAAATTTCGACTCTGGAAAAAAATTAGAAATTTGCAGTTTTCCCCTAATTGTCCGCAATTTTATAAAGTAATTTCTAAAAATTAATGATCAAGACCTTGGATATACTTCCAGTAGTTTTCATTTGAGAAGCTTTGTCCTTTTTTGTTTCAGCCATAAAATCGAGTCAAAATGACCCTAAAGGCATGACAGTAACGCAGAAAGCCTTTCACTGGTATTATCACTCGAGGATTGTTGAACAAAACGTAGAACGCTGGGAGTAAAATGTTCTTTACCGTCTGATAAGTACCTTTTGGATTGCTTAGTAGTCTTTTTTATCTGCTTACTCATCAACCTTTTTCATCGCGTAAAAAAATAATTACGAAAAACATAAGGATGCCGTACGTACAAAACATAATCTAAACGATATAACAAAAAAATGAACTTACCAAACATCCCCTGCTTGATCTAAAAGTCATTTCTGAGTTCAGTCAGCGTCAATAAAAGAAAATGCTTTCATATCATTCTCAATAAAGAAATAAAAATTTTTATTTTCTGCTGAAATGTGTTCCGTGATTGTACGGCTAAGAGAGGGGGAGTAAAATAAAACATGCTGCGCCGAAAATTTGTTTTGTTGTACACACTTCGAGAAGTTAACCTACCTCGCCTAGCACGTGTTTAAAGTTTTATGACCTGAATAACATGAGAATGTCATTGACTTATCTTGGTCACTGAGAAAGAAAAAACACACTAATCTTTTCTTAAAACTTTACAGATTTATTTTAAGACACTTACGATTTTCTATTGGCATTTCAATTATTATTAGCGGAGCTCCACGAGAGTGGAGTCCAAGAAAATTTGGTTATCTATCCATCTTTGAAATTTTGGTAGTCAAGTGACCGTACGTCCGTCCGCACCACAGGGTAACCAATGTGTAATCTCACCCTTTCAAGCTAATTAGCTTATGTTGGAGCCTGTAGCCTCCCACGCAGACGTTCGTAGGCGTTCGTCACGCGTTCCTGCCCCACGAATGTCTGCTGCAACGAGCGGTTAAATTCCTTTCTCATTGTGAGAAGAACCAATCGGCACTGTGAACTCAAAGTGCTGACAAGCCAGACATGACGTACAAACTCGGTAGAGAGCTATAATTGACCAAAGCGTGTTGCTTCGGACAAGAGCGTAGAAGATAAGAGTTGGTTTTTGTATATTTCTCTCTGTTAAGCCTGAATTAGATGCCCTTTACTCGTATAGATAAAGGTTTTCTTTTGGTGAGGCAACGGTGGGATGGTACATTGTAACTGAACAAAAGGCAGAATTTTTTTCTTCGCAGTTCATTGTTTTGTAGTAAAGCTGACTTCCGTTCAGCAAATTTAACCTCCGACTTAATTTTGTCAATGGGATTGCGAGGGTAGCCTCCAGTACAAAAGGCGTGTGAGTTAACGTGGTAGTTTGTTCCAAAAGTGGAAGGTCTTCACCTTTAATGAGACCTTTCTGATCTTTTCTGGAGTCTCGCGCGAAATTTCTCAGGTCCAAAGTGCACTTTCTAGATCTGCAAGTGTGCTGTGATTGGTCTACGTTTTTTCCACTCGTTTCAGCAGACGTTTGTTCGGGAGGATTGCGTGACGAGCCAGTGATCAATTGACAGCTGTTAAAACAGGTTGTCCGCTGGCCAGTATCACATGACCGTATTGCGGGCTCAGGTGTGAGCCATGGACGAAACCTGTGTATTTGAAGTTATCCGCTGACAAGTTACTTGTTTTTCAATTTATTTACAGGAGCTTCGCCTTGTCTAAATCTTTATATTATTACCGGCAGTGAGTGCGTTCGAGTGCTTTACCATCAAGCATTATTTCAAAATACGTGTAGGGTAAAGATGAAGAAACACATTTTTTTAAAAAAAATAAATAAATATATTTTCTAGACGTATAGTCGTTTAATTGAAAAATTTTCGGATCAAATTAAGTTTCGGGGAAACTGCCCACCTACCCCTCCCCTAAGCTGACATTAACACTTACTTCTTCCTTAGGGCAAAATGATTGCTTAGGGGAGGGGTGGGTGGGCAGTTTCCCAGAAACCTAAATTGATCTAAATTTTCTTGTGCCTAGGTACACAGCGATTCTGGAAATGTAGCAGGAATGTAATATCAAGTGTAGGGTATGACTGCGTATACACCGCTCTTGATATTGCCTCTGTTAAAAGCCATTTTTGTCATAAAATGCGACGCGATCAAAAGTGCAATTGAGGTTGCATTACGCCTCCCAAGCAGGTTACATGTTTTAAGGGGCTGCTTACATGATACCGGAATGACTTTCATTCCGGAACAAGTTTTGTTCCAGAGTGAAGTTCGTACTGCATACAAATGATAAAATCAACCAGCCTATTCCAAGGCGTTCTCTCTCGCGCCAGATCAGGTACGCATGCGCCACATTTCCCAGACTAAACGGTCTGCAATTTTCAATTCGGAAAAAAGTTCATTTTCATAATATCGTAATGAAACGAGAATTTTATTCGGAACAAAAATCCGGAATGACTTGAAGGGAAGGTAATGTCGTTTCGGTATTATTATTCGGTAAACAAATACAGAGAAATATGCAGAAATGAAATGAAATGGTTCCAGAATGAAAGTACTTCCGGCATCATGTGACAGTAGCCCCTACGATGATGGCCCTTTTGTATGACGTCACTTGACGTCACGTGGCCTCAGAAAAATGATTTAGCTATAATCTCCGCCGTATACATATATTTTTGCTTGTGGTGTTGTTATGTTTATATCTTAATTTTTCCTCATGAAGAGAATTTCATCTACTACTCCGCTGTTTTTTATTGGATATAGTGAAAGTGCAGTGTTGGAGAGCTCTTTACCTAAGCGTAAACACCAGCTGTTTCTGAAAAAAATAAACACAAAAGTAAAATATGCATGATTATCAGTGTGTTTCAGTTTACACCGCCGACCATGTACTGATATTTTATAAAGAGTTTACTGTTTGAAAAATCTGAATAACAAAAGTGAATTTGTTTGATTTTAATAGTCCATGGATGATACAGTTTGTACTACCTTACAATATAGGGTACACAGTTAATGTCAACGTCAAGGAAAGTTTTCTTTATCTAAGAATCATGTTTAACGGCTCTTCAACGACTAGGCTCACTACATCAACTCCACATTTGGACGTTTGTAGTTTTTATCGCAATGTCCGTGATGGGGACGTCACTCCGCAAGATATCCTAGTTTTGGTAGGCGCCATCAACGCCCTTCTATCCGTTGTAGCTGTTACGGGAAACACGTTAATTTTAGCGGCAATATGGAAGAACTCATCGCTTCGAAGTCCTTCGTATATTCTATTAGCTGGGCTGGCAGCCACGGACTTTGCTACTGGTCTGATCACGCAGCCGTTATACGTTGCTTACATTTTTGCGGGAAATAATTGCACTGTAGTCACAGCCGCCGATGTTGCCAGTCGCTATTTTGCCACTGTAACTGCGGAGACGATCACGATGATGTCTGTAGAAAGATGGTTGCACATGAGTCGTCGATCGTTAATAACTGTAAGGCGCGCCTATGTAATTTACGGAATACTCCTGTTCCTTCCAGTAGCCTACTTGCCTCTCCACCTGTGGTTAGTCTCGATGCAATCGTACGGAGATTTCTGGGAACCTCTTCTCCACGCTGTTTTAAGTGTTATTTGCTTTTCGACAACATCCTTTTCCTATTATAAAGTATTTGGAATAATTCGAAATCAACTAAGACGCGTTCAAGCGGGCCAGACAAGCCAAAGCTCTCCGATGGCCTCTATTAAATACAAGAAATCAGTTTACACAATTCTTATCATATTATTAGTTTTCTTGCTTTGCTATTCGCCGCATGGAATTACTATTTTTGCCCACTCTCTGTGGACAATGTCAGCAGTGACCTTTAATGTGGTTTGGCATTTTACAGCTACTCTCGTTTTGATATCTTCGTCAATAAATCCTCTTCTTTACTATTGGAGAATAAGAGAAATTCGACTTGGCGTTAAACGATTAATGAGAGGAATTATTTGCTAACGGTTTAAATGAAATTGTATAAAAGATCTCTCTCTTTTCTGATTTTTTTTTCCAAAAAAGCGGTGGTAAATGATCGTACCGTCGACCTCAAGATTAGCTGTTGAATTACAGTCATGAGTTATCAACGTAAAGTATGGTTCAGTAATATAATGAGCTCTGACTGCGCAAAGAACAATAAATTGGTAATAGTAAAATGACCTTTTACTTGTACGAATTGATGTTGAGAAATGCAGAGAAAATGTATTTTGAGCTAAAGTAACTTAAGAAAATGCTAAAGTTTTAATTGCTGAAACGACCAGTTGATGTGAAGTTGTAAATTCAATTTTAGGAAGCTCGTAGTAGACTAGAAATCAGCTTGAATATAAAGAAAGGCAGCTTTAACCTGATTGATCGCATTTAAGGATTTATTCTATACATTATTATGATCATTATTATTATTATTATTATTATTATTATTATTAAGTAAATTGACTGTCTTGTTCACGAAATGTTGCACCTCAAACAATTAAGACTGCGCTTGAACGTACAGACGAATTCTATCCGTACCAAAGTCTTTGTCTAGCTCTACTTCATTTATAACAAAAATAGCTAGGCATATTTAGAAAACTTTAACTGCACTCGTATTCATTTATTTCCGATTCCTTGATAATGGCCTCATGAGGTCTCGAGACGTCACAACATTATCTCGTTAGTTTTTACTTGTTTATGATTTTCTAAATCATTATTAATAATTATTAATTTTTAGATTTTAAAAAGAAACAAATTTAGCTGATTTAAGTAACAAATTTAGCTGATTTAACAAGGTATATTTACAAGTACTAAGCAAACAACAGGAGAAGCGAAAATTGTTTCTTCGTATCCGCGAAAAAGAAGACTGAGAATAAAACTGTCTTGAAGTCTGGAATTGATTGAAATTACTTGAGATATTGATAATTGTAGTCTAGTACTAGGCTATTCGAGTTTGAAAATCCTAAATATAACACTCATCATGCCATCGAGTGAGATTTCATGGGATAATGAATTTTTCATGATTTAGTGGGATAATTAGTTAGAAATCGAAATGGTGTTTTTACAGCCGCCGTTCTGAGACAACAATCAGTTTAACGTGTTTTTACTCCTAGGGTAACTTATTATCAAACTCAAACATTTCTTCACGACTCATGATTAATTACTTCATTCATAAATAATATAAAGAATATTACAAGAACACGCGGGGATACGAAATTACTCTTCGAGTGTTAATTATGAGTAAATAAGTAGGCGAAAGGGGTAGAAAAGGCACTCTAGGCCGATTTAGCGCTTCTTTGCTGCTAAAATTTGTGGTACAATGATGGTCCGTACTACGCGAAGATTCGATGCAAATGATTCGAACGAAGCGTAATTTGATAATTCGCCCCATGATACCTTGTGGGCCGAGTCCAACCTCTCCTGAGGGTCATTCGAACAGTAGTTAGTGTTAGTGATCCACGCCATAGTAAGGCGGATATACCCTTGATTTATTAACTTGGTTAAATGTTTGAAGAATTTTCGAAATGGAGTAAGGGTCGGGACAACAAAGCAAATCAAATGCGAAGGTAGTTTCAGATGTTGTCATCATCGTCATCATCATCATCATCATCATCATCATCATCATCATCATCACCATCATTAATTATTTTTCAATTAGTTTTTTTTAAAGGTGGTCCAATTTGTAAGCCTTATTGGCTTCCTTGGGCCCCCTTGCCTCATCTTTTTTCTTAATTTCATGTACGTATTAACTTGTATCAGTGGCAAAATGATAATAAACCATAAACAAATAATCATTATCATCATGAATCCACAATCCAAATATAGCGATGTCAACTTCAATACAGCCTCGTCCCCAGGGTCCTTTCTTATTCGTCCCTAGAAGACGAGTAGAACAGGACCCTGGGAACGAGAGTGATTTTCAATACAACTTAATGGTGGAAATAGGATGAAAACACTCTGCACTGTTTGAAACGTGAGTACCGTACTGAATATGGCAGCTGGAATTATCATTAGGGCTCAGAAACTGTTTGCACACCTGGATTAACTAAAAAGCATATCTCCAATTATTATTGCTTTCTTAACAAGAGATAATGAAGTGTTTTATTCACTTTCTCGCAAAAGTGTTGGCAGCTAAGGTTGCCGCAACTTCACACTCTTTGGTGTTAAGCATTAAGAAGACGAACATGTTTAACAGAAAACTTGCATTTCTGGCGTTTTTGTTGCACTCCTTTTCAGTTTCCTACTGTAACCGTAAGTATTTGTAATTAAAAATTTATCTCGACATTTTATGATAACTACATTAAGCTAGCTTATCTAAGAAGTAATTCTGTTGTATTGATCGTGAATGAAAAATGGCAATAGTATTAATTCGGGCTGTTCGCACGAAGAAAAACGCAAATTACGGAGTCCAACTGTTCCTGAAGAGACCTTTTCGGCTTGGATGTCTTGTGTTGTTTTTTTTTAGAAATTCATGATGTTCTCAAGTTGAGTGATATTCAGTTATGTTCTCAAGGGAAAATCCCTTTTGTTATTTCATAAATCATGAAACAGCGTCCTTTCTTATCATCTGCTTTTGTTCATCGGTCTCCTATTTCATTCCATTCTTTTTTTTTCTCCTTTTTTCGCTCTTCTTCCTCCTTTCCTTCTTTTTCATAAATTATGACAAAGCGTTTTTCTTTTTTTTTTCATCTGCTTTTGTTCTTTGTTCTCGTTTTTCCTTGTGTTTCGAACGCGGCACGGCGTTGTCAACAAAGATCTAGTGCGGGACGAAGCACTCCGCTTTTGCTTAACCCCTCCCCCTCCCCCCAAAAAGTGTTGTTTAACAGAGGATGATCAATTAGGGTTTCTGGGAAACTGTTTACCTACCCCTCCTCTAAGCCACCGTTAACACTCACTTCTCACTTAGGGCAAAATGTTGGATTGAGAGAAGGGTTAGGCAGGCAGTTTCCTAAAAAAATAAATTGATCCGACAATTCTAATGCAGTTTCTTTATGAACATTAATGAGTACTTATACTTCATCAAAGAATGCAACGATGCTCTCGGCATGGAAAGCGGTGCTATATCAGATGGGCAAGTAAAGGCCTCCACAGAGTGGGATAAGAATCATGCTGCCATCCAGGGAAGACTGCAGTATTTAGCAAAACCTGGCAAGGCAGGATCCTGGTCGGCTAGACATAATAACGTTGACCAATGGCTCCAAATTGACCTGGGTAGTCGATACACCAAAATAACTGGTCTAGCAACGCAAGGCAGAAATAGTTATTCACAGTGGGTTACTAAATACAAAGTACAGTACAGCGACGACGGTGCAAACTTTCAGTACTACTCGGAGCAAGGCGTAATAAAGGTACTTTATCGTTTATAAAACTTAGATGCATGCTACACTTCGGTCATCAGTTCTTAATCATCATCATTATCATCATTATCATCATCATCATCAACAACAACAACAACATCATCATCACCGCCATTATCATCATCATCATCATCATCATCATCATCATCATCATCAACAACAACAACAACAACATCATCATCATCATTATCATCATCACATATTTCATTCGCCTTTAATAACAAAATATAAGCGAGAAATGTAGCGCTTTTTTTTCATAAGACACCACAACGCTTATAAAAGATACCACCTTGAGTTTTATTTGTTGCTGTATATGTGCGGCTTGGCCAGTTCAAGGTTATCTAACCAAAAACTCAAGATTCGTTTTCTGAAAGGAAAGAAGGCTTAATCAACAGACAATCTATAGGGTTTTTACTTAATATAGTTTCTACAAAATGAAGACTACAACCTGGCGCTCTTCAAGAAGTGCTTAGTCTTAGGTTTTTGGGAAAATATCAGTATAACGGACTCAATTTTGAAGAAGTAACATTTTATCCGTCTGTGAATTTCAGCCTTCAGTAAACTCCACAAATCAAAAGTGCACGTCCTTTTGTTTTACACTGCCACATCTTTGGCAAACCTCACATTGTTAAACATCATTCCTATCATTAATTTTCAAACGGCGTTTACAACTGCAATTGGTGTTTTATGTTTAGGAGTTTGTTGGAAACACTGACCGTGAAACTGTAGTCAAGCATGGGCTCAAAGAAGGAATTAGGGCACGGTACATCCGGTTTCGACCAACAGCCTGGCACAAACATATATCCATGAGAGTGGAAGTCTATGGGTGCAACGGTAACATTATTGGATTTTTAGTATTTGTCGAAAATTTCGTTTGTTTCAGCCGCGTTTCTCTTATTTCGAATGTATTTTTATAAAGAACTTTGTCAGTCTTTTACTTTTTTTTCTTTCAAAAAAAAAAAAAAAAAAAAAAAAATATATATATATATATATATATATCTTTTAGGGATCCTCAGTGTCCTTTATTTGTGCTCTCCTTGTTTTTAGTGTCTCTTCTTACCATCTCCTTTTGACGTTCGCTATCGATTTTTCTTCTTTTCTTCAGAATTCTGAGAATTAAACTGGGTCTTGTTTATGAATTATTAATGATTATTTACACTTTGTTAAAGAATGCAACAATGCCCTTGGCATGGAAAGCGGTGCTATATCAGATGGGCAAGTAAAGGCCTCCACAGAGTGGGATAAGAACCATGCTGCCATCCAGGGAAGACTGCAGTATTTAGCAAAACCTGGCAAGGCAGGATCCTGGTCGGCTAGACATAATAACGTTGACCAATGGCTCCAAATTGACCTGGGTAGTCGATACACCAGAATAACTGGTCTAGCAACGCAAGGCAGAAATGCTTATACGCAGTGGGTTACTAAATACAAAGTACAGTACAGCGATGACGGTGCAAACTTTCAGTACTACTCGGAGCAAGGCGTAATAAAGGTAGTTTATCGTTTATAAAACTTAGATGCACGCTATACTTCGGTCATCAGTTCTTAATCATCATCATTATCATCATTATCAACATTATCATCAACAACAACAACAACATGATGATGATCATCATCATCATCATCATCATCATTATCATCATCAACAACAACAACAACAACATCATCATCATCATCATCATCATCATCATTATCATCATCACATATTTCATTCGTCTTTAATAACAAAATATAAGCGAGAAATGTAGCGCTTTTTTTTCATAAGACACCACAACGCTTATAAAAGATACCACCTAGAGTTTTATTTCTTGCTGTATATGTGCGGCTTGGCCAGTTCAAGATTATTTAAGCAAAAACTCAAGATTCGTTTTCTGAAAGGAAAGAAGGCTTAATCAACAGACAATCTATAAGCTTCGTTACTTAATATAGTTTCTATAATATGAAGACTGCAACCTAGTGCTGTTCAAGAAGTGCTTAGTCTTAGGTTTTTGGGAAAATATCAGTATAATGACTCAATTTTGAAGAAGTAACATTTTATCCGTCCGTGAATTTCAGCCTTGAGTAAACTCCACAAATCAAAAGTGCACGTCCTTTTGTTTTACACTACCACATCTTTGACATACCTCACATTGTTAAACATCATTCCTATCATTAATTTTCAAAAGGCGTTTACAACTGCAATTGGTGTTTTATGTTTAGGAGTTTGTTGGAAACACTGACCGTGAAACTGTAGTCAAGCATGGGCTCAAAGAAGGAATTAGGGCACGGTACATCCGGTTTCGACCAACAGCCTGGCACAAACATATATCCATGAGAGTGGAAGTCTATGGATGCAACGGTAACATTATTGGGTTTTTAGTATTTGTCGAAAATTTCGTTTGTTTCAGTCGCGTTTCTGTTATTTCGAATGTATTTTTATAAAGAACTTTGTCAGTCTTTTACTTTTTTTTCTTTCAAAAAAAAAAAAAAAAAAAAAAAAAATATATATATATATATATATATATATCTTTTAGGGATCCTCAGTGTCCTTTATTTGTGCTCTCCTTGTTTTTAGTGTCTCTTCTTACCATCTCCTTTTGACGTTCGCTATCGATTTTTCTTCTTTTCTTCAGAATTCTGAGAATTAAACTGGGTCTTGTTTATGAATTATTAATGATTATTTACACTTTGTTAAAGAATGCAACAATGCCCTTGGCATGGAAAGCGGTGCTATATCAGATGCGCAAGTAAAGGCCTCCACAGAGTGGGATAAGAACCATGCTGCCATCCAGGGAAGACTGCAGTATTTAGCAAAACCTGGCAAGGCAGGATCCTGGTCGGCTAGACATAATAACGTTAACCAATGGCTCCAAATTGACCTGGGTAGTCGATACACCAAAATAACTGGTCTAGCAACGCAAGGGAGAAATGCTTATACGCAGTGGGTTACTAAATACAAAGTACAGTACAGCGATGACGGTGCAAACTTTCAGTACTACTCGGAGCAAGGCGTAATAAAGGTAGTTTATCGTTTATAAACTTAGATGCACGCTATACTTCGGTCATCAGTTATTAATCGTCATCATTATCATCATAGTCAACATCATCATCATCAACAACAACAACATCATCATCACCGCCATTATCATCATCGTCATCGTCATCATCATCATCATCACATATTTCGCTCGCCTTAACAAAATATAAGGAAGAAATGTAGCGCTTTATTTTCATAAGACACCACAACACCTATAAAAGATACCAATTAGAGTTTTATGTGTTGCTCTGTATGTGCGGCTGGGCTAGTTCAAGATTATTTAAGCAAAAACTCAAGATTCATTTTCTGAAAGGAAAGAAGGCTTAATCAACAGACAATCTATAGCGTTTTTTAGTTAATACAGTTTCTATAAAACGAAGACTGCAACCTACTGCTCTTCAATGAAGTGCTTAGTCTTGGGTTGTTGAAAAAATATTGAGTATAATAACTCAGTTTTGAAGAATTAACATTTTATCCATCTGTGAATTTCAGCCTTAGGTAAACTCCACAAATAAAATGTCCACGTCCTTTTGTTTTACATTGCCACATCTTTGACAAACTTCACATTGTTACACATCATTCCTATTATTAACCCTTTAAGCCGCAATATCCACATACAAATTCTCCAAACTGGTCTCTATACATTTCCTTAAAGAATTGGTTGAGAGAATTGGTTGAGAGAATTTGTTCCCTGATCAAAGCTTCTCACAGCAGATGATGATTTTATTAATTCTCACAACATTTTATCTTGATTATGTATTGATATTGTTAGGAGAGAACTGACTTTGGTCACTCTTGGGACTTCAGGGGGTTATTTTCAGAAGGCATTTACAACCGCAATTGGTGTTTTATGTTTAGGAGTTTGTTGGAAACACTGACCAAGAAACTGTAGTCAAGCACGAACTCAACGGAAGCTTTAGGGCACGGTACATCCGTTTTCGACCAACAGGCTGGTACAGACATATATCCATGAGAGTGGAAGTCTATGGGTGCAAAGGTAACATTGTTGGGTTACAAGAATTTGTTGAAAATTTAGTTTACACGCATCAAGAAGAAAAGAAGAACCAGAAGAAACAAGACCTTCCTATTTTTAGACCTTCCATCTTTTATGTTATTTTATTATTGAGTTTGTCAATTAATATATATTATTAAATACATTTTTTTTACCTTTAGACTAGGTTAAATTTCAAATTAACTATAAGCGCTTTAATTTGCTTTACCATGTTGTCAAGTAACAAGCCACAAAGTTCAAAATATGGCACTAGGAAAACCAGACATCCCTGTAGTGCAAATTTTAAGCAACTGACAACAACTGGCAACAAAGCCTTGCCCAGTGAACAGGAGCCTGTCTGCTGGAGAACTCAGCTCTGATAAATATCATACTAAATAAATAAAATAATGATTTGGAGATAGCACATCCACATAGTGATTCTTTGTGTACCTGATTTCTGGTTGAATTGGAATTTGAGAATGTTGGTTTTTGAGGAGAAAGGAAAAGCAGAGTACCCGGAAAAAAACCTCTCAGAGAAAGGGAGAGAACCAACAACAAACTCAACCCACATATGGCGTCGACACCACAATTTGAACCCGGGTCACTTTGGTGGGAGGTGAGTGCTCTCACCACTGCGCCACCCTTGCTCCTCACTGATACTAAACAAATGGCTGACTTTATGACCACAAAATCTCGACAAGATGGCAAATGCCCCGGGGGGATGGGCACGCCTGGAATTGACTAAGCATTATTCATAATATTGGCATTTATTTAATATTCCTCCTTATTCCCCGACTGAAAATGTTTATTATAAAGGCACTACCCTTTCAAATTTTACGGCCGTTAGATTTTCCTAATATGTCTCATAATATAAACGCTTACCTTAGCTGCTTTCGGATGTTGGTATCGGTAGAGCGGTACCCTGAATCATGGCGTTTCCCCATCACTTCCTCCATTCCCTTTACTTGGCGAACAGTAAATTATTCCTAAAACGCCGTACAAGACCAGCAAGTCGTGCCATTACTAAACACAAAATCCTCCAACAACGACTCGGTTCGGCGCGGCCATTATAGGTTTTACATGACGTACCTACCTGTTAGATGAGAAATGCCGCTGTGCGGAAAACTTACCAGGCCTGTACAGCCCCCCAAATGCGAAATGATCCCCATTTGTCTCCTCAATTAATTTTAGGAATGGAATGGTATTCCGCCACGGAATTATTACAAGTCTGCTGCAGCGTTTACGTTCTTGAATCGAGTCAGTACAGTTTTAGCTCTTGTGTCATCTAATCGCCTTTGTGTCTGAAGTCTCCTTTTGCATCTTCAACATCATTATAAATTTTCGATCGTATGGAAAATCTCACCTCACAGGGGAAAATTTAATTCAAGCATTTCGAAAAGGCTAACAAAAGTTACATCTTAAACAGTATATATTATCTGAAGGAATGTCTGAAAATTATTCAGGCTAAGTATTGGACAACTATAGCTTGTGATAGTCGGAAAGCTGGTGCTCCTAGCTCACTAACCAATATAATTAAAAGAATCCTCCGACAACTTCAAAAGAACGAACTGAGAGACCGATAAAGCCTGTTGGCTTTTTTTTGTCATGGGAAAGGCTGTAAACCCTTTTCATTTTATTTCTAGCTATTTTATGTCCCGTGCTTACCGTGTCTAACGCCGATCCTCCAACTGGTTTGTGCTCCAGTGCTGATTTAAGCTTCCAGGCCAGCTGTTCCTTCAAATGTCTTGCTGGGTACCAGCTGAAAGGCTCTGACGTGCGTGTCTGTCAACTCGACAAGACATGGTCTGGAACTTCATCGACTTGTGAAGGTAATCGACATATATCAATCTAATATAAATCGATAACTGTCATAAATGTCTAAACCGTTGCTATGAGCATCACCCGAGGCATTATCCACGATCTGTTCTGTTTAACGTAATTGCCCTGTGTTGCAAAATTTTGATTCCTAAACATAGCTTTTGCAATACTGTATGTGTTTGTATGGTAATGCAAATATAAAGCTCGTTGTTGTTCACTAAATCTAATAAGTGTGTATTGCCAAAACTAATCGTATACGATAAGCAAAGACAGATCACTAATGGTCACTAATGAATGACGAGATAACAAAAGTTGCTTCTTTTAATTCATTAGCTAAGTAGACAACTCACATTTGCAGCATCTACTTAGATCCCATCGGCATCCCTTTACAAAACGAGGCTGCAAAATTGTTCCATAACATGAGGGTAGGCGGTTGCCTCGATTAAGAGATCCGGATGGGTTCCAAAAGGCTCTGTGCCGGTAACTTTAAAGAAGTTATTGGTGATAAAAGAAATATTCCACTGTAATATCATGGCCTAACAGCCGAGTCTTTTTCTTTCACGCAAATTATTTTAATTGTTTTCATTCTTAGAAATCCGTTGCCCTAAACTTCCGTCCGTCAAGTACGCAACAGTGATTCCAAGTAATTGTGACCACCAGTCAATGAGATTTTCCTCAGTCTGCACATTTTCATGTCCTGATGGCTTTACTACCGATGTTACTGCACCCCAGAAAGCGTCGAGATCTTTAACGTGTCAGCTGACTGGCGAATGGGACGCTCAAGCTCCTCAATGCCATGGTAAGCGTTTTCCAGTCCACTTTGTGTTTGAGGCAGGAGCCCATAACCCGGAGCGAGCAACTTCCTTGCGCTCGAGTCACGGTGTTTTCACGGACCAGTTTATTTTTAGAACGTTTTTGAAGCAAATTTTGAATATCTTTTAAATTCCACAAACCAGTGAGCAAAACCTATACAGACCTAAAACTAATATTTTTTGCCTTGTAATAACGTTTAGCTGACCTTTTTGATATCTTATACTTCGAATACGCTCATAGACATGCTGAAGTTTCTATTCTCGCCGGAAAAAATGCCTTAAAATGTGTCTAAAAATAAAATGGTCCGTAAAAACGCCGTGACATAGGCCTAGCATGGCAGTTGCTTGCTCCGGCTTTGGGTTTCTGTTTGAGGTTTTCTTTTGAGGCACACTGACATTCATTGGATACCAAAATTGGAAAATTAGACAGTACTATTCAAATCAGTTATCCGCGCTTGAAATTTAAAAGCAAAACTTTCGTCATTTTTTTTGTTTATTATAATAATCAACTCTTTTGCTTGTTCAGTAAGAAATGCTAGAAACAGTGCAAGGCCAACCTGTTTTACAGGCAGGTCCCCTTTGTAAATATGAGAAAAGGGCTCGATATCAATGGATTTGAAACTTCCAGCCAGTGCTTCAAACTATAAATGGACACGGACAATTAAAACTTTAAAAAAAAGTTCATGTAATAAACGCTGGCACCAGTTTGATTCAAACAAGGAAAGGTAAGCAAACAGAACTTCATTTTAAAGAATACGAGACAATGAGATGCACCACTAATTAATTAATTTCAATAAAAGACTTCATTTGTTTATGAAATGAGGACCATGTTTTTTTTAGTTCATGTGATTATCCATTAACTTTGAGCATAGACTGTAGCCTGCGTAACATGGCGGTTTTGGTTGGGCCGGCAAAGTAATAAGGGTGGGCTAAGGCGCAGAGAAACCGCAAGGAGATTGGGGCTGGAGCAACGAAAAAACTCTCTATCTTTTTCTTCAAATCAGTGAGGGGAGTGCACGCGCGTGCGAGTGTTAAGCGGCGAAGCAGCGAGATGCTAGAAAATAGGACGGCAGCCCGAGAAGTCTGTCACGCGCGTGTTTATTTTCGAATCTCGAGTGTTTCCCTCAAATGACTGAGGAAAACTGGTCAAAGTAGGGACGGCTCCTGGTCTACTCTGAGCAATGCTATTGATTGTTTTTAGAATCTAGGCTGTCAACTTACAAGTCAACTAGAATTTAGGACGTAGTATCCATTTTAACCACATCCTTTAATGTCCTTTGTTTGCAGAACTGCCTTTTTCGCATCTAAATATATTTACGAATTAAATTTTTCTAATTTATAGATTATCAGTCCCCAACGTTATCGTGTCCTGGACCTATCATAAGAGGTTATACAACCAAAGGAAAAGCGACAGGAAAGGTATCATGGAATATCCAGGTGACAGACAACTCTGTAATTGTGGATCCCAATGCAAAGATAAATGTAATGTCAACTTATCAGTCTTCTCAAGAATTTCCTATTGGTGCGACTGATGTTCAGGTTACTGCTAGTGACAGCACAGGAAATACAGCAACATGCAGATTTATCGTTGACATTAAAGGTTAATAGATAGAAAGTGAAAAACTTCAGGCCTCGTCCACTCGTATCCCGATATATTTGAAAATGGATATTTTTTTCTCCAATTTTGAAAAGGGTAGCTTCTCTTAGTGGGCATGCCCTGTATGATGTATGACATTATCGAAAAAGTCCGTGTTTCGACCGTATACACTACTCTGGGGACTACTTTCAAAACCCCAGCGAATTTTTGACGCCCGAAAAAGCCGTTTGATCGGAAGGCTAAAACTGAGAAAAATAAATAAATAATAATAACAATAATGATAATAATAATAATAAATATCCGGATACGTGGGCCTGAGAGTCTTCGGCGAGTGATTTCAAGCTTCTCTTGTGTTCTTCCAACATAAATATTTTCTTCGGGGTAGGACTTTACAAAGTTAAATTGCTAAACTAAAAATTATGCAATATTCATTACTCAATTGAGGGACGACCGGTCATTATGTATCGCCTGGAGGGGAAGGGGGTGCAGAGGATTTTTGTTGCGACAACGGAGCACTTACGTGATCTTATAATTACGTGTTGTACGGATCGTTAATGCGTGGAATAACTTGCCTAAAGATGTTGTACACGCAAGATCGCTGACTTTATTTCGCAACAGATTAGGATTAATATGAACATTGATTAATACGTTTGTTAACAGTTTCAATTATGATATGCAAATTATGTTTTTTACTATTTTTTAGGTTTTAGATTTTTCTCTCTGTTTATAATGTTTTAGTTTCTAGATTTTATCTTTGTATATTTTATCTTGGTGAATCTTTTATATAGGGTTAACTTCTAGATATCCCCTTTCGAGAGATATTTTGTAACTTTAGTTTTTATCTCTTGAACATAGTATTGTATTGTATTAGAATGGCTACTCGGAAACTGAAAAATGCACCTAAAAAGGGTCCGCAGGGAGAGTAAAGAGAGACTACTCGTAGTCTACTGTTTGGCTAAAGTACCTACTATCTACTAAGTGCGTGGTATTGTGCGTAGCGAGCCGCCGTTTGGAACAAAAACGAAACAATTGGCAACTTCTTTGTAATAAAAAGTTTTCTGATGTTTAACGGAACGAGGAAGAAGTAGTTAAACCCTGTTAGACGCTGTTCCATAAAATGCTATAGCGGCCTTAATAAACGGAATGAAAATTCCCATCGGTCCACGCGCGCTTTCTTTTTTTCTTCTCCCCAACCCCCCGCGCGTTTTCCTTTTTTCCCCCTCCTCTTTCCAACCTTCCTACAACACAAAAAGGCCTCTGTGGCCATGGGGAAGAGAGTAGTATGCGCATACCCTTTGTCTTCTACGAACGATATCTTGACCTTTTCTTTTACAATGTCATTTTACTTTAGATATTGAAGCACCTATCGTCAAGCAGTGTCCAGGAGATATTGTCCGAGAAGAGGAAAAGTTAGAAGTGCAAGTACACTGGACGAGACCAGTTTTCTCCGACAATTCGGGAAGTGTCACGTTCTCTGCAAACAGACAAATAGGAGAATTATTTGCTGTCCCCGGCGCCTATCAAATTGTGTATACCGCAAACGACCCGTCAAATAATGAGAACAAAAATTGTTCATTCAGGATAACACTGAAAAGTAAGATTTACCCCTACTTAAGTTACTAAATTTTCAGCACTGTTTCACGAACTGCTATACTAATAATCATACAGACTTTTAGTTGCAAGTTTTCACTTTTCTATCTGAGTAGTTTTAGTGCAATAAGTTTCATGGCATTGAGACTATTTTGAAAAAAAGTAATAACACATTTGATATTTTTAACAAAAGACATGTTATCAAAAAGGCAGTTCTTCTGCTTAGACCAGTCAAATCAACAATTGCAACAGCTACAAGCAGAAACCAGAGTATAGATATGGCGGTAATAATGTAAGTGTAAAAAATAGGTAAGGAGTGCCCGAATATAAATACATTTATTAAACAATGTTAAAATATCAACAAGAAAAACTAAGGAACAATGCATATATTAAACAAAGGCTGGAATTGACGTGCTGTAATTGCTAAATCGGCCTACCTTTGTCGTTTCCAATGAGGGGCGGAAGCAAGGGGAGGATCTACGGCTTCAGTGCAAATGGAGAATGAAAATAATTGGCTTCAACTAGGTGGACAAGCTGGACCCCCTCAAACAAAAATACCTTGATCCGACCCTGAAGAGGCGATTTACTTTTGTTTCACATTTTGATTCAGTTGGAAAATGGTAGTGGTCGGTCAATTGTTTCATCTACATTAGTCGGACAGAACTAAGTGAACATTGTTGTTTTTCTCTATACCCAAATTTTCAATGTTTTAAACCTTTGAGCTAAACAATCAAGGGAAACAAGTTTTGTTGTGTTTTCTTGCAGAAAAATCGTGTCCTTTATACCCGCCTCCTAAAAACGGAGCCCTAGCGTGCTTTCGTATAGGTGGTGATGTTACTTGTGCGGTCATGTGTCAGACTGGTACTGACTTTGAGTTTAACGTCCCAGTGCTGTACTTCTGTTCAGCTGGACAGTGGAATTTCTATTCGCTCCCTCGCATGTCTTTCAGTTCGACTTTACCCTGGCCAAACTGTACTGGTAAGAGCTCTTAATAATTCTTTTTTCCAGTCCTCTTGAGTAGCCTGTACCAGCCAAACTCTCGGTCAGTGAAGACGAGCGAAAAGAGCGACTGGCAGTAAAAAAGCGAGCGAGCAAAAATATCCTCCTCTTTCCTAAGCCCCCACCGGGTTTTGCGCAATTTTTTCGATCCGCTTTCCCCACTATCTTGGAACCTGGAACAGGCTACCTCTTGAGAGCTTAGTTTTTTAGAATTACCACTTTATGCAGTACCAATATATGCACTGAAGCACTAGTACTGAGTACCAATTAATTGGGGAGTCCCATTTTGGTCTTATACACAGGTCTACTTATCGCATTGAAAAACAGATCAAGATATGTCCGATCTGTTAAGTCATACTACAAATCAAGACTCTTGAAGTTTCAAGAGCAACAAACCTATAGGAGATTTACAATCTTGGGAAATTTGTACTTTACACTTTTTCTCAAACACACGAGGTGATATCGAAACGTAACTTTTTAAATATGACAAATAACATGATGACTAACATGGCTGACAAATTTCAGGCCCACAATTTCTGTTTATACTGTGTCTAGATGACTCAGTTTTTTTAATTCCTTTTTTTTTTTATCTAATATGGTTCATCTTTATCAATGCGTTCATCATTTTCGCAGTTCATTCATTTCTTTGTTTGGGTTTGTGCCACTAAAATCAGTATTTTAAAGTAAGCTAAAAGTTTTTTTCCGTTTAAGACAATAACAGATAACTTATAAGGTCTTTTAAAGTTACAATTATATAAGATCCGGAATAACCATGTGAGAAAGTCAGATGCCATTGTTTTAAAGTTATTTTGGAATGGGACTTTTCCATTTTCTTTTTCTTTTTTTTAATGCAGCTGGGGTGAATCCACCGTCATTGATGAAGTTGTGGAGCCAGCAATATCACTACTTTGATGGAGATGCGCATGATCTTAACGTCCAAGCCTCCATCAAAGACAAGTTCTACCAGTTGTTGACGTCGCCCATTGTTCCTCCTTTCTTTTGCCAGTCTAACCCCAGTTCATGCTCGCAGCAGAATATTTTGGTTTCTCCTGGGATTAAAGGTAAATCTCAAATCCTGTCAGCGATACAACTATCAAGACCCCTGATTATGTGGAAGCCAAACTAAACCATTGATATAATTATAAACCTCAGTTCTATGTAGGCGATTGTGATTGCCCCATCCTCCTGGATCGTCTTACATCGCATCATAAGCCCCTAACAAAGCCCAGCTCACACTGCAAACATTGGCTGATGACTCTGGTATTACGAACTTGTTAGTTTAGATGCACCGTCTAAGCGGCAAAATGAAGCGTTATAATAATTTCCTTATCTTGCTTTGTAAAAAGTAAAGTGGGGTGAAGGAGTTATATTTTTACTCAACTTCTTATGTATTTGTTTTCTCTTAATGTTAGGTTGATTCCAGTGGTTTTGAAGCAAACTGAAGAGAATATAAAGGTCGCTAAAGGCGCACTTTATTGAAGTCCTAATTATAATCAAAAGCATTGCTAAAGTCTGCATGTATTAGCGTTGGCATAATCAATAAACCGTGAACACTGACATGTTATCAGCTGTGATAAATCATTGCCTTTCTGCGAGTATGTTTAGGGTGGAGAGAGAGCGGAAGCCGCTTAGACGCGGTGTCACAGTGATACCCATATTACTGGTGATTTGGGCACAGGCATACCCACACAGGGATACCCAAATCACTGTGACTGCGGATTAAAAAATAGCTGAAGTTACAATGAATCGCTAAAGTTGATTTAATCATGAATCATGTAAAATGATCCTTTGAATATCACTTTGATCACTGAAGAAAAAAGGCCAAACATCTACTTTGTTTAAAAACCGCTAACAATAATTTGCAAGGGAGTCTAGTTAATAAAGATGACAAAGATCTGTCAAGAGGCGACAATAAATCAATCAATTTTCCCCTCAATCTCAAATAACTTAGAAGATAGGAGAGCGTAAACTCATTTTGGAACCCTACTCAGTAAATTGTTTGGAAACATTAAAACCTTCGTTTTTTCCCTTTTTGACTCATGTTATCTTTATCATAAATTATTATATTTCCGCTCTATGGTTTACCCTAATATATTTTAAGGTTTTTAAAATTAAATGTAATAATTAATAGTTAGAGAAAAGTTTTAATGTTTTTTAAGCAAAGAACAGAAGACATATAAATACTTTTTTTTTTTTTTTTTAAAAAAAAAAAAAAAAAAGCTCGGGATTCAAATGTAAGTTAAGACATAATTTAAAAAGAGTGGATGCCGATATTTGTTTAGGATATATTAGAGCTGATAAAATACAAATCATGCTTTGTCAGCCTCCATTTTAAAAAATACTATCAGTCAAAAGTGTTTTCTCACCTCACGAAATTCATATGAAAGACAAACCATTTTGGGTTATAATAAACGGCTTTTAGCTATGGAGAGGTAATGAGATGTTTTAATCTCTTCAGTTTTTGTGTCAAAAGTTGGTCCGTGAGTGCTATAACGAAGTCACTTTTATACTAGTAGTATGATATTCATAACTGTAGTTCATCTTTTTCTTGGAAGTTAAAATTCCTTTTTAATGTGGATACACAAAGGAGTGTGTACAAAGATTGTTTTCCCACCTGTTGAGTCTCATATCGAGCATTAAAATTTATTACTTTAATTATGAAACTGACAGTGTACTGCTTCATTTGCGTTAAGGCTAAACGGCAAGGTAGACTAATCTGTAAGCAGCTTTAATTTTCTTACTAAGCCGCTGAGTGGAAGTCTAGTCATGTTTAAGAGAGTGGTGTTTCTGGCGTGTTTAGTAACTTGTTGCTCCGCTCAGGTGCCATGCCACGCTGGGTTCTTTGGTTCCAAAGGGCAAGCATGTAGAGGTGGGTCTGTTATTCGACCTAATAAAATAGCCTAAGGATTTCTGACGTACTTCTGAAGCTGCGTTGTTTTCGGTCTCTGCCATGCTCAGTTGGACACTTAGGGTCTTACTGATGACAATCTGATGAGAGAGTTGTTTCTTTTTTTCATGTTTCCATATGCTTTGCCAACCATATCAGCTAGGGGAAATCGCAAAGCGTCCGTGTAATATTGTATAGATTTTTTTTATATTCATCGTGACTTAAAAGGGATCGGGATTGACACCTTGAGAAGCTTTACCAAATCGCATTTTATTGGTCATCAACTTAGTAGACTTACAAAACCTTAGGGTAAAAAAAAAAACAAAACAAAAACAGCGAGGGATGCCAGCCCATACTTAAATGGTCAAAGACAATTTATCCATGCACATTTATAAAAGTTCAGAGTAGTTTACGTTTGGCACTCAGAGCGAATTATGAAAAGGTATAGTACGGTCAATTCGAGACTTTGAGAGATTGAGAAACTGCTTTCAAAATTCGCCACCGAGACTTATAATTTTGAAAGCTTTATGATTCTGGGCGCTCTGTCTTGGCGCAGGGATTTCTCTCAGATTTCGAGACAAATTCTTTCTTTCTTTATTTTTATAGTTCAGATGGTTCATACAACAAAAACTTTCCTCAAATCTTTTATTTTATCGTGCCTCCACGCGTGTTTGTGATTTAAAGGATACTGACCAAACTAACATGAAAGTTTCCTTTGGATCGAGCGATTCAGCCTTTCCTAAATCAGGTCCTGGTTGCTCAAAGAATGGATAGCGGACGCCCACGGTATTAATCTCTGCACAGTGCATAATTCCCCTGCTTTCTAGCTACTCAAAAATTAATTTTGGGTTTAATTTATTTATATCTTTTTTTTTCCATGAAATGTTAGAATGTCCACATAACACATACAAAGATTACATTGGCTTTGCAAGTTCCTGTAAGCCTTGCCCGGTAAATTCGGGTCATAACCTTCTTGGAAGTCATATTTTCAGTGACTGCAAATGCTTGAAGGGGTATTCAGGGGACCCAATGCAGGACATTCCATGCACAAGTAAGAAAGAAGTTTGCAGTTTGTCTACTTTACTTCATTTTATCTGTTTTCCCCTCAAATTTATATTTTCGCTCCCCTGATAGCTACCTTCCAGTTTCACCATTTGATAACGACGTTATTACTTTTACATAGCCGTTACTTGCTTTAGACTTTTCCCTCCTTGCCTACTGAATTACAAAGAACGTATCATTTTTGATACATGATTTGTTAACTGCGGCGTCTATTTAACAGTGATTCCACGAGTGCGCGTTGGATATGAAATGGTGGATAGCCAACAAGCCGCATAGCGCCGAGTTGGCTATAATCATCTCATATCCAGCAAGCACGAGAAGGAATAATTGTTTTATTAAAAAACGCGCAAAAAATATCAAGAATTATTCCCGACTTTATTTGTAAAAACAACCGATTTTCAGCTTGTTTTTAAATTTGAGCAGACGCGTACATTTACGATATTTCGAGAGCTTGGTATAATGGCTCATATGATGGCTAAGCTAATCAGAGTTCTTGAATTGCATTATTCAATGATTCATTTTTTAATAATGTGCTTTATTATTTTCAACAGTTAGACTTTGTGATCCGTTTGCCCCTCCAATAAATGGGTCCTTAGTTGGTGTCTGCAAGTCTGAATACAACTCAGTTTGCCGCATCAAATGTAATGAAGGTTATGAATTACAAGGAGGAAGTGCGCATGCGGAGAAAAAGTGCATCGTGAATAAAAACAACCACATGGAGTGGACAGAAGGACTTATTTATTGCTCTGGTAAGATAAAAGTCATGTGACACCATAGTTAGTAGAGGAGACTGGTTGTGAAAGCCGACAAACATCAAAGTTGAAAACAACGGTGCTGTAGTCAGCTGTGTAGTTTATGTTGGAAGCCTCCTTGACCATGCACAATCCTTTGTTTTTTGCTCATAAATTATGACTGAATAGAATAATGCGATGTTTCTATTGGTCAGTGAGTTCAAAATGATAGGAATGCTATTGAATGTTGGTGCACGGTCAGGTCCAAAAAAGCAAACAAAAACATATAACAAACGAGTCGAACGCCTTTCATAACCATTCCACTTGAATAACTACGGTGATCCTAATGCCATAAGCCATTGATATCGAAGATATAGGGAGTACTATTCAGAAGTTGATTCTGATGTTTTTTTGTTTTCGTTTTTTATCGCCAGTTTTTCCACTCATCACTCTTAGTTCTATTTAATGGTTACTAATATCAACATATACTGAATTAGCCTGCGTGCAGACGATAACGAAACTCTGATTAGTACCGTCTGCGAAGCAGCGCAGAGATCCTTGTTCTGGACCCCCAACGGACTCAACGAATTACCGGAAGTGCGTTTCGAATTCCCCTTCAACCTGATTGGCGATCACGACAAACAAAACAAAGGCCTTTTTTAACTGGCCAATCGTGGCGCGTACTCAAATCTGGGTACACAGCTGGAAGTCCAGAACAAGGATTTCGGCGCTGTTTCGCAGACGGAGTTAACCAGAGTTTAATTTCGTCTGCGCGCAGGCTAATACTGAATAGGCTTGTAATTTTTTCTGGGTAACCTTCCTCAAGTTTTTATAAGCTGACCCTTTAACACATTTTTGGTGGCCTCATTGCCCAAAATACCCTAGGCCTATTGTGCATGTTCGTATTTCAGGAGGACAAATAGATTTTGATTTCTTCAAAATTATGCAGGATAAATAGATGATGATGATGACGTTAATGATGATGACGTTGATGATGATGATGTCTTTGAAGCAATAAGTTACTACCATTACCCCACATATTTTAGTTTTAGCTATAACATGTCCAATAAATCGTGTATCTTCTATTTTATTCTTAGCTATTAGATGTCCACTAGTTCGTGTATCTAACGCCAATCCACCTTATGGAGTGTGTACATCAGGTGCTTATGTCCCGCGCTACAAGACCCGCTGCTTCTTTAAATGTGACCGTGGGTACCGGCTTAAAGGTTCCAAGGAGCGTGTTTGTCAACTCGACAAAACTTGGTCTGGAATTCCAACGATTTGTGAAGGTATTGGAATGTGACTCGACTAAAATAAATTTTATGATAAAATGTGTTCTGTTGGCGGTCAGCCGTGTAAAACGCAGACTGCGGACTATTGTTTTCACCATACAAATAAGTACGTGACGTAACGTGACGTGACGTGACGTAATAGTCCCATTGTACCCTAAAAACAATAGTCCGCTGTCAGTCTGCAGTCTGCATTTTACACTGCCCCCTTTGTTGGGAAAGAAAGCTATGAACAGTCTTAATGTTTTATCCTTCGATACAAAGTTTAAACAGATATGACATATCAGGTTGGATGAGCGTTTACTCGGAATAAACAGTTTCTTTTAAGGATTTCAGTTTGAAATCATAAAAATAAACGTAGCGTGGATTCATTTGCAGTATTCGTCATGATACTTATTTACTGCTGTCAAAATTAACAGTTGAAATTCATTATTTTTGGAACTTAATTGGAAGTTCCAGATGGCATAGTTTGTAGAGGAGACTGGTTGAAAAGCCGGGAAACATCAAAGATGAAAACAACGGTGCTGGGCCAGTTTATGTTGGACCTTGGAAGCTTCTTGACCGTGTACAAATTTTTTTTTGTATTTACAAATTGTGACTGAATAAACTAGGGCTACCTTCCGCGACAAGTGGCAACGAGGTGGATTCGTTTATCTTTTGTGGAACGTGCCTATTGAGATCTTTGCGATTTCTTTCATAATTTTAGAGGTTTAAAATGGATTCCGCTATAGAAAAGGATGGTACCCAACTTTGAAACAACAACTTTGGCACATTCTAGGCTTTCACTTTTATCAAACAATAACAACAAGGCTTGAAGCTTTGTTGGTAAATATGAGCAAGTTAGCACTTATGTTTCATGGAAAATTCCATTGTATCAAAACTATAAACGTTAGAAAGAAAAATATAGTATGAGGCCTTTGACTGCTGAAATTAAAAATAATAACTAAATTTTGAGCAACAGTGTCATCAGGGATAAGAAAAATATTTCGCGTGGTAATTTACATAGGAAAAAATTGGTGTAAAGTAAAATGTGTCAAAAGCGCAAGAATGGGGCGGAATGTATCAGAGGTATAAAAATATAAACTTGAATAAAATACAAAGATCTAATGAGCGAGTGTCACGGGACAAAGAGTCTCTCGAAAGGCATAATGATAGTCTTCAAAACAAAAGGTCTGCAAATTCGATGCATTCCTCACGGGAGTTTAGGGCTGTCTCAATGTAAATCGAGCCGCAAAAAGCATGCTGGCTGAAAATCTCTCGAAAGAAAGAAATAAATTCTAAAAAACAAATGTCTGCAAATACGTTGTATTCACGGGAGGTGAGGACTGGCTCAATGTATTAAAAATCGTTCTGCAAAGACCACGCTGGTTCTGATAAAAGTTTTGAGAATATGCCTTTTCACAAAGGAAAAGAGAACACTGAAACCCTGGTTCTGAATCGAGAAGGGAACACGCTACCTCAATGTAAATCGAGCTGTAAAAGAACAAGCTGGTTCTAACAAAAATTTGAGCGTAAAACCCTATTCCTTGATCAGCTGCTGCTTTAAACGCAATTTATAAAGCAAATCAGAGCACTTATTGCCCTTTCAAACTAGAAATTGTATTAAAGCTTGCTCACCTGTTAGGTCCTCTTGAACAGACAAGGAACAGCTGCACACTGAATCACCCAATTTCGGACCACGAGTTGTAAATACAAGACCATGACGTCACTACCCAAATATGGGGTCTTACTTACACCCAAATGTGGTTAAAAATGCAAATTTTAGAGGGTCAAGCAGAATTTGAGAGTTTTTGCCTACATTGCGGGGAGTTATATAATTCTGCCGCCGAGGCAGCCTCGCTTCTTAGCTCGGTTGCCTCGTTGGCAATAAATGTGAAATTCAAAATGATAGGAATGCTGTTGAACGTTGTTCAAGGTCCGAAGTCTGAAAAAGCCAACAATGCATATAACAAATAATTGTAACGGGTTTCATTACACTTTATTAACTATGCACGGGGCAAATGTTACGGCTATACGGGTCAATGCTACCAATAAATCCATCCTTCATTTTGGATCACTAAGCGCCCACTCAAACAACGAAGAATACCCCCGGTAGGCCACTTGCACTGAGAGGTCACGTGACTAAAGAAATTGACAGAACTTATCTTACACCCGAAATTTGAGAGGATACACACTTAACGTACATATTTTATGGCACTTTCATTTTTCAACGAAGTAGAATGATTTGTATTGGCCGCCATGTTAGAGGGCATACATTTGCCCTCCAACATGACAACCAAAACTACTTTTTGCTTGTGTCTTGTTAAAAGCTTGATAGTTACGCTCAGATGTGCTGCAAACGTTACCACATCATCTTTTCAACATTTTCCTTGAAATTTAAGTGCCAAATTTGTGTTCAGAAAGAGGTAATTCATTAGTTTAAAAATCACACTGGTTATGTGACCAGCTACGAACTTACTTATTTTAACAAAATAGTGAAGGGTTTGAAAAACCAAATCACTATTATTTTGTTTCAAACATAACCCACTAATCGTTTTTCGAAGGTAAAATCATATAAATTTCATTTTCATAAAAGTGATGTCAAATGACTTCTAAAAGTAAGTTGGTTTTAGAATTATTCAAAACTGAGTGGTTCAGCTTTCAATTCAGTAGTTCATGCCCTTGGTGAGGGAAGATTTATCTTTATTTTTATCCGCTTTCTTTCTTAGCAATTTACTGCCCTAAACTTTCGCCTGTCAAGTTTGCAACTGTGCAACCCCCGGAGTGTGTCACCCAGCCAATAAAATTTGGCAGATCGTGTCAATTTCGCTGTCCTAACGGGTACTTTACTGATGATGAACTACATGAGACTAAAGCTTATTTAGGGTGTCTGCATAATGGTACATGGGACTTTCAAGTTCCTAATTGCGTCGGTAAGTATTTCATTTTTTCTTTCTCCTTTTCCCTGTTCGGGTTTTTTACGTTCGACGCTAGGAGAACTCCTTCTAAACTCAATGCGCAATTCTATTTTGATCACTTCCCAGCTCGGGTAAAATTTCAACCAATCAGCAGATCGGTGTAGTGACACAGCATCTGTTTGGAATTAGAGGACCCGTTCCCTAGATGGCTTCGCGAAATGTGGGCTCTTTTGTCAGCTAAAATTCGAACGCACTTACCATTCTCCAGTTAGTGTTAGTTTTCAATAAGTAGACGGTGCTTTTAATACACACAAATAAGCATATGAGATTAGTCACCTCTTTTCTTTCAACCTGTTTTAGTCTGAACTTAAAAATCAATGTACGTGTATAGATCGCCAGCCTCCAAGAATGTCCTGTCTCCTGTCTAAAATAAGAGGAGTTACCACCAAAGGAAAAGCAACAGGAAAGGTATCATGGAGCATCAAGGTGACAGATAACTCTGAGATTGTGGATCCCAATGCAAAGATAACTGTAGACTCAAGTCATCAGCCTTCTCAAGAATTTCCCATTGGCGAGACTGTAGTCCGTATTATCGCCACTGACAGTGCTGGAAATGTCGGCCGTGAATGTATCTTTAAAGTTGAAATCAGAGGTAAGGAACACATCCCTCATGCTCCTGGTACGCTGGCTAGCTGACTTGAAACCCTTTGCACCCTTATGACACAAATTATCATTAAATATCTCCTTACAATGGCGGCACCGATTAATGAAAAATAACGGTCTTGAGAATACTGAAAATGATAACCAACTAGAGAGAACTATATTTTCTTCATCAATGCAACAGTAGCCTGCGCTTCTCGAGCTGAGAGAAGCGAGGAGTTGACGGCTGTATTCTCAGGCGAATGCAGCAAGAAATGTATAGAGACAATATTAAATACATCAGTGCATGTTTTGAATGAATAATTGTACGCATAAGGGTCAAGGAGCTGCTAAACTTTGTCGAGGGTCTCCTATAGGTTTCTCGGGATCTGGGATTTGCATGCTTATCTGGAAGCTGGTATTCACGATTTTACAGGAAATTGAGATTCGGGAGTGAAAGTATGAACGGGATGTGAGATGCGGAAAATACCCATCGGCATTACAGGATTGAGCGAAAATTTAGCGCGGGGTCGGGGTGGAGAGAGTGCATGGAGAACGTACTCTTCTTGTCTTCTTAACTGCAAAATGTACTGTGTTATAAAAAGAAATCCCTGATAGAAAGCTATAAATTTTCTTTTGCAATGCTTTCTCTCACAGATAATGAGCCACCAACGTTTAGCGAATGCCCCAAGGACATTGTGCGTGAAGAGAAAGTTTCTCTGATAAGAGTGAATTGGAAGCATCCAGTGTTCTCTGACAATTCGGGGGTGCTTCCCTCTGTCACTTCAAGCTTTCAAACTGGAGCAACATTTCGGGTTCCTGGAAACTATAAAAATACATATATTGCAAGGGACCGGTCTGGTAACGAAAACAAAAACTGTACATTCAGGATCATATTGAAAAGTGAGTTGTATAATGAGGTAGGGAGATTACTGGTGGTGATGGCAGTTAAGAGAAAGCCAGAAAGCAGAGCCCCATGCATTAAAGCTGCTTAAGAGATACCAATCTCGCAATCATATATTGCGCTCTTAGTTATCCAGTCAGTCGCTGAATACATGCAGTCGTATAAATATATGCATCGATTGTTTGGGCGAGTCTTTCCCCCCGTACTTAAAAAACTTATTTTAGTCTGCTCAGCGCAAATTAATTAAAACTCTTCCCATTGTTAATTGCCGCAACACGCGTAGAGAGTTCGTTGATACCCTAAAAATTTCCTCCTTTAAATTGTTACATGCACGGCGAGACGATATACATGAGGCATTTGCTACCAACTGAAGGTACAAACATATAGAAAAGACGAGTCTAAGGACTACTAGAACGTGAGAGTCTGACCCTCCCTTACAATGAAATCCGTATCCATGGCTATAACCTCTAATCAGCTGTCTATAAGCCTGACTGTCGCATCGATATGGCCAACACAACACTGACCACTTTGCAAACTTTGTAACAAGGGAGGTCTCTTCTTAATTAGTTTATGTAGTAGTTACTTTACTTCTATATGTGTTTGTTAGGAACCGTGAAATGCTGACATCCTCTAACAGTCAGAGGGGAAATGTGGCTAACCAAACTTGACTTGACTTTGATTTGCTTATTTTTTTTTTCTTCACAGAAAAAACTTGCCAGATTTTTCCTCCACCACGCAACGGTGCCCTGGCCTGCATGACATCAGAATTTTATTTGCATTGTGCAGTAATGTGCAGCAACGGAACTGACTTTGAAGATACTCCCCCTCTGTTGTACTATTGTTCTGGTGGGGAGTGGAATTACTGGAAGGGGTTGCTTACACGTTACAAAAATTCTAATCCCTGGCCTAACTGCTCCTGTAAGTCTTTTATTATTATTTTTTTGTTACTCCCCTCTTCAGCTCAGTCGTCGTCAATTCAACGCCTCATTCAGTTAGTAAGTTTTTTCATACGTTTAAAACTTCGTTTATCACCAACTGAGTTTTTTTATCTCACTAAAGGGACCTTTTTCCGGGCCTAACTGTTCCGGTTACTATTTCATTCTTGTAAAGATGTTTTAATCAGTATGTCACGAGCGTGGGACCAAGAAAAACTCTTAGTCCCTGACAGGATTGGAACCTTTGACCTCCTGGGGCTGCCGTTTTGTTTTACTATTATTTTTAACCTCTTGTAAGCGACCACTTGATTTATATCTTCGTTGTATGTAATATGCTACACACAGTACATAAGGAACTTCTACTTCCAGTAACAAAATGGGACTACACATATCGTAAATTAAACGTTGCATGCAATAATTTATAAATTACTGATCTTAGTTTAACCCCTTGAAAGGGAATCCAAGCCAGTCTTGAATTCTGGATTCCACACCGTGGATTTCGGACTCCAGGCACTGGATTCCAGATTCTTGGTCAGTGGAACTTAGATTCTGGATTCCAATCCTTAGTAGGATTCCGGATTCCTAAAGCTATATTCCAGATTCCAAAGCCCAGGATTCCGGATTCCACAGGAAAATTTTCCTGCATTTCGGATTCCACAATGTGAAATTTCCCAGATTTCGGAATCCGGATTTTCCCTCATACGGGGCGATTAGTTTCGTAAAAATGATCAGTCCAGATCTCTTCTCGAAACAGGGTTTACGTAAGCAGCCATCTCCCGTAAGGGGCGGACCATTAGAAAACTTATGGCGGGGGGGTGATTTTCGAGCCGCAGGAATTGTTTTTCGTTATCAAATTCCTTGTATGAAATTTTTTAGGCCATAGCATGAATATTTTTTAGGGTTAATTGGCGTGCATGAATCTTTTTTCATTTAATTTTCCCTTGCGCGAATATTTTTTTGGTACTTCTCCCCCCCACCCCCATAAGTTTTCTAATGGTCCGTCCCTAAGTTTGCATTATTGTTTTGGGTGGTTGCATACGGGAGGTTTGATTGTATTTTAAAAAAAAAAACTATAACTGGATATTATTTTTCTCTCAGTCAATGCTGGTCCTTCAGAGATTAATAAACGTGACTGGATGCATTATTACTCCTACAATGGCGACGCGCATGATACTAACGTCCAGAACGACATAAAGGAAAACTTCTTCAAGTTGCTGAAAGATCCATTTTTCATCCCTCCACCTTTCTGCCTGGTAAATAACCGGTGCTCTAAGGACAAAATTTCAATTTCTGCTGGTGTTGTAGGTACGTAACGTACTTATACTAGCATTGGGTTTCCGCATTCTGTGTTTTTTTTATAAAAGGTCTATAAACAGCTATACTAAAAAGACAAACAAACTAACAAAAAAGCAACGTAAAAAAAGAAAAAAAAAACACTAGGAAAAGGCTATTGATGTTCTGAAACGTAGCTAAAACAAAGAATCGAAGAAAAACAAATGATCATGGTAATTTGGAATAATTTTACAACGTGCACCAAGAAACTAGTGAGGAGTTTAAGACCGCAATTCCCGTTTTGTCATAAAGTTATCTTTGCAAACTATTCTGGAATGAAAACTCAGTTTTGCTGACACTTTTTATGCAGTTTGTTGACAAATCCATGCCATTACCTATTCATAAAATCTGTGTATCTTCAAGTTTAATAAATTTGTAATGAATATAAAGCCTAAAATTGTCTCTCCGAATACTTGATACTCGTTAAGGCCGAGTCATTAACTAGAGATAACGTTGTTTGACCTGTACTGCTTCTCGGAATTGACAATCAAATAGTGATTTTTTCTCGTTTACCATTTATTGCAGAGTTCTCTGAGAAACTAAGGCCGTACTATGGAGACAATTCTTAATGCGCAATTTAGAACTAACCTTTACTAACTGATTTCCTTTATGTTTTTTTTTTGGTTTATAACTCAACAGGTTGAGCTCATGTCCAGCAATGGTTAGCAATCAGAGGCTGTTAAAGGACGAGACAAGATAAATAGTTCAATTTCCTAGTTATGCTAACTATATTACGTCTTTTCTGTGGGTCTGTCAAGTGTTAAGCAGATAATAGAAGATTAAAATTGTTTCTTCCAATCCAAGGAAACACGAGTCAGTAGAATATACATGTTTCAGCTTTTACTCGCCACATGAGGCAGAGACAGATCTCATAAGTACCTCGTGCGACGCCAGTTGTTTTCGCCGCCCATTCCCACAGTCCTGTCTCCTCCACAGAGGCTCAAAGGGGCATGGCGAGGTTGAGCACAAAATTTTTGTTGAATCTTTCAATATTCGCCTCCACTCACTTCGCACAGTGGAAATACAATAACACCTAAACGAACTTCTGTGGAGGAGAGCGCCCACAACCCGTAAAAAATATACACTACACTAGAATCTCCAGTACGAAAGTGAGTGCCGGCGAGGGGAAAACGGTCACTGGAACAGAGAAGCGGTACGCAGAAAATTTGGTCATTTCAAGAGTCCCCGGGGTTGTCCCCTTTATTAAAATCCTGGATTAATATAAAAAGAGAGGTGCTCGGAGAGGAAAATAATCGGAACTGTGTGGTTATGTCTTGCACTAACAACTTGACATACCGTTGTTTGCTGTCAGCAGTAAATCTATGGCGGAGTTTTCAAAAAAAAAAAAAAAGAGAAAGAAAGAAAATCTCCGTGAAGCAGGACGCAATTAATTTCTTCACACCTCAGTTAATTTTAAGTGTTTTTCGAGTAAGTTTGGCTAACGAAAAAATGGATTCACACCTAGCGTATTTTATTATACAGTTAAAATTTCATTGCTGTAATTTTAGTAAACCGATAAATAAATGTTAATGAATTATTCGTCCTTACTCTGGACGAGAACGTTTATCGATTGGCACTCTGTTTTCTTTCATTTGGTGCTGAATGGAAATCATGTTGAAGATTATAACAGTACTTAGTCTGGCGCGGTTTGCAAATTCCCGTAGTTTCTGCTGGATGTAACAGGGTGCCTTGCCCCGTTGGAAAATATTACTATGGTGGTTTCTGCGGAACGTGTGTAGGTTTGTATAAGTAATGGTAACAGGACTGAGTGGAGTCCAATTCGGTCTGTGATCATACGAGTGATTAACAAAATCGGACGACCGCGTAGCTGGAGTCCGATTTTGTTTAATCACGAGTGATGAGCGAAAGACTGGGTCTTTCTATTATCCATAAAGAAACCTACAGGAGATTTACAATTCTGGAAAAATTTGTACTTTGCACCAGTGCTCAAACACAAATTGTTTACTGAACGACGCGATATCGAAAGGTAACTTTTAAAATGTGTCAAGTATTATGACTAACATGACCGACACAAATTTCAGACCCACAGTTTTTGTATATACTGTGTGATGTCTGAGTGACTCCAATGTGCCACTAAAATCAGTACATGTAAAGCAAGCTAGAAGTTTTTTCCGTTTAAGACAATAACAGATAACTATAAGGTCTATAAGTTACAGTTATATAAGATCCGGAATAACCATGTGAGAAAGCCAGATGCCATTGTTTTAAATTTCTTTTGAAATGGGACTTTTTCATTTCCATTTTTTTCTTTTTTTTTAATACAACTGGGGTGAATCCATCGTCATCGATCAAGTCGTGGAGCAAGCAATATCACTACTTTGATGGAGATGCGCATGATCTTAACGTCCAAGCCTCCATCAAAGACAAATTCTACCAGTTGTTGATATCGCCCTATGTTCCTCCTTTCTTTTGCCGGTTTGACCCCGCATGCTTGCAGAATATCTTCGTTTCTCCCGGGATTAAAGGTAAATCTCAAATCCTGCCAGCCATACAACCACTGAGACCCGCCCTGATTAGGACAAGTATGTGGAAACTAAACTAAACCATTGCAGGGGCGGATCTAGGGGGAGGGTGCAGGGGGTGCGCACCCCCCCTCCTTGAAATGACCTGCGGTTTTCTAATACAACTGGTATTCTGCTAAAAAAAACTATGTGGTTTATTGGTGTTGAAGTAGAGCAAGAGACGAGTGCACCCCAAAAAAAAAAAAAATCCTGGATCCGCCAATTGTACGTGATCGCCCCAT